CGCGCGTTTGATGCGCGGCCTATACACCTCGCGTCGGTGTGCGTGTGTGAGCGCGCGCGCACGTCGACGGAGGCAAAGGGTTGGTATGCTTTCACAAAATCACGGTGGGACGCCGACGCGGCGGGACGACTGGGACGGTCGTGGAGGGCAATAAATAACGTAAATTGAAAACCGCGGGAAATAAAGAGAGGAAATAAAAGTGCCACGGTTAAGTACACTTATATGTGCCCGGTATCGCCGATACACCCCGCACACGCTCGCCAAACCCGGTGCAGTCGATGCGCATTTGTGTGCGTCTCTCTCTCTCTCTCTCTCTCTCCCCCGCCCCCTCCCTCCCCCCGGCGTATCCCCCCGAGCTTTGCTTTGTTGTGTAGTATGCATACTCAATCGCCTGACGAAGCGAGCGCGAGCGCGAGCGCGTGGTCCCTTTTCGCCACGAGGCTGATTTTCCTCTGCCTACCGGGGCGCGTGCATTTTGTTTATTAATGGAAATGCGTGGAGCGCCGGCAATTTGAAAGGATATTTTCTCTCTCGCTCTCAAAACGCAAGAGAGCTCCCACGAGTGCCCTGCAAAATTTATATCGTCCGCGATGCTCCGCAAGCTGCCACGGTTTGTCTGCGCTTGAGTAATGCGCGTAAAATAATGAATTCATTCATGAGCTCGTGTTAATTGGACACGGGGTTTAGACACCGGAGAAGAAAAGAAATACTGTGTCAAATCGCGTAGGATTAAACCGTGGCCAAGTCGGCGGCGGCGGTGTTTTTGGTCTCGTGAAATTCGCGGGCGGTATGCAGGAAGTATATGCCCCGTCCTCCTCTCCCCCGCCTCCTCCCTTGTCCTTCTCTTCTCCGAGTAACTGGGGTTAATGAATGCGCAGTACGGTATGATGTAAAATTACATTCAACCTGCGTTGCGCGATGTATCCGGAAAGCTGGTAGATCAAGTACCATCGAGTCGCATTTGTGTGTTGCGCCTTGTAGGACATTCATTCGAGGATCAGTTTTTACGTCAATAATTGAATGTAATGAGCTCTTAGATCTCGGCGAAAATATCACACAAGGGAGAAAGAAGGAAGGGAGAGAAGGAGAGAGGAAGAATGAGAGGAACTCGGAATCCACAGAGAAATTCTACCAAGTCCCATGACACATATGAGTATTTTTTTAATTTTCTTTCTCCGTTATTCGTCCAATTATCAAACGAATTCCAGGTATGTCGCTATTTCGAGTCTCTCGGATATGAATAAATAAAGAGATGAACCTTGCGTACTTAATTCCACCACTGATTAAAACAGACACCTCTCTCTCTCTCTCTCTCTCTCTCTCTCTCTCTCTCTCTCTCTCTCTCTCTCTCTCTCTCTCTCTCTCTCTCTCTCTCTCTCGCTCACTTTCACCCTCACCCTTCTTCACGAGCGAACATATTTCGCACGTCCGCCGCGCCACGTGTCTTTTTTCCCCGTGTCGGTACTTACCGCTTAACCGCGTTAAATGGTTTTAATGGATTACTCTTGGATTACAAAAGCGAAAAAAGGAACGGGGCCCTTCCGGACGAGTCGGCCGGAGAATCCGGTTACTGCGGAAGTGACGCAACAAAGAGAGAATAATTGAACGAGGCCACACGTCCGACACGAGGTTTTGCCGCCGTCCAGCTCGCACCCTCTACCTCGACCCTCTGCTTCCCCGCCCCGTCGCCTCGCTCCTCACGGTCTTCCTTTCGATCCGTCGGCCCCGACGCCGAGGCTAATGGTTTAATCCTAACATGGATGTTAACCAGATTACCGTTCACGGGTCCAGCATGTGCCGCGCACATTCACCGCGGTTTCCACGGAACAAATTATCCGCGATTACGCGGATAATGGCGGAAGGAGTTGAACGGCGCGACGTCGCCGTCAACCCGCACGATCGTCCTTCGCAATTTTCCGCACCGCCAGCCCGCCTCCTAAGCCGACGTAATAACGCGACGCTCGTCGCCTTTCCTCTCCTCTCGCACCCCTCGGAATTTCGCGTCTTCATAGCGACACGTCGCCTCTTCGATCCGCTGCGCGGCGGCTACTCCGCCTTCTTCGCGAATTTATCGGCCCTTTTCGGTAATCCGTGACGTCGAGGGATTTCTATCGTCGCATCAGCCGCTTTTAATGAGGTATCTGGGGATAATAAGAGGATCGCGTTTAAACATGCCTCGCGATTCATCGGCGCGATACAACGCTCTTTCTCCTTCCTCGTCGTCCCGCGGCTCTTCGCGGCCTCCAATTTCCGCTGGCTCTCCTCTTTCCTTGCTTTTCCTCGTATTATTACCGCAGGCAGGAAGAGAGGTGCCATCTCTGGCGGTGCCACTGTGGCCGAGCCCTCTCTCGATATTATATTGCCTCTAAATTATGCCATCATAAAAACGTGATGAAGCGGCCGCGACCGCGGGTGTCCGGCAAATGGCTCGAAAAATCAAGGGAGAACGGAAATAACGGTCGATGAACGGCCGGGCCGGGCTATATACTTGTTATTCACGGAACGGCTCTCTCGTAGCTGCCATCCTAGAGGAGCCTCTTTGCTACTTCGACTCGCGCGCATACTTTTGATCCTGCTGGGAAGACACCGGATTCCTCGACGGCGACTTCTGGTACGTACGTTTTAGGCATATTTCGTGTGGGGCGATTAATTATGAATACAAGAGGTCGCACGGCACGATGCCGGAATATCTACGAGGAGCAGGAATCCGTACACGCAGAAAACTATTCATTTGATAAGACTGAATTTCAGTTACGACAACCGAAACTTTCGGTTCCTCAGAAATCAACTGAAAGTTCAGTTCCAGCAGCGGAAAAATTCCGTTGGAAGGTTTCTATCGTCCTCATTTTATTTTTAACAGTCAAATATCTCGAAAAATATGGAAGATATGGAAACTTATCAACTTTCGGAAATTTCAAAATCATCAAATGAACAAAAGTCAGGGCGCTATTACACTATATTCAACAATATATTCTTGAGACCAAATAGAGTAAAAAAATCTGGTATCATTTTTTTTCCCGATAAACAGCGAGATATCGTAAGTTAAATATTGAAGAAGTTATCAAGTTTTCCTGAAATATCTCAAGAAATATTAGGCAAATAAAAAAATGTTTCAGACAAAAGTTGTTCAAATTAATTGATAGAAAAAGATGGTATAATAAAAAATTGGGGTTTCCGTTTAAGAAAAGTAATGATTAGTGAATATTTCGAAAGTGGCGCCATCTGTTATAGTTATTTTATGTTCCCCTTGAAACCATACAACTTTTGTCTGAAACATTTTTCCATATCTTCCATATTTTTCGAGATATTTAATTGTCAAAAATAAAATGGGCACCCTCTATATTCGGTCACCTCAGTCGAACATTAAGTTGTCAAGAATACAAGTTTCGTTGGTCACAATCTATAGTTCACTTTATGTTGTCGAATATTTAGGTTATTGGAAACAGGTTCTATGTCGCCTTTGCAATTAATGTAATGTTTCGCTAACTAAAAAATTTGCTAATATAGCGAATTTTTTCAGTTGAGGAAAACATGTTTATAGTTAATGTATCTTTCTTTGGGGTAACAATGTAAGTAATGGTACAGGCTCATATTCCGAACTCTCTTTTATCGTTAAAAGTGACTGTAAAAATGGCTCATATGATGGCCTTCTGATTGGCTGTAAACTACTTTTAGAGTTACTTTGGTAAATATTTACATTAACGGACCACCCTCTCACGGTCTTCATATTGACATATATTATAGAACTAAGTCCCTCCTGAGTAATAATCAAAAGGTTTTAGTCGTCGCTTATTGTTTATTAAAAGGTTATAAATAAATGAAATTTTATAAATAGATAAAACCCATTTTCTTTAGACACTATGTACATTAAACATTGTTAAGCAGTACGTATAAGCGGGAGAGGGGCTTCGTCCCTCCCGCGCACTCCCTCCCCGAACAAATCCTAACTTATTGCATCTTTATATATTTTGGGACATTGTTGAAAAAGTCCTCTTAAGATCTATTATCTAGCCCAACTTAACTTATTATATCTGCATATAATTAGGTGTTGTGGGTTTTAAGGAGTCTTTTCAACAACGTCCAACAATATAAAAATGCAATAAGTTAGGTTAGGTTAGACTTTTTTGGGGAGGGGGTGCGGAGGAGGGGCGGAATCCCTCTTCCACTTATATGTACTGTTTCCTATATTTCTACGTATACACTATATTTGAATTTGGTTTATTATTCCTTGCAAGTACGTTTCATAGGTCTAATGTCAACAATAGCTTATTTCATTCCGGTAAGAAATGTAAATAAAACAACTTATCGTACGATACGATGATAGGAAACTATAATATCTATATACAGTGTCCGAAAATTACATCATATTCATTAAACTTTCTTTCTTAATAACTTTTTAATAAACAATGAACGACGGCTAAAACCTTTTAATTATTACTCAGGAAGGTTAGTTCTATAATATATATATATAAAGATCGTGGGAGAGTGGTCCGTTATTGTAAATATTTACCGTCACTTTTAGCGACGAAAGCGAATTCAGAATATGGGTCTATATAAATATACACATCTTGCAGATAGTGTTGCATTTTTCGTTGTATCCGTTTGACGACTGCCTTCATATAGATAAAACAAAGCGTCTCAATGTATATAAGTGGAGGAGAAAAACTCGCACACTCGGGTTCAAAATCGCATTATTGGCAACGTTTCCGGGAACAGAATCGATCTTGCAGAAGGGATTTTTATTCACATTCAAGTGTCGCAGGCAAATCTCTCAGTCAAGTTTTAGCGCAGCCAACCGTTCAGATGAGTATTTTCGGTCTCGATAACGGAGATATCGTTTCTCGTAATCGAGTCTTCGTCCGCTGAGTCATTCCGTCGCACGAACTGACATTTCCTCCGCGTACGCATGGTCGTAAAAACAAGAAAAAGGACAGTTCTGCGACGAAAGAAGTCGGTGCGCGCACCAATTAATCGCACACGTTTCTTCGATTTTCACGCAGATGATGAAGCATGGTTGGGACAACTATGTGCGGTACGCGTGGGGGAAGAACGAGCTACGACCGATCTCGAAAAGGGGCCACAGTGCCAGCATCTTCGGGGCCTCCAACATGGGCGCGACCATCGTCGATGGGCTCGACACTCTTTACATCATGGGTCTCCATGACGAGTTCAAGCAAGGACGCGACTGGATCGCCGAGAACCTGGACTTCGATATCGTGAGTACCGCATTTTCGTATGGATCGCATGCCTTCGTCTTTGCTCGCCGCGAAACTCACGGAGCGGCGCGGATTCAGCGCCATCACTCTTCGTAAATTATCCGTCTATCGTTCGTTTCGAATTATCCCGCGGAATTTGCCAGGTACGGCGATAGCGCGCTGCGAGGATCTCGCCGAATCGCACCGGATGTGCATCCGTGTGCGCAAATTTTATCCTCTTTGCGCACGGCAGACTGCTCCGATTAATTTTACATCTCGACTGTACCTTGCACCGTTCTCTCATACTATTTCTGCGGCGCTCAACATTTTTCGCACGTCGCGTCGATATTGCCCAGGAAATTTGCTTTACACGACACTTACGTTATTATTTTTGATAGTACGGCATTTAACATTTCGTACGACGCGCGTTTGACGCGAAGGGTAATTTTCGACGCGCGGGGCGGAACCACGGCTCTGTGTTCCGACGAAATTGCAAACGTGAGCGGTATTTCTCCGGCGCGGTGTATCTCAGCGGAGAATTCCCGCGGCTTTTCTTCGCAGCCACCGGCTGCGAAGGCAATGTACACAGCGATGTACGCAGACAGCCACCTTAAAGGAGTCCGTTTTCAGCGTGGATGGCTGTAGATGAACGCGTTATCTCGATGCGCTCCCGGTGCGCATCCGACCCTCCAGGGTCAGCGTTCAGCGAGATCAAGCTCGTCTTTATTCCAACGATCGCCGCAGTCGCGGTGACGCGATAATCAGCGCGACGATGATGGCTCGACCGCGTGGAAATGGGCGATCTTGTTGTTGTTCGTGCGTGCGTGCGTTTGACGCAAGGTGCCGTGTGTGATCATGATATTGAAGTCTAAAATAAACGCACTGAAATAATATAGTTCCTGTCTTATTCGTTTACCTTGCTTTCGCGTCACAGTTTTCGCTGTTGCATCTACGCGAGTCAGTTTTTCTTGCATTTCTGATTTAATATAATATTGTATAATTTGCTTTACGTTGTCGTGTGACACACAATATGATATGTATTACAATACAATACAATTTAATGTTACGCAATAGAATACGATGTTGCTTTATATCATTTATTTTGATACGCAGTGTGATACAACGCGATATAATCTATTACGATGTAATACGATTTAATACAATGTAACACAGGTTGCAGCAATCTAATATACGTAACTTCCGTTTTTAATTGGATTTGCAGAAACACACGATATTAAGCAAATACAATTTTTCGCAATTTTCTCCTAAGCTTTATATTAAAACTAGCTACAAATGACGCGTGGCATCATGTTAAATTTGGCGCATTTCATACGATGACTGTATCATATATGTGTGATAAAAATGTGACAAAAATTGCACGCTGGCGGAGCGCGTTAACGCATATGTTACTTCGACACGTGTTATTTTGCGCTTATTGCAGTGTTCTGTGCATCACTCGCGCGTGTTGTGTAAAAAAATCATGGTCACAAGCAGCGCCGAGTTGACGCGCGAATGACACTCGAACGATGGGATCGAGAAGTTTTGCGCGATCACACATTGCATTACCGATACTGTTTATCACACTCTCGTCGTCTCTGCGGCACTCGTCGGTGTTAAAGTACGCTCGACTTTTGGATTCTGCCGCTGGAAAGGAGAGTCGAGAGGCTGAAAATGAAAAGCGCAAAATGAGAAACTCCTTGGAACTCGAAAAACGTACTCCTTTAATGCATCCTGCCATACTATACCACTTAGCACATATACGGGGGTATCACGATGAAAGTTTGACATTCGCCGATATGCGTCGAAACCAATTTCGTCGTGAGTCAACTCACTTGACGCAGCCGTGTCACCGCCTCGTTTCCGTGGGCCCCAACGGAAGGCGAACTTTTGATATCGGTCCGCGTCTGCATACACTATTTCTCCTCTCGTGTCGCTCACCCTTCACATTTTCGTTACGGAACATCCTGGAAATGCGTTTGCCCCGCCTAGAGAAGTCGCGCCCCGACGAGACGTTGAGGACACCCTTCGAGTCTTTTCTTTCTTTACGTGATCCTTTACGATCTATACGGATAGAAAATGTAATAAAAGAGTGAATGACATCACATTCGGCGACGCTTAAGGTAAGTGCACGATATACCGATCGCGATGTATAAATGTCTACGATCCTTCATTTAAGGGAGAGAAAGAGGAATACTTAGGTGAGTGTGTACGAATAAGTTGAAAAATGGGGGGAACGTGGAGTTCTTTTATAGTTTCGTAGTAGAGACTTTTCAACTCTCACAGAGATTCCCAGGATAATCCTGCAAAAATTGCGAACGTTCACTTGCCGCCATGACCTTGATGGAGAACGAGTATCTTATCTTCGCAAGACAGGTATACACTGAAATATCTCAAATCCTTGAGAACCAGATCCAATATTTTCTTGATAAAATATCATGGTCGACCGTTTCGGTGCGATGCGGCGCGAATTGTCAGCTTAAGGCCACGAATATTTTAAAATGCTGAAAATATTCACTCGTCCGTGCGTGATGAATTGGTAATGTTATGAAATTATTTGACGGTGTACGTCATTCTCTGCGAATATTCTTGCTCAACTCAAGGCAACGTGTAACAGCAATGATGCATATTTGCGTTGAGATAAATGGAACACGCGACAAATACTGCCGATTGCAAAAATCGCACCTGTCATTCTATGATTTATTCATGCGTCTTCCAGTTATTTGCGTGATTTTGACATATACAGTGACGCAAGACGTATCAACCCGCGCATAAAGGTAGAGCACGTTGAGCTGAGCACGAAGATCTCCGTCATTTTTTAAACAACCACGTGAAATTTCGAATTAATCATAAAAGAAGATTAGCGAATCCGCGCGCGCAACGTATGGTACGCGGATGTAGATGCGAGCTTGCAGAAAATGGTTGAGAAGCGACTGCCTGATATTGCGTTGACACGTCAGACACCCTATATACAGAGTACTTAAAAAAAAAAGTTTGGGACTTTAAGGATAGATAGTACTCATAAAATGGACGAAAAAAGTCCTAATAGACGAGTCGAAAAATTAATATTGTGGGAATTGTGAACAATTTTTTATTTTAATTAAAGCAAAACTTGTTCGTTTCTGGTGCTTTTGTATTCTTTGATATAATTTATTTATGTCATTTATCGGTGAAGAGACTACCATGCTGTAAAGGAGTCATTAAAAAAGTCTCTTGGCTCTGGCTCTTGCTTGCTAAACAAACATCTATTTTCTTTCCATTTATACACGCTTTACTGGGCGAATTATTAGTCACATATCCTTGTGAACAGTGAACAATTGCAGAAAGCTATCATAAAACTTTTGCAATACGATAAGAATGACATCATATGATCTAATCAATATCTAATCAAGAAATGGCAGAAATGTATTTTATGTATGGCTGTGCACCAGAAGCGATAAATAACTTGCTTTAATTAAAATAAATAATTATTCATAACTCCGACAACATTAATTTTTCGACTCATATTTGTTACATTTTTTCTCCAGTTTGTTAGTACTATCTGCCCTTAAAGTCCTAAATCTTTTTTTTAAATCTGTGTATACAGGGTACTAAATTTCGAGCGTAAAAAATCAATATTTTGAAAACTAAACAATATCAAGATCTGTTCTTTTTTCCAAATTGTATTTTCTCGAATTATTTTGAAGGGGACCCATATTGAAAAAAAAAATTTAGTTTCAAGTGGAGATGTCAAGATAAAATAAAAGTTAAATTATGTTTTTAAATGAAACTCTAATTTTGGAACACCTACGTTTGTAGCCCTTGTCACGACGAATGATCACAAGATGATTAGAAGTCAAATAATAAAAAAAAAGATCGAGGAGTTGCACTGTCTTGGCCATTCAGACCATCTGATCTGACCTGCCTAGATTGTTATTTTTAAAGTATCCCGAATCCTACCGAATAAGTATCTTTTTTTACTTTACTAAAGCATTATTTTTTTCCCCATTATTTGACCTCTAATCATCTTGGATATATGGTCATTGAATTTATCGTAACTAGGGTTACAAACATAGATGTTAAAAAAATTGGAGTTTTACTTAAGAAAATAATTAGACCTTTATTTTACCTTGATGCCTCCACCCAAGATTAAATATTTTTTATCAAAATATGCTCCGTTCGAAACAATACAACCTTAAAAAAAACAGACTTCGATATTGTATAGCTTTCGAGATATTTGACCTGTCAGTTTGAAATTTAGCATTCTGTACGTGTGTACCATATATAGATATACAGACTGAGTTTGATAAAACATTCGCCACGTTTTTCTCACAAACGTAGCGGTAAGAGATAAAGACATTTATTCATCTACTCTCTAAAATCAAAATTGTAGTATATACTCTGGTGATCTTAAATGTTGGTTTTCGTTACCAACTAGGGACAAAAATGTTTTTTTTTTCTATGGAAAAGGTTATATCTCAGTCACTCCGTAGGTAATATTCAAAACTTTCAAGCTTAATAATTTTTATATCGGAGTATTTTACGAAAATTTAAATATTGTTAGGATATCAACAAAATTATAAGTCAGAAAATTTAAAGCCTTGAATCTTTTTATTATCACAGTAAGTGTTTTAAATGTTCGCTATGTTCGCCCAGATACGCCTGTAATCTTCGCGGAAAATGTTTTTTATTCTTTCTACTGTGTTTTCTGCAGTGACAGGACGTTGAAAATAACAAAAAAAAGATATGTATGTAGTAACATTTTCATGCCACATGAAGGTATGAGAATTAGTAGTCCCCGAAGATATATTACTTTCTCCGATTACTTTCTCCGAGAGTTTCAGGGCAAACAACACATTTAAGCGCTTAATTAACTTAATCGTTATGTAAATCGATGCCCACGATATTTCTCTGTCGTTGCATGCGGGAAGAATAAACTCGGGCGTTTTCGCGTGGCACTTCCGTAAGTACCGAGTCAGGAAACTTAACCCGGTTTATCCAAAGTTAGTAACAGCCTCTCGCGTACTCGCTGACGACTCCCCCCCTCTCCTTCTTCCTCGAACTCTTCTCTTCCCCGGTGTTACGTCGGATTTCTAAGTGGATAACTTGCCGTATTAGCTGCTTTCGGCTTGCGGTAACCGGTGTGTCAACCGTGTTGGAAGTTATGCCTATTGTTTCGCGGGCCTCTGCCAGAAACTCTTTCCCCGGTGTCGTTTCGCCTGAAGGAGGAGAGACGCAAAGTTACGTCAAGGAACATTAGATACGACTTCCGTCCGTCTTATCCCCTCGCCCATCTGGTACCGCAGGTTCGCTCCTGTCCACGCCTCTCTTGAAATATAGCGCGAACCTTCAAGGACTTCGCAATTAAATCTCGTCGTGAAATATTTAGCGCGCGATGATCAAGCAGAATGGACGCAGCGCGACTTTATTTTCAAGAACGGGATTTTTTATTGCAACTTTCGGGAAAGAGGCCCTTTTGATCTCTTTAATCGAACTATTAATTCGCCGTAATTAATGCGTTGTAATTACATGCCGAAAGCATATTCGCCCATATTAAAGGAAATCTCGTTCCGGTGGATTCACCAGCGGATATTAACGTCTCATGCTTCCACCTCAACTAGAATGTTAACGTGTTTCACGTCATTACATGTGCAGAGTATCCCGGAACTATAATTACGACTAGTATGCAAGATGAACGAGAGGATAACGGGGAAGAATAGTCTGCGCGTGTGTATATTTCGCGAGCGCGCGAGCGCGTCCAATAATAACGATAAGGAACGAAATTAAAAGGCGGCAACGGCAACGATTCATCTCGCTTACTCGCGTCTGGTCAGTGAAATAAATTTCAATGGCCGATATGTGTGTGAGCCGAGCGGGGCCAAAGGAATACCTTGCAATATATTGCCTTCAATGAGATTTATACAAGAATGAAAGCGCGTTCGCGTTCAGCCTTTGCACCGGCTAGGTGGGAACCAAGATCATGAACGGGTTATATCGACTCGTCCGCGATTCGGACGGGCGATAAATTCGGGAAGGAAGCTGCATCCGAAGGGGCCTAACCGCTCCAAGTATAAAACGAAGAATCACATCGCGTATTATGGCCGCGCGCCGTGAAGGTGCGCGCGGGAAAAAGAGAGAGAGAGAGAGAGGGAGGGAGAAGGGAGAACAGAAGATACCGCTCCGGCCACCAAATTCAGTATCTGACGCCACCATTTCTCGCGAATATACGCACGTACCGTGCGAGGATAAGCGAAGGGACGAAAGGAGAAGACGGCGCGCGAGAAAGAAAGGGAGTGCGCGCGTTTTGTGTGATACAACACGCGGTCAATGTCGCCGCCGATGCCGCGTTCTCCTACGAGATTGTTGTTAAGGAGAAAAAGCGAAGGAGGAGGAAGAAGGGAGAAATGTGAGATTCCGATGATAAACGAACGGGATCACCTGCGATGACAGGAGCAGAGAGCCTCTTGAAGCGGCGCTTGATTTTTCGCCGCGCTCGGTCATGGCGAGACGTTTCTTCATTAAATCGCACCACTGCAAAGCCCGAACAGCGATATCGTGGCGATATTTGCGAACCATTAGCATAGCGCGAGCCCTCAAAGCGTGGCTTTACAGCACTCGCATCTGCATTTACGTCGCAAGCACACGCGTCGGTCCGCTTTCGGCAAGCGTGCGATACTGTGAAAAATATTTTCGGCCGCGGGCTGCTTTAGCGAGGCACACACGCGTGCGTACCACGCGTATGTGTGTTCACGGGTGCGGGCGTACACATTTGGAAGCCGCGTAGTTTTTAATATCGTCAAGTCAAAATCGCGCTCGCTGTCGGAAGCGAGAAAGGAATAACGCAATTTTATTTTTGCACCTCGCGCAACGGCCGACGGAGTATTTCATTTGAAAGCTATTTGTTAACAACGTTCACGCGCGCGGGTGTCCCCGTGGAAGAGCTCGTGGGAGGGGCGAATTAAATTGACGGATAATTCACGCGCGCTCTGCCAAATAAAGTCGCGCGTTTTTTTTTTTTTTTTTTTATTTACCGCAGATCTTGCGACTTTGTTACCCGCGAGCGCACCAGAAATGCCACGTACGAGGATATCGCGATGTTCACGGGACATCAGCGATCGGTCATCGGGATGCCGCCGTTGCGATGAACAATCATTCCTCCGTACCGTATAAATCGACCGGCTGAGAGCTCCGTAAGAGGGCTCCGACGGTGACTCAAAGTAGCGCCGCAATTTATCGATTCGGTATTGACTCCGGTACGCCTACTCTCGGCGATCTCTTTCTCCTTCTCTCCCTCTCTCTCTCTCTCTCTCTCTCTCTCTTTCTCTCTCTCTCTCTCCGTCTCGCTTCCAGACTTTCATGTTTGGCTATTGTTGGTCTTTTTACAATCGCCGATGTCTATTCGTAACCGGTTTTATCGCTGCATCGCCATGATCGGACGATAAGCGAGCACAGCGGAATCGGCTCGTCGGATTGCCGTCTTCGGGATTTCGCGACGCGGAGGGAGGGTGACTTTTGACAAATCCCCGGCCCGTTCGGGACCCGCGTGCCATTTTGACACGATTTATTTCGGGACAGCTCAGGATTATTTCGTCCGGCTCGCGTCAACGTTTCACGATCGATCGCAGGGAGATAATGCATCGCATAAACCGCGCGCATTAATCAAACTTAAGGATCCAACCAAGCCGACGACAAACGAACGACATGCACTCGAGGTAGCCATTGACGTGCAACGCTCATCATAGAGGAAAAAGAATTTCACGGTCAAATGGTAACGCTAACGGCCAAAGAGAATGCGTAAAACATACTTTCCGCTGTTCGCCGAGATCCGCAACCCTCTATCGCGTCACCCGGTACATTCATATATTAGGTGTACAAATGAATAATCCAAATTTTTTTAAACGGCTAAGAAATTAAGTTTCAAATAATCAAATTTTCCCGCTGTTTTACGGTTATATAGCTATTAAAATTACATTTAGTATGGCGGAAGGCCATAACATAATAAGGCTCAACATAATCTCAAAAATTATTCAGTTCAGTACAGTTCAGTACAGTGAAAAATGGCAACAGATCAGGCAACAAATGCATCACTGACATTGCATTCTCTACGAATTCCAACAAGAAAAAAATGCTGCAAGAGCATGCGAATCGATTTGTTCTTTTCTCGGCAAAGGTGTTGCATCGTACGATGTGTGTGCATTTAGGTTAGACGGTTTAGATAGTTTAGAAGCGGCGATTTCAGTCTGAGTGACAAAGAACGTCCTGGGAGCCCTCGAAAATGCGGCAACAATGATTTGGAGCAACTACTCGCTGAGAATTTGGCACAAACGCAAAAAGAGTTTGCAGAGCAGTTAGGAGTAACGCAACAAATTATTTTCAAACGCCTACACGAGACGGGAAAGATTCAGAAAGAAAGAAAATGGGTTCCGCATGAACTCACCGAAGCCAACAAAAATCAACGAGTGGCAGTGTGTTTTTCTCTTCTCAATAAGCAGCATAGAAAGTCTTTCTTGTGGAAAATTATTACGGACGATGACAAGTGGATACTCTATGACAATCCGAAACGCAGAAAGTCATGGGTAAATCTCGGCAAACTATCAATATCGGTCGCAAAGTCAAAACACTTCGGAAAGAAGATTCTGCTCTGCATTTGGTGGGATATGAAAGGCGTGATTTATTAGGAGCTATTAAAACCGAATGAAATAATTACTGCGGACCACTACCAACATCAGTTAAACCATGTGAGTCAAGAATTAAGACGAAAACGCTCGTACAGTGGCAAAGGAGAACGTCCTGTGAAATTGTTGCATAACACTAGGCTACACACTGCTTCGCTGCATCGCTGCAACATGCCTTGTCTAATCACGCACTTGAAATCAATCGATGAGATCCGAAAATGGCTTGACGACTTTATCGTATCCAAAGACACAACATTTTTCCGAGATGGAATTCATCAGTTGCCTTAGAACGCTGGCTTAGAATTATAGGAAACAACGGCGAATACTTTGATTGATAAATTTGTTTGACTTTCTTGTAAAATAAACCTTGAATTTAGCTGAAAAATTTGGATTATTCATTTACGCACCTAATATTATACATTCCATCGTCCGCATTCTTTCGCTCTTTGAGCGTAGCCGTGCTGCGGGTCAATCCCGGGGCCAACGATTGGCTTGCGCGCGTGCCTGGTAATACCAATCGGCGGTGCGTCGACTTATCCGGAAGAATCGACGTTTCGTCCGCCGGCCGTGGCAATTGCGAATTGATGTATCAATGCACGCCCACGCGCGTTGTTAGACGTCGACGTAGTAGGTTGCGCTCGGCAGGTATGCAGCTAGGGGCTTTCGGAAGAACGGGGTAGCAAGCAGGCAGGCAGGCAGGCAGGCAGGCAGGCAGGCAGGCAGGTGGGATAGATCGGTGAGAGGAAGGAAGGAAGGGTGGATGTGTTGAGATATGCGAGATGCACGTAGTGCAGCGGCTATGCGGCCGGTGCCCCGTCTAACGCAGCCAGCTATGCGCGCTAGCTGTGAGGCGCACCCCGAAGAGACGCATACATCACCGGGGTCTGATCCCCGCTCCGTTTTGTGTGCGCGCCGTCACGCGTGCAACGTGTACTTCTCCGCAAACGTGGCTGAACGACGTCCCGTGCAGCCGTCGTGCCGAAAAGTTCATTTAACCTGCGGACCTACTAGGGAACGGCTCGCTACGACTGGACGCGAGTTGGGTTATTTATCCGGCGAAATCTCGGTGGAAACCCGCCGTGGAAGCAGCCTTGCCACATCGAGTCGCGCGCGATTGTTCGCGCGCGACCCGACTGATCTGTTCGGTTTATGTCCCCGGGTATTTCTCTTCAGGGTTCGGTTTTGTCGTCACTCGAAACGGGACGAAGCGATTTCTTATTTCGCTAAAACTGCGAAATATTACGGAACGTGACGAAATATTACGATATATCGAAGTCCCTCCCCGGGAGGAGGATGAGACGTGCGGAAATGATACTCGACGATAGTTTTACGAGGCTCCCTGAATGTTTCACAAGATCTTCTTTACATTTTTTACATGCGCGGCGTTTCACGGGAAAGTACGCTTGAAAAAATTTAACGGGAGGGCCAGCGTTCTCGCGAGTCGTAAAAGCTCGGTATACTGAGGGAACGCATATAATCTTTGTGGGTTTTGTCACATGTTCTCTTTCCCCGTTCCCCAAGGCTGCGCGTTTTACGGTCCTTAGCGTGGCCGTTGAGGCGACGTACTCTCACCGGAACCGCCCTCGACCACCGAATGATCCGAGCGTGTCGTAGCGCCGCGAACTGTTGCGTCTCCCGTTCCTGGAGCGTCTGTTTCATTCTTCAGGTAGAAACGTACTGATCGGCGACTCAATCGTGAGTGACACTCTTATCGAACGCGATATAAAAGCGACGTACGAGAGCGCCTGCGCCAACTGAAAGAGGGATGTTCAAAAATGTATTTCCCCTTTCATCCCACCGCATCGTAGCGATAATGTGTCGTAACAACGTACAATTGTCTTACCCTCGCGTTTCTCACCACTTTCCCGCGTCGGAATGAAGAGACGCGTTGGAAAATAAAGGTTCGACGCGTTTTCCATTCTTCTCGTGACAGAATACGAAAAATTTCCCACTTCAGAAAACAGTCCGTAAATAGCATCGCTGCTTTGACGCGCAGCGTATGAACCTACACGGCAGGCCTACAACGGACGCCACAGTTTGATAATATTTTTCGAAGGGTGGAGGAAGAAAAGGGAGTGATATATTTCCGGTTCTGCGCGGATTTTTAGTTTGTGCGGTATCGTGTCGACGCGCGATCGAAATGCATTTGTTCACGAGTCGCTATTTCAATGTCACCCGACTCCTCATGCTGTCGGTCGGTTTGTGGCCTTATCAAAAGATGGCGTACAGAAGGTTCCAGATGCTTATGATATGTTTTGTTCTAGTGCAAGGTCTAATGGTGCAGGTGCGTTTTTAAAAGTCCCCCCCGTTCGAATGTATGATACTTCACGCAAAATCGATCGAAATTTCTGTGCCTTCGACTTTGCTCGTATTTGTGATGAATCACGATCGCGAATGTGTAAATATACTTGCTGTTCGATGATGAGCTGTGAGGAGCTCGTTGCTATTGGCTTCTCGTCGTACTTGACAACTTATCTTCGGTGTATCGGTTTGACGATGCAATGAGAGATTTGTTCGACTTTGAACGAGTCTCTTGACATATCGGCCCTGTCGAAGAAGATGTTTGATACAGTTTGTATCTTCGTGAGAGAGAATAATTCCTAAGGTAAACGTACCGATTTACGCCACGTTTAAGCAAAGACTAATTTTTGAGAGTTTATTTTTATAAAAGTAAAGTGGTGTTAGGTAAGATTATGAATCTTATTAAAAGTTATTACACTGTAAATTAGCAAAAATACACATACAAATTAGAAATAAACAAGATTATTTATTTATATGAAAGAATTAAGTGTGAACTGCAAATGTCCCGAATTACGCCCATTGAAATTGTAGGTCCCAATTTACGCCATTGATTATGTACTAAATGACGCCACTATATATTATATTATATAAAAACCATATAACTTTATAATATTACACTTTTTTATCATCTTTTATTATATTTCAATCGTACAAAACTGAAACACTTTATATTACTACCCATAAATATCTCATTTTATATTATAAGGTACACTTTATTATAAGGTGTCACTTTATAGGTTAGTAATCATTTAGAAGAAAATTTAGTAGAAAATAGTCAAAAGTGACAGATCTGTGATACAGGCTTTTGAAATTGGTTTTCACGGAAAATCACATGATATTTTCGTATACTTACTTCAAGAGAACCATTTGACACACTATCACGACTTCTTTCCAGTAATTTTTAGACAGTTTTACTCAGCTGTTTTATTACACGCATAGAACAAGCTAAGATAGCGTGATTCGGGTCAGTGACATAATTCGGTACGTTTACTTTATGTTTCAAATTTTCATTACATACGAGACACTTACTTATGTTATTCGAAATAATATAAATGGATGGAAGATGAATTGAACAATATTGTTTTCAGCTGGCGAACTTTATTACGACCGAGTACAGCGTGGATCTGCTTATCAAAGTGTTTTCCTTCATTTTCATCAGTATCGTCTACATGTTTAAATATAATACGATTTACTTCAAGTCGGAGCAAGTGAGTTAGTCGATAAAATCGTTTCATAACAGCGAAACAGAATCTTTAGTAACACGTATAAAATATCGCAATTAACCATTACTGAACAATCATTCGATTGATTTTGTTTGGCACTCGTGACATCTTCGGTATGCAAAGTATCGTCAGGAGTGCCGCAATTTTGACAATGTCTCCGTGCATGCCGTGCTATCTCTTCATTCAAGCGAATTATCATTGAACCGTGCATATTGACAATGAAACTAACCAGCGAATCGTTCCACGCGATTGGCAGGTGAGATACCTTTTCGAACAAGTCCGATACGATTGGCATACTTTAGCCGACGCTGAGGAAATTGAAATAATACAGAAATATGCGAACAAAGGGAGGCTGTACAGTTTCCTTGCAGGATGTAAGAAACAAAACTAATCGTCTTTTTAAATACTTTATTGTGTATATATGTGTGTGTGGGTCTTGCTTCTTCTCTTTTATCACAGTCTTTAAAAACTTGTTGCATCTCTCACTTATTGCAATATCTCTTGTCACAATAATAATTGCGACTATATTTACCGGACATTGAACAGAGTTTTTTGAGAGAAAAATTCAAAGACGCGTTACAGGAGCGATTTCAGCTGGTCGTTTCGATAAATATTATCGCTAATACTATTGACATATGTATTGTATAGTAGTTTGGCTGGTGTTTTAGTGATCGTGTATTCCGGCACTCTGCTTTTCCTCATATCACTCTTCATACCGGACTTTCTCGATATTATTGCGCCGTTGGACGAACCTCGACGACATGAGATACCGATAATGATTGAATGTTTCGTCGATCAAGAGAAATATTTTTACATTATCGTTTTGTCGTTAGCGATATACGCTATGACCGGTATGACCGTGTTACTGGCCGCCGAAACGTTGTACATGATATACATACAACACGCGTGTGGACTATTTAAGCTTACCAGGTGAATCCCATTTGTTACTATTAAACGTTTCGGATGTGTCATCTTCGCCAGTCTACACGTAGCAATCTTAAATTTGCGATTGATGTTGCCGCAGTTATCGGATATTGAATGCATTCGACGATCATTCGCAGCAGATGAGTACGTCTACAACAAAATGCAGTATTTGCGTTAAATTATGCGGCGCTATTAAGATACATAGACGTTCTCTAGAGTACGTATCAGTCAACTTAAGGATGATTCACACAGCTTAATTATACAACTTGATTACAGTGTTTCAAAATGGGCGGGCTGATTATATGTAATTATAATTTTCTTATCAAGACAAACAGAAAAAATTCTGTAAACATAGTGACTAAAACGCTTAGTTGAAAAGTTAATATGGACTCAAGTTTAAATGAATTAATTTCAGTGTATTGTTACAATAGCGACTTTTGTTAATTTGATGATTCTGAAATTTCTAAAGGTCGATAAGTTAGCAAAAATTAAGGCACTATTGTAACGATATATTCTTGAGACCAAATAAAGTTAAAATACTATTTAATACTATTACTTTAATACTATTTTTTCTTCCGACAAATAGTAATTAGTGAGATATCCTAAGTTAAATATTGAAAAAATATTCTTTAAATATCTCAAAAAATATTAGGCAGATAAAAAAATGTTTCAGACAAAAGTTGTTAAAATTAACTGGTAAAAAAAGATGATATAATAAAATATGGGATTTTCTATTTAAGAAAAGTAACGATCAGTGAATATCTCGAAAGTGGCGCCATTTGTAAACGAAACAATATAGTTGTTTGATATCTCCCTTCAAACCCTATACACTTATAACTTTTGTCTAAAATATTTTTTTTAAATGCTTAGTTTTCGAGATTTCGATTTCGTCGTCTCGGTACTTTTTATACACTCTGTATATGCCTATAATAATATTTATTTAAATCTATACGCATGATTTTTATCTGCGAAGCAATTTGAAAACAATTGTTTATTCGTCGTGCAATTGACGACGAACAACAACTTTTACAAAGAATAGAAGATGGATATCAAAAACGCGATACTCCAGGAGTTTTTTAACATACAAAATAATCTATAATGCGAAGAATCCAGAATTGTATCGTTCCACGCGCTGAATATTTTGAGCATTTTCTATTTTCTTTTTTTTTTCTTTTTTATTTCATACAATTCGTTACTCATATAGTTCTTTTACATTGAAATTAATTTTTTTTAACTTTGACTCGACATTAATTTTCTAATTAAGTGTTTTAGGTATAATATTTTTTTTCTTTTTTAATTTAGGCACTATAGCTTTTAGAAACTTTTTAGTTTACTTGATGGGAAGAATATAACCAGCCTATTCTTTTTGAAACACCCTGGATATCTGTTTATCGTTAAGTTGATCTATAGAATGTTACGTGTTGTAAACAATTGTATTGAATAACATGTTTGAAGCAAGCTTAGTATATCTATGCGCTGATTAGTTAAAACCGCTTCGTGAGATAACTATTTGCGTATATATTCCCAGACATCTACCTGTTTGACTTACACAAATACTTGTTAAATTGACACAAATTTGAGTAAAAGAGACTCAATCCTATAATATCTCTTCTACTATTTAAGGTTTATCGATTACTTCAGCACAACTTTCTCCGGCTCCTACTTTATTTTGTGCGGATTCGCAGTGGCCTCCTTGAGCATTAATCTATTTCGAGTAAGTAAACATTTCCGCGCGGTAATGTCGACCCGCAACGGTCTCTTTTTGACTAGGGTGAATCGCGGTTGTTCTTTCGTCCCAGTTCATGCATGCTGCGAGAAATGACGCCTTAAACGAAGCGATCTCTTCCGGTCTGTTTGTTTACGCTCACTTCTGTCATGTAATTTGGAACAATTACTTCGGTCAAGACTTGACAGACCATAGCGCCGACATGTTTGCACAAATGTGAGTATAATAATGTGTATAATCTGTACTAAATCCTGCTAAGATCAGACTACTCGTTACCAAACACGGAAAACTATTAATTTTTATTTAGATATAATGCACAATGGTACACGGCGCCTTTGCATGTACAGAAGATGATACTGTTTATACTTCATCGAAGTGCGAAGAACATCTCGTTCAACGTCGGTAGTATATTCGTACTATCGTTAGAGGGTGTCGCTACGGTACGAGTGTTTTCTTTTACAAGTAAATATACGAAGAAGACTGATTGTCTAGTAATATATTTGATATAGGTCATATGAAACACGTGAATTTTTTATTACAGCTCATTAACATGTCTATGTCGTATTGTATGCTCATCTATTCGACTCGCACGTGATTTGTAGCAAAGATTACTGCGATCATCTATAGTGCATGAATGACATCGACTGTCATAATGAAATTTTAGCTCATTCCAGCACATAATATCATAGAGAGCACCTGTGTAATTTCCGTTTCTCCAATAATACATTGTATAATTGAAAAAGAAAAGAATTGATCTCTAATGTCGAGGAAGTCACGAGTCACATTTCGAATCTCGAGCGACACGAGTAATCGACACGCGCGTAAAATACGTTTCCTTCGGAAGCATCCGCAATGGACGATAACGACACAACGACCTCACAGTAGCGGCGGAACTTGAAACTTTGTTCATAAGAGACTCGTAAGAGCATTTGTGATAGCGGACGATTCCAAGCAGAATGAGACGCAGGGTAAACACTTAGGCGTATTGCGCCTGCGTCACATCGTCAGTGTGAAAAATGTACACCTGCTACGTAAATTATTCGCGCCTTGCAGATACAACTGTGTGTTGAATTTGCATAACGTATAATTTAGTTCGAATTTAGTTAATCGACACACATTTCCTGCGTGGTGTCTTCGAGACGTTTCAGCATATTTCAGTCAATCAAGTCTCCCCTTTCTCTCACCGAGTGGCGTGTATGCTATTTGGAAGATATCCCTTAAATTGACTGTTAATGTCGATTACGCGTTATTTCCGTGAAAGGGATACACTGGGGGAAATTATTAAACGATGTGAATGGGAATGTAAAAAAGCGAAGAGGTTGCGTGGTGAAAGCAAAAGTCCGCGCATGCCAGAAACGTCTTAGCTTCTAGCGAAAATGGATGTGTACGACGATCGATTCTATGGATTCACGCGACGTTTGATGATCTCGATTGGTCTCTGGCCCTATCAGAATCCGCGGTACAGAAAACTTTTACGGATACTCGTGTTTCTCGTTCATGTATCGGGTATATTAAGTCAGGTAACGGCGTTTACACATCGCTTATACTCTCTAACGAATTTGTTGCGTTTGTTTGTTGCGTGATGCGTTACTTTATCTGCAATTATCTCCATACATATTTTATTGTATATTTCTTTAACTTTGCTCTTATTTTACTATTATTATTTACATTACAATCACATTACATTGTTATTATTAAATAATTGTTTATTTTAATCTTCCCTTTTATATTTATTTCACTTTATATTATACAGGGTGTCGCATTTTAAAGTTTTCACTCAAATATCTCTTTAGGAAAACATTCAAGAAAAAATGTTTTGTAGACAAAAGTTACTTGCGTTGAAGGGGGACATAAGACAGCGATATCATTTTGTTTACAGATGGCGCCACTTTCGAGATATTCACTTATCATTACTCCCCTTTTTAACGGGCACTCCAATTTTTTATTATATCATCTTTTCCTACCAATTAATTTTATCAACTTTTGTTCCAAACATTTTTTTATTTACCTAATATTTTTATCTAATATTTAAGTGGTATTAGAAATTTTTATTCTCTTTGATGTCAAGAAGATATTGCAATAACGCCTTGACTTTTGTTAAATTGATAATTTTGAAATTTTCAAAGGTCGATAAGTTAACAAAAGTTAAGGCATTATTATAGCAATATATTCTTGAGACTAAATAAAGTAAAAAAGTCTAATACTATTTTTTCTTTCGGCAAATAGCGAGATATTGTAAGTTAAATGTTGAAAAAGTTATTAAGTTTTATTTAAATATCTCAAAGAATATTAGGCGAATAAGAAAATGTTTCAGACAAAAGTTGTTTAAATTAATTGGTAGAAAAAGATGGTATAATAAAAAATTGGGGTTTCCGTTTAAGAAAAGTAATGATTAGTGAATATTTCGAAAGTGGCGCCATCTGTAAATAAACTGTTATAGTTATTTTATGTTCCCCTTGAAACCATACAACTTTTGTCTGAAACATTTTTTTCTTAAATGCTTTCTTAAAGAGATATTTTAGTGGAAACTTTAAAATGGGACACCCTGTATTTACTTGATTTTATCTTTAACGACCTCACAGTAATGAAATTAAATCTAACTCATGCGATCTTTATATTTCGGTTCTTGCGGTCAGTTGTCTCTCGAATAACGTACGCGCATAACATGATGTGCTTACAGTATATGAGTTTCTTTACGTATCAGTACAGCATGAAGTTGCTCATCGAAATAATATCCTTCAATATGCTGTTGTATATATATATTTTGAAGTACAATGCGGTTTATCTGAACTCTACAGGGGTGAGTTGAATATCTTGCGGCTGAATATCACGCAGAAACTAGCAAGTACATGTTCTTATCATCCTGATCATGAGTACATACACGAACCGTGCGTGAGACTAAAGAATTGTCAGTTCATAAAGTTCGTTTTATTCGATGCAGTGTCCGTGTGATCGCGACGTAAGACACTGTTCTTACTAGTGTTTTTTTCTTCATCGCAGGTGAAATTGTTGCTGGAACAGATTAATTGCGACTGTAATGCGCTAACGGACACTCGGGAGATTGAAATAATACAGAAATATGCGTCTAGAGGAAGACAGTATACTATTTATTCCGGACGTTAGTAGCATCGCGTTTTATTTCGCGCTGCATTTTGCGCTGGACGAGCCGTTAAGGCACATCTTATTCTACTTAATGTCACTTAATATCTCAACACTTTGAGGACTGTATACGCAAGCGTCGATTGCATGGAGACGTTAATGTGCCCGGTCCGCAAAGTGTTAAGAGGGGAATCCTGTCTGTAGGGTCAAAAAAATTGATTTTTTTTACTACATTTTCTGAAAATACATATTGTTAAGAATCCATTCTAAAATCCGTATCGAAAAATTCAGAAAATTACAGAAGTTACAATCTATTATTCGAAGCGGCGTACAAATCAAAATCAGAGCGCTCACTGGGTCTTTCAAAGTTTCGTCATACAATTGCTGTAGAAACAATTCTACGAAACTTAGGAATAAGGTAAACCTAGTAAAAAAAAATTCCATGAGGTCGAGGAGAATTTATTACATGGACCTGGAATTGCCGATTAGGCTGAAAATTACGTGAGTACTAGAAATATGATTGAATAGTACATGAAATTTTAAACATGTTTTTTTCGAAATGACTGCTTTAACTGGCTCTCACGATTTGAGACAAACTAATGAATCGATCAATTTCAGCATGTAGTTATTATTCGAAACATGTCTTTCTATCGTGTGAACTAGCGAAATTAAAAAATATTAATTTTTTATGTTTATTTTTAACGTAAAACTACCGATTTTTATGGCGATTCTTCAAATATAATTTTTGCCTTAAAATTATGCCTTAAAATTATTGGAAAAGTAATTTGTTTTTTATTTCTTTAGTTCAGATGATAGCGGCAAATTCGTAGATTAATTATCTTACTTGCGTTTTTGTCCCAGTCCACCATATCTCGAGATTTTATGGGAGCCGTGAAACGGCGCGCGCCTAAACACATCATGTTATTTTTTGTGTATCTGCTGCATTCTTATTCATACAACACTATAAAAATTCATTCTTATAAGTTAAATATATATTGTTGCGCTTGCTCGCGCCCACTCGCGATCAGGAAATGAATACACACGTTTATAAAATAACATTTACTAAGCTTGTATTTGCAGCGTGATTAGAATTTTAATAAAAACTCGCGGTCTCAGATTCGTCATACGTCAGCTCGCGACGACGGCTCGTGTGTATCTCTCAGCTGTTTTTGTTTTCTTCTTATCGATTTTGCGTCGTCCAGACAATCTTCCTTCAATTGTCAAAATCAACATCAGATGCCTAAGGCTCGCGGACAACGGACGCTGCCACAAACTTTGTGGCTCGGACACAACAATATTATTATTTCTACCAAGTTTGAAATCAATCGTCCACTTAGTTTCCGAAAAAAAATTCGTGAAAGTAGCTTATTTTTTTGGCCTACAGACAGGATTCCCCCCTTAAAATGCGCTGAGAATCAATGTAAACTGCCGCCTTCCGATCGTTCCAGTGTTCGTTTATCCGGGTACGGTGGCTTTCATTCTATCCTTATGCGTGCCCGACATTCTCAACTTCATAGCGCCACTGGACGAGCCTCGTCAACGACAACTGCCCACTCCAATAGAATGCTTTGTCGATCAGCAGAAATACTTCTATATGATAGTGTTATTTATGGTAGCGATTGCGTTGTTAGGCATGACCACGTTTATGGCCACCGAAACGCTGTTCATGGTATTAATACAGCACGCCTGCGGATTGTTTACGATCTCGAGGTAAAAGATATATCGTTTGAGAGAAACATACGTCTTGCGATTGTCTTTCGGCGCTGATATTTTCGGTGGTAGATTGCGGTATCACGTCATGACGAAAAAAGAAGAAAAAAATAGAAAACAGGAGTGTTGTGTAATCTTCTGTCGTGTACATAAGCTATCCTTAGCGTAGTCAATTTATATTTAAACGCGAATGGCTGCAAATGACTTCTGCTGAAAATATTTGTCGCTGTCGTAGCGGCGATCTTTGTTATCGAGCAGTTTTACACGCGGGGCTATATTCGGGTATTCGTTTTTTCTTTCTCTTTCAGCTATCGCTTGGCTCACGCATTTGACGATTGCAAAAACGTATCTGTCATCACCGCGAAGCTGATACGTGCCATAAGGATTCATGAGCGGTCTTTACAGTACGTAAATCGATCTCTCACGGGAGATCCAGTTGCATTCGATGCCTCAATATGATGATTATTTTCCTACGAAACAAAACACTAACAGCTAGATTCTCCCATCGAGTCTGTTTTCGGCACAAGCAGTCTTGTGGTTACCTCAAGTTTTAAGTATCTTGCTTATTTTTACGATAAACTCTATCGAACACTTGTACTGAAGTATTGAAGCTGAAGAAAGTTTGGTAAATATTTACAATAACGGACCACTCTCCCACGGTCTTCACATTGACATATATTATAGAACTAATCCTCCTGAGTAACAATCAAAAGGTTTTAGTCGTCGCTCATTGTTTATTAAAAAGTTATGAATAAATGAAATTTTATAGAGAGTCCATTTTCTTTAGACACAATGTATATTAAACAATATTAAACAATACATATAGGCGGGAGAGGGGCTTCGCATCCCCTCCTCAAACAAATCCTAATCTAACCTAACTTATTGCTTCTTTATATATTTTTGGACATTGTTGAAGAACTTCTCTTAAGATCTATCATCTAGCCCAACTTAATTTATTATATCTGCATATAATCAGGTATTGCGGGTTTTAAGGAGATCTTTTCAACAACGCCCAACAATGCAATAAGTTAGGTTAGGATTTTTTTGGGGAGGGGGAGGGGCCCCTCTTCCGTTTATATGTACTATTTTTTATATTTCTATGTATATGCTATGTTTGTATTAGCTGTATGGAAGAGTACCGTATATTGATTCATTATTCCTTGCAAGTACGTTTCATAGGTCTAATATCAACGACGAGCTTATTCCATTCCGGTAAGAAATGTAAACAAAACAACTTATCGTACGATACGACGATAGGAAACTATAATATCTATATACAATGTCTGGAAATTATCGGAGGAGGATTGTCTGTTATTGTAAATATTTACCATTAATTATATTATTTCTTTACGATATATGTATATTGTAAAAGTGTACATCGATTACAGCAAGGTGAGGTGGTGTCACGAGTTCTCGCGTCATTAAATATTAACGTTTTCAATGTTAAAGATTCGTCAAATTTATAAATTCCTGTTTCGCTGTATCCTACGCGTGTCTTACAGCACTCGGCATGATTTCTCTAGTTGCCAATATGTTACGAGTGAGTAGCGTTTATTTATCCGAACTTTTCACTTTTTACTTCTAACTAATGTTGGAATGCATAGAGAGAGAGAGAGAGAGGGAGAGGGGAGGAGGGAGAAGACGGCGGATGAGAACGCACGAAGATTATTTAATGCGGTCGCTCACACGGCGCACTCCGAAAAATACAACCCACGGCTTGTTTCAGTTGCTCCAAGCGATCGAGAGCAACATCGTCAACGAGATATTCGCTTCCGCTTTATATGTCATAGCTCATTTCTGTTATGTGTTCTGGGTGAATTATTTCGGACAGTATCTATCCGACCACAGCGACAGCATCTTCGACAATACGTGAGTACTACGTCGAAAGTAGAATTTCGTCGGAGAAAGCACGAGTCAGATCGACGATTAAATAATAATAAAATTAATTCCGTTGGATCAATAATAAATAACGAGTGAAAGCTCACCGTACCAATTACCGTCGAATTTACCTTCTGAATGACCTATCTCTGGTACACACAACCGGTCTCTGTTCGATCGAAATTGTTCGTTTATCGACGAACTTGATTCGGCTTGATACGGTTTAACGGATAATTTCATTGACGTAGTTACATACCGAAAGTTAGAAAGCCAACGAGCTTATAATGAACAATAATGAAGCTACAGTGAGGTTTATTTCTGTCGATATACGTAGATACAACACACGATGGTACATGGCACCTCAGCATGCTCAGACATTACTATTCGTCGTACTGCAACGCTCGTTAAGGACGTGTATTTTCAACACTTTCGGCGGTTTGCTAGCCGCATCGATGGAAGGTTTCGCCTCGGTAATATTTAATCGCGACGACTGTTAAACATATCGCTAACAACGCGCTAAAGAGGATTTACGGTGACTCAACAGCCACAACTGTTTTCATTTCAGCTCATTAGTCTCTCGGTGTCCTACTTCACGATGTTGTACTCGTTCCGAACGTGATGCAACTCACGCGATCGCAGAGCAATACGCGGTAGCGATGATATCGGAGACTCATGTTGCTTATTGATTTCATCATCGAGCTCTTTGCAAGCTGCAACGAGGAATGCAACTCTTCAAACTCGCATTCGACGTACCACGTGTCGAGATAGCTCGACCGGCTTAGAAGAAAAATAAATTAACCTTTAATAACGAATGTTGCGAGATCACTGTGATATATATGAACCATCTACCCCTTTTTTCTAATTTATATCGGTTTACAAATCGCAACGTGAATGAATTATTAGGAGGTTGAATTAATTCTGGTGCCTAGCAATAGATGGCTTTAGTAACAATTAATAGTTAATACGAATGTTAAAATCTGACAACATTGAGAGATTTGACATTTCTCTATGACATATGGCAATTTGTGCGCTATTGTTACTGATAGTTTCATCGCGTCTAAAATGGATCATACAAAATTGCATCTTCGACATTTATTCCTTTTTTTGTTTGATTCGAAAAAATCGGCAACTGAAGCTCATGAAATGCTTGTTACAACTTATGGTCAAGTTTCATCGTATTCCAACTGTAAATTTTAGTTTCAACGATTCAAAAGTACTAGTCAACCAAAAAAAAATTCGGAGATTCTGAACTGCAAGCATTATTGAATGAAAACACCGCTCAAACAGAAAAACAATTGACTGCATAACCCAACGTCGATAAATCAACAGTTTCTAAACGCCTACACGCCATGGGAAAAATTCAAAAGGAAGGCAAATGAGTTCCACATGAATTGAGTGAAAATGCCATTGTAAATCGTTTGAATATCGCCATGTCTTTGTTTGTCAGACAGAAAACAAAAATTTTCTGTGGCGAATTATAACTGGAGATGAAAAGTAGATTTATTTTGATAATCCAAAGCGAAAAAAATCATGGGTTGATCCAGGACAACCATCAACTTTGACACCAAAACGGGACATTCAAGGTCACAAAACAATGCTCTGTATTTAGTAGGATATGGAAGGTGTGGTGTACTATGAGCTTCTAAAACTGAATGAAACAGTTATTCTCGCGGCGAGTTTAAGGGGAAAAGCGTGGGCGGTTTTAGAAGGAATGGAAGAAGAATTCACTTATCAGGAGATTAGGGCTAAGCTAGAGTTTTGTTTCGGGGAGCAATTTTGTTTTCAGAAATTACGGGGGAGCGATATCAACAACAATCGAACAAATTGAATGATGAATTGACGCAGAAAAGGTCAGCGATAGCCAGCAATAGAAGCAAGTGATTTTGCACGTGATTGCTTGTCCTTATGTTGCTTCAATCGTTAAACAAACATTGTTAGAGCTCGAATGGGAAATCCTCCCGCATTTAGCATACTCTCCAGACCTAGTACCGTCTGATTACCATCTATTCTGATCGATGCAACACGCTTTGGCAGATACACACTTCAGTAATTACGAGGATGTGCAAAGATGGGTGTCTAATTGGATTGCTTCGAAAGACAGACGACGTTCTATTGTCGCGGAATCGCTATGTTGTCAGAAAGATGAGAAAAAGTCGTAGCTAACGACGTAGCTAAATATCTTGATTGACGTGAATTTAACCTAATTTCTTTAAAATAAAGATAAACAAATTGACAAAATAAGGCCAGGATTAATTCAACCTCTTAATACAACGACGACCGTTTCTTCCTCGGAAGCAACGTCACTGTTGACGCGATAGGGATTATCGCGATGAGAGATACAAAACGATGTAGTCATTTTGTAACGCCTTCGACATTTACGGCGATAAAATTCGTGTCCAAAATACACACACAGCCATTCATCCACACTCACTTACACCACATATTCCTAATCAAACAGTCTCACACGTATCTAGCCGACTGATAGGTGTTTGATGTTATCGTGCAAGCTGGTTCCCCGAGCGATTCGTCGCTCTTTTCGCGCATGGTAACGACGGATATGGTCTTCGGAGGGGGAGGGGGGGGGGAAGTAGCAACACGCGACGGTCTGCCACGCAAACAGCCATTATTAAGCTGAGGGACAGTCCATCCGCGTGGCACGCGCGTAAACACACGTTGCGACACTGTTGTGTCGTTCCTCGTCGCGGGAAAACCAACAGCGGTTCCCGTACGGAACGTGCAATTTGGTTGCAATTTTGCGCTGCAGTCGGCGTCTCCATGGTTTATGCAGCGCGATAGTCGCCAATGACTCATCTAATTCCGCTTTAAAGACCGCTCGGTCGTGAGCTAATTCACAAATTGCCCTTCCGATATACGATTTCTCGTAATTCGCCGTCTATTATCGTCGTTACGATGCGGAAAATGAACGTAAAGCGTAAAGCGAGATTGTAAGAGCCGATAAAATATTCCGCCGAGGGTGCAGGTAATGCAGCCGCGTAATAATCCCGGCGAGCGTGCGTGCGTGCGCAAAATCACGACGACTGCCGATCGGGATGGACTTCTTCGACAATGAGTATTACGGGCTCACCCGACATCTCATGACGTTGATCGGCCTGTGGCCTTATCAGACACCGATGTGCCGTGTCGTCCGATTGTGCTGCATGACCGTCGTTCTCGTTTCGTCCATACTGTTTCAGGTGTCTCCGATCGTAGTCGAATCGACAGTGCATTCGCGTTCACCGTTCACCGTTCACGACCGCTCATAGAGGCGTGCTATTTGTTTTTGTAACTAAATCCGCGGGGAAAAAGAGTGCGCGGAGTGTTCTGCGAAACGACGTGGCTAACCCGCAGAAATTGGTCTATGCCAATTGAATAGAGTTGCATGAAGCGTATGGTTCGCGGTTCGATGCGCTTCGCGAGTGACAAAAAAAGATGTCGAATATGCCTGCAGTTTTTGTTAAAATTCAATCGGAAGATAGTGTCGTAACGTTTCTCGTTCGCGTCTTTTCCGCGTCTTTTTGTGCGTATAGGTTACTAAAATCTACGAGAATCATTGCGACAAGTCGTGTAGAAGATGAATTTTTGCACATTTAACATTGCGTCAATTAAACGTCGTGCACGAAGAATTAGGCTATACTCGATCTATGTGAAAGTCCTTTCTTATCTTCTTTCTCTATCTCTTTCTTCCCTTCTGTACTTTTTTAGTGCATGGTGTTTGTCACGAACGAGTACACAGTACCGCTATTCATCGAGGTTTTCTCGTTTAATATTCTCTGTATAATTTATGCGCTGAAATATAATACGGTGTACTTTAAGGCGAATCATGTAAGTCAATTGTAAACGTAAACGTCGTGAGATGGCTCAACAGCGATTCTTGGAAACGTGCGTTCATCAGCTTAGATGTTCGTTGTTTGTAACCGCAGGTGAAACAGCTCTTTAATCAGATCCAACATCACTGGAACTTAATCGAAAACGTGGACGAATTGAAAATACTACAGAAGTATGCGAGTAAGATCAGATTTTTCACGATCTTCTCTGGATGTAAGTGGAACAGCATATGTTGAGTGTGTGAAGAGAGAGAGAGAGATAGTTAGCGATTTTAATTCCCGATAGTTCTGATTAGAGTTCCAGCCTTCTTTTGAACAATATAGAAGTCCTTAAATGTTTATAAAAAGTTTCGGCGATTAAGATTATTGAAATGACCATTGAAAGATGTGGTGTTAACTTTGCATCTAACGTTACGACCGAATGGTTTTGTGTGACTCATTTTATGTTTTTCCATAAATATTAGAGTTCCCGAAGAAAAAATTTTGGTTTTCTTTAAGAAACTAGAAAAGGTTGAGAAATCTAAATATTAAGCCCGAATAATTTTGCGTAGCTTATTTGATTCCTTTGGATGAGTTTTAGAGTTTACAAGTGGGAAATGTCCAATCCCAGGAATTGTTTAAACCATCGCTATTGAATGTTACACAACCGATATATTTGACGTGGAATAACTTCTTAATTAGCTTTTTGGATCGCTTTTGACCATGATAATTTCTTTTAGGACTCTCGGAATAATAACCAAAAATGCCATCACAAAAATTTTTTGGGGCTATACAAAAATGTTGATCGATATTTAAACGAATTTTGCTAATTTCTGCTTTCCAGATGGAATAACTTTTTAATTAATAATGTACTGGGTATTGGTATGGATACTATATTGCTATGGGTATGATTAAAAAAAAAATCGAAAGTTTTTAGGAGTTCCAGGAATTCTGATTTTTCTTTTTTGATAATATTTCCAAAGTCCTCAAAGAAATTATTATGGTTAAAATTAATCCAACTGCTAATCGAGAAATTATTTGATGTCAAATGATTCAATTGTGCAACTTTCAATAACGATCTTTTAAATAATTCTTGGGGTTGGAAATTTTTTATTTATTTATCGGGAATTCTAGAACTCGTCAAAAGAAACCAAATGAGCTATTCAGAACTATTTAGATTTAATATTCGATTTCTTCAATTTTTCTTAATTCTGGGGAAAATCAAAACTTTATTTTCTCTCAAGAACTCTGGTACTCATTAAAAAACATCAAATGAACCATTCAAAATTATTCGGTCGTGATATTAGGTGTGAAGTTAGCATCCTATTTTTTAATTGTTATTTTAGTAATATTAATCGCTAGAACTCTTTATAAATATGAAGGAACCACTATACTCTTTAAACGGAAGCTAACCAGAACTATGAAGAATTGAAGTTGGAGTGCTAATTTCATATATTTGAATACGTTCTTATCACGTTGCATAATTTTCGTACTTGCACTTTATTCTAGAAAAAGTGGAATAAAATATGTGTCAAAGTTAAACATACGCACGCGCGCACGCGCGCGCGCAAAAGAAATCTGCCAAATTTTTGAAAATGTAAAATCTATTGCGAAAGAGATTAAAATTTCTATCATTAATCATTCTAAATATTACCTGCTCACTTTTAACGTTTTCAGCGATTGTTTATCCAGGAACACTCGCATTTTTTTTGACGATGTTCGTGCCAATTGTGCTCGACATTGTGGCGCCTATGGATGAGCCACGTCCGCGACAATTTCCGATACAGCTGGAATTATTTATTGACCAACAGAAACATTTCTATCTTCTTTGTATTATCATTATGATATCCGGTTTGTTAGGCATGACGGTGCTCATGGCGACGGAAAATATGTTTATGATATTTATGCAGCACGCTTGTGGATTGTTCGAAATTGTCAGGTAAAAGAATTGAAATGCTCCGAGTATCTTGCTTCATTTTTTCTTCCCCTACTGCTTAATTCTAAATGAAATATATATTATATAACTATATGTATCATTATATTTTTAAAGGAAGAAGATTGTTTATTTATATCTTATAAGGGACATCTACAAAATATTATGTTTACTTTTTAAAGATGTATATATTTTTGAAAAATATTGCTGGCTCACCGAAACAAGTTCAACGTTGTGTAACATTGCTGCACGAAATGAGAATAATAGTAAAAAGTCGAGAGTCAAAATTTAACCAATAATGAAATTAGTGACTACTTACGAATATATACAACTTTTAACACTATCTACATATTTCAAAGATATATATGTTTTTAAGAAAGTAAGAAAGTTTTTAAAGTTAAGTTAAGTTAAGAAAGTTTTTAAAGTTAAGTTAAGAAAGAATATGTTTTTAAGATTTATATATTTTCAAGAAAAATTTACTGATACAAGTTCAATGGCATATATCATCAGAACCAAGTAGGTCAATTTTGTGTTGAGTCAAATTTTAATCGAAATTAGCCAACCCGATTTTTGGCTTACTTGGCCGTTGCAACAGTAGTGATGTACAAGATAGGAAAAAAAGATCGGACCTCATGAATAACTTTAAAAATATGCAAGATAGAAAAAAAATGTTAAACCCAGAAATTGTAAGATTTTAAATGACGCATCACGTAGCAATACTCGTATGACCTTAATAACATCATCAAGGTTACGGAAAGGTCACCTTGAATTTGTAAATGGAAGTTGCCATTTTTATTATATCATCCTTTTTATTATTCCAATTAATTTGAATAATTTTTGTTTGAAAAATATGCTGTTATTGATACAATAGTGCCCTAATTTTTGTTAACTTGACAAGCTTGGAAATTTCAAAATCATTATGTTAACAAAAATTGGGGCACCATTAACATGTAACAGCATATTCTTGAGAACAAATAAAATAAAAAGTCTGCTATTCTCCATCTTTTCTTTCGATAGATATCATACGCCAAATAAAAAGTTACCAAGTTTTCCTTAAATATCTCAAAAAATATTAGACAAATAAAAGAAGTCTCAGATAAAAGTTGTTCAAATTAATTGGTAGAAAGAAGGAGGGCGTACTAGGTAGCGACGGGACGCCGTGCGTTCGGGACCTGCATCTTCTTTTCGTTCCGAAGAGAGAAAAATATCGAGAGCGCGGTAGTCGCTAGACCGGGAATCGAACCCGGGTCTTTCGTTTGCCGGGCGACTGCTCTAAACTACTGAGCTACCTGACGCTCCACGCTCATGAGGAGAGATGGTAGAAAAAAATGATATAATAAAAAATGAAGTTTCAAATTAAAAAATTCAAGATGACCTTCCTATAATCTTGATGACGCTGTTCAAAGTCATTAGTGTTGCTATGCAAAGGTCATTCTACGATACGTGTCGTAAGTTGTAAGCCGTAAGAATTGGCGAGTCACAGTCGATTATTACAAAAATAATCGGTTATAATTGGTCAGTTCTTACAGCTTACAACTTATGACATGTATTGTAGAATGATCTTAATACGTCTCACTTAAAACCCTACAACTTTTGTATTTAACATTTTTTTCTATCTTACATATTTTCAAAGTTATTCAGGACATCTGACCTTTTTTCCATCTCTGTGAGTCGTTGATATAAATACTTATATAAATATTTTTAAGAACATATACATCTTTGAAATATGTAAATAATGTTAAAAGTTGTATATAAATAGTTACAAATAAGTTACTTATAAACAGTTACTAATTTCATTACTGGTCAAATTTTGATCCCCGGTTTTTTGCCATTATTTGCATTTCGTGTAATAATGTTAGACATGTTGAACTTATCTCGGTGAATACTTTTCAAAAATATATACATTTTTGAAAATTAGACGTAACATTTCGTAAGTGTCTCTTGTTAGAGATACACAACTTCATCAATACATATTTTTAATACACATAGTATTACTTCTAATACTTTTCTCTTGACGTTGACCGTATAACGATTATGACGATTCTTTTAATTTTATTTTTTCCTTTTTTTATTTTAAATTTTGAAATCTCAAACGGCATAAATATGCAGTTGTATTTTTACAGCTATCGCATAACATGCGCATTCGACAAATATTCGCCGAAAACAACACCGTCGAAAAATGAATGGAGAGTTTGTGTTAAGTTATTGAACGCTTGTAACATTCACCAGCAATGTTTGGAGTAAGTAAACTTGATACATGGCACAACAATTATTTATAATTGTTATGGGTTTAAAATAAATATAAGAGAGAATCTTATTCGCGATAAAGTAACAAGATCGTGTACGTATATATATATATATAGGGTATTTAAAAAAGATAAGTTCAAGACTTTAAGGATGAATAATACTAGTAGAATGGAGGAAAGAAGTCTTAAGAAACATTGGTCGAAAAATTGATATTGTCGGGGTTATAAACAATTATTTATTTTAATTTGCTTATTCGCTTCTAGTGATTTTGTATTCTCTAATGTAATTTTTCTATGTCATTTATCGATAAAGAGAGTACATTTAAAGGAATCCCTAAAAAAAGCCTCTTAACTCTTGATTGGAATGTGAACAAACATCTATTTACTTCCCACTTATACACACACTTCACAAAGCAATTATAATTGCTTTGTGAAGTGTGTATATAATAATTATTAATAATTATTAATCACATATGCTCGTAAACAGTGAACAGTTGCAAAGAACTCACAAGATTTTCACAGTACAATAAGAATGACAATTATTCTAATCAAGAAATGAGGCAGAAATGCATCTTATATATGGCTGCGCGCCAGAAGCGAATAAGTCACTTGCTTTAATTAAAATAAATAATTGTTCATAGCTCTGACAATATTAATTTTTCGATGGTTATATTGTTTTGGGGCCATATTTACTAGGATTATTTTTTTCTTCCATTTTGTGAATACTATCTGCCCTTGAAGTTCTGAACTTTTTTCTTCTTTAATCATTCTATATAATCGTTGTGTTTAACTCACGCTTCATCACTAAATAAATAACTCGTTTGTCTGTTTTTACTTGTAACATAAATGATTTTCTCAACTTTTTAAGATTCGTCGAGAATGTACAAAGTAAATTCGCAGCATCCTATTTAGTTCTATGCATATTAGGCGTGGCGTCCTTGAGTGTCAATATGTTTCGCGTGAGTGACAATTTTGCACGGAATTAGTTGTTTCATACGTATATATAAAATTTTAACATCATGATCATCGGTTATAATCGTCATTGGATTGGTTGCTCGCAGCTTTTTCTGGCGTTTGCAATGCATAATGTGTCCGAAATTATTACTTCCGGCTTATTCGTGTACGCCCACTTTTGTTACGTTTTTTGGATGAACTATTTCGGGCAGGATCTGATTGATCATAGCGAATGCTTATTTCAACAAATGTGAGTAATCCTTCGCAATTTTCACGTTTAAGAGAAAATCTTGCACATGTCCTTTCAATCATGCAATAGCATTCATAGATTACTTGTGACAATCTCAATGACTCGTTGTAATAAGGAAATGCGTGTGCAGAAGACTTCTTTGAAAAATATGTTGAGTCGTTGACCTTTCATATATTAATATGCAGATGCAATACGCAGTGGTGCACAGCACCGTTATACGTGCAGAAATTGTTATTCATCGTATTACAACGAAGTATGAAGACGAGCAAAGTCATCATCGGCAGTTTATTCGTTGCATCGTTAGAAGGTTTTGCCTCGGTAATATGAAATTACATCGTATCAAGTATATGCATTGTATCAAGGAACGGATAATACGGATAAGTTAACTATGTTTTAATATATTTTTTACTTTGTTTCATTGATAGGATAATCTTTTTAGTACTTTCCATTATATTATTATATCTTATATCACTTACAGGAGTGGTATTAGCTTTAAACGAAATGTTAAACTTATTTGTGGTAAACGGCCCATTTACTGACCTTTCAAAAATAGCAAAGATAGTTATTGTTTATTTATGGAAGCAAGGTAAGATGAAATTGTTAACATATAATTCTATCGCGTGAATCAAAGTTATTTGCATAAGATATACGTATTTTGCAAGTAAACAGATGTAGAAATTACGACAAAAATATTTAATTAAAAATATCAATCCACTGTCGGTGTTTTTGACTTTTTGGAAGTACCGATGTCGCATTTTCTAACACCATTGTCGACGCAATTTCCGACCCTTCATGGGGCCACAACTTAACCTCACAAACCAATTTTCACTTTGTACAATTTCACACATATAAATGTGAGAAAATATTTCCTTATTATTATACTTCCATATAATATCAAATAAAATTGCATTTAAATAATTACAATATTCAAATAAGGTATGCAATCAACACAGGAACAGATTTTAATGCATAGCCCCGAATGGACGTACCTCGAATTGACCTGTCGAATTTAACCGGAAAATAAACTTCGAAAAAAAAAAGTTTTCGTGTCAGAACAAACATTTAGCACTTTTTGAATTTAATCATACAACTTTTGTAGTATTCTCTACTCACGTGCTTATTAAAGTCCGTAAATATAACACGATTCACACTAGACTAGTTACATAAGAGAAACGGAACAAACACTTCCGAAGCGAGGCCCTCGGTTTCAGTCGGCAGACTTGATAATTATCTATTCAAAATGTCTGATTCCTCGCAAATGAAAGCAGTAAATAGTGCTACTTACTTTACTGATAATCGGTATAACGTCTTATGACTAGGAAAATTACGACAATTAAAATACATGTATATCGGAAGGGTCAATAAGTGCATCAGGGTCAGAAAGTGAGCCATTTACCTTAAATTCGGATCTTCGAATTGTAACGATGATAACGAGAATCGCGACTGTTGTCACATGTAAATAAGAAAATACAAAGAAACTTCTTGTTTCAGCTCACTAGTATGTCGTTGTCTTATTGTATGTTTATATACTCGACCAGCAATTGAAACACACAACGACGATTATAGACCAGTGCAAATGTAGACATTGTTCTGAAATCACCCGCAAGTGTGAATATATTAGCATCGACGATAGCGAGAAACGATCGGATCTCATCTGATGACAAAATTTGAAGTACGGATAAAACGAAATGTATATGAAATAAACACAGTACAATATATATTATGCACACCAGGGACTTAAAAATGCTTTCTTCTAACAACACGGTAAATATGTTAATCCCGAATGCACAGCGACTAACAAATAACATCAAACTCGAACTGGGCATTCGCGAATAAAACCGGAAACATCGTGAGCGTACGAATTGAATAATTGCACTGCAAATAATTAATGATTAATACTCGAATACATTCTTGGTATTTTATATTTATTTTCCTCCGTTTTCACATTGGGATGTCCAAATTGACCTGAGCGTTGCACTTCACGGCGACCTATACGAGAATGAGCTCTTTCCGCAATGTACCGAATGTTGCGCGCTTGCGCAAGAATAAAATATGAAACGTGTATAAAATATTCTTGAAGTGTCTCACACGGATAAACGTTACGTTATCATTACGTTAAATAACGCACATTAGGCAATTTATTTACACGTTATGCTATAGCTGTGCTTGCGAGTGCGTGAAGAAGAATCGATCCGTACTTTCCTGTATTTCCCCGACAATTTTCAGGTCTTTAGTGTAATGTAAAATTTTATTTAGTGCCATTTCTAATATCACTTCCGCAACGTTACCCGGACATTACATATAATGTGCGAAAAACATGACAATAGCATGTAATGCGAAAGGGCAGGAGTGCCGATATGTCAAGTCAAGCCATGAGCCCATAGGCTCACAGTCGTGCTCGAAGATTGTACAAAATGGATGTCGTCATGAGATACTACAATCTTAACCGTATTTTCTTACTGTGCAACGGCTTGTGGCCTTATCAAACAAACATGTCTAAGAAGATTCACTTGGTCTGCATACTTTTTGTCTTCATGCAATTTCTCATTTTTCAGGTAATATTATCATCTTCGTTCTGAAAAGTTCGCATGAAAAGAAATTGATACAAGTCTGAAATTGATACAGCGTGTCATATAGGGAAAAACAGTTCGTTATCGGAAAAAAAAATTAATCGTTTCTATCCGTCGATCGGTATATTCATTTTATCTTTCTCCTTTTCTTTATAACAAATATATATCAAATGCAAGAGACTTCCTCAATCATGGACAATTTATATGTCCTTAAAAGAGAGTAGCGAAATATTTGTTAAACAATGTCAAAGCGATCCGTACAATGAATCATTTCTTCCAGTCAATGATATTCATCACAGTCGATTTCAGCATTCTGCTACTTCTAGAAGTTCTTTCGACTTTATTCATATCCCTTGTTTTTGTGTATAAATATGGCACGATATACTTCAATATGGATAAGGTAAATGCAAGTGACATGATTATTAGATCGATCGATATCACCGTGAAACACCATCAAAAAATCTCTCGGTTAATTGCGACACAGGTGAAGCTATTCTTCGAACGCATTCAGTATGATTGGGATACGCTCAAAGATCCAGTGGAGTATGAAATAATGAAGAGACAGGCTAACATCGCGCAATGGTACACGAAATATTTTACGCGTAAGAGATCATTCCTGTATTCAACAAAAGAAAACTACTATAGTACTTGATACGATGAAAAAATATATTACTCCGTCATTCACTACTGTTTACAGTGATCATGTATGTAATTACATTCCTATTTATTACAATGCATTACGTGCCGCTTCTTCTGGACGCTGTGGTCCCATTAGCCAAGCCTCGACCCCGAAGGATATTGGTAGTCGGAGAAATGTTCATCGATCAGCATAAGTACTTTCACATGGTACTGTTAAATATAACGATATCGAGCTTGATCGGTATGACCACTGTAATAGCGGCCGAAACTTTGCTTATGGTATTGGTGCAACATGTGTGTGGATTATTAAAAGTTACCAGGTATTAATCCTTTTTGAAAATCACCGTCTTCGGCATGCTTTCATCGTATGAACCTGTTCGTCATTTACGAGTTTCGCGGTCTCGCAGTTTTCCATAATCGCGCTCATGTGCCTTCACTTTTGCAGTTATCGAATAACGCGCGCTTTCGATAACGATTGCTCCCCAGTTCTGAGACATGGCAAAAAGTGCATAGTTTGTACCAAATTGGCGAGCGCCGTAAACATTCACAGGAGTGCTATCATGTCGGTATCTATCTATCTTATAATCTATTCTATTGTCTAGTATATATCTTCCGCATGTCTAATTATCATGAGCAAGATACAATAATCTTATTCATTCAGTTAATTCTTGAAGGTTCGCAGATTGCGTAAGAGATTGCTTTGGAATATCTTATCTTATATTGATTTTGTTCGGCGTTGCTTCTTTAAGTATTAATCTATATCGAGTAAGTAGTATTCGATTTTTTTTTATGGAAAGTTTATAGTTCGTAATAATGTCCAACATCTAGATTGCAAATCCGAAATGAAATGAAAACAATTTTGTGAACTTAATTCCTTCACTCCCGCACTATTTTTCTCGACCGGTCCTAAGATGCCAAGAACAAAAGATTCTCGGAATTTAGTGAAAGTTTATATGAGGGAAGGGGAGACTCATGATGCTGATAACAAATGTCAAATCAAGTATAAAAATTGTATCATAATGTAAATATTGAAAAATTTTTTTAATTTTCATTCTTCTAACAGCCATATATTTTTTTCTGAGGCAACATTTTGCAAATAAGACTACAAAAACGTGTTCACAATATCCAAAAACCCCTGATTAAATTAGCTTTAATGGTAAAATTACTTAAAAGCTTTACTGTAAAATAATATTTCATGAAGAGTGTTTTCGCGGCATTGAACGTAAAGTCCAAAATGACGTAAATTTTCATCATCGGTAAAGAAGAGTTTAAAAAAATATTGCATAAGTCTTTCGTACAAAATAAGTATAAAAAGTTTAATATCGAATGACAACGGCATATTCCTTTTACCCCAAAAAAATATTTTATGATAAAAATTATGATAAAAAGATATTTCTGGTACACGTCTTTATATCATGAAAAATGTATTCATATCATATCTTAACGTAATTTAATCACAGCGATAGTTGCGACATTTTCACGTGAAAAACTCGCATATATTGTTTAAAAGAAGAAAAAGCGAACTACACCTAAAACAAATATTTTAATATAAGAAATGTAATTGGATAACTTTTTAATTATTTTGAAATTTTTCAAGTTAACCCTGGTGCTCGTTATGGTGAATAATATTGACATTATTATCATTTTCTCATTCATTTGCGGGCATTTCCTTTATATGTTTTGGTGCAATTACTCTGGACAGGAATTAATAAATCACAGCGCCCAAGTATACTATCAGGCGTAAGTAAAGAAGTGCTCCATAATAGATGTCGATAAAATATAACAGTTATATTGTGCAAAAGCAGAGTATGATAATATAAACCATATATGTATTTAGATATAACGCACAATGGTACATGTCTGCCGTGCATAATCAAAAAATGTTAATACTGATATTACGCAGAAGCGCTAAACCTCTTTTATTCAGCATTTCTAATGTATTTGTGGGTTCCTTGGAAGGTTTTGGGACGGTAATTAACATTCTACTATAAACAATTCTACAAACGTTGTTTATAATAAAAAGAGGACGTACTAACGACACTATGTTGCTGTTGACAAAACTTAGCGTTCTTGTTTTAAATACGAGTATATTACCTTGCAATTAGAGTTTATTACTTCTAGATGGAAATATAACACATGTTTTATTTCAGCTTGTGAGTATGTCTTTGAGTTACTTCACAGTGATTTACTCTGTTCGATGAAACCAAGAACAATACAGCATAACAAATGTCTACGATTGCGGGGAAAGTAAATGGAAATAGTTTTACAAAAATATTTTACTTCATTTCTGTCAGAAATAAAAATCAACAGTAGATCGTTGTATATATTTTTATCAAAACCAAGGTACCTTGTTTGTCCTAACGATCATTTGCATTACGGCCAGTGCCAAAGCAGTTATCATCGATGGCGGCAAAATCATCGGTGGAAATGGAAATATTGACATCAGAGGGCAATAGAGGACGAAAGAATTTTATCTGAATAAAAATAGATGTCATGATGCCAAGAACCTTTTTATGCTTATTATAGAAGAAGAAGAGAAAAATTGAGCTGCAGAGGAAAAACGATATAAATATAAGGAAATATATAAAGTATTGGCTAATATTAAGTTAGCAGAACCACATTAAAAAAAAAAGAGAAAAACAAAAACAAGAGTAGAAATGGAAAGGGCTGAATTTCTATTCATTTGTACCACTAACTAAAATTTTGTACCACATACTATTTAAAAAAAAAAAGGTGATCCTACTAGCTTAAAATTAATAGGATCACATTAAGAAAAAGAAGAAGAAAAAACAAAAACGAAGTTAGAAATGTAAAGTACTGAATTTGTACTAATTTGTACCATCAAAAATATTTAATATATTGATGCATTTCGATTGAAACAACCCCCAAATGAAATTAACTATAACAAACTCAAGAATAAAGTATCTTTTGTCACAATCAGAAACAACATAGCAGAAGCGCATTAATTTGTAGCTTTTAAATATGAAATTTGAGACTTTGTACTCTCGCCCTTACTTGGAAAACCACTCCCGACTCTTAATCAGCACAAGAGTAAAGTATACTTTTCTGCGAATAGAATCAACCGGTATTCACGCACCAGAAGTGCAATAATTTGTAACTTTCAAATATGAAATTTGAAATTTTATAACATGGTAACCATACGTAACATGGTCAATAAATAAGACATAGCCCCGAATGAACGTACTCCTAATTGACCCGTCGAATTTAATCAGAAAATAAACTTCGAAAAAAAAGTTTTCGTGTCAGCACAAACATTTAGCCCTTTTTGAATTTAATCATATAACTTTTGTAGTATTCTCTACTCATGTGCTTGTTAAAGCCCGTAAATATAACACAATTCATGCTAGACCAGTTACATAAGAGAAACGGAAAAAACATTTCTGAAGCGCGGCTCTCTATTTCGGTCGGCAGACTTGATGATAATTATCAATTCAAAATGTCTAATTCCTTGCAAATGAAAGCAGTAAATAGCGCTACTTATTTTACTGATAATTGATGTAACATCTTATGCCTAAGAAAATTACCACAATTAAAATATATCGGAAGGGTCAATATATATATATATATATAAGTGCGTCAGGGACTGAAAATGGGCCATTTACCTTAAATTCGGATCTTCGAATTGTAACGATGATAACGAAAATCGCGATTGTCACATATAAATAACGACTGTTGTCAATCACATGTAAATAAGAAAATACAAAAGAAACTTCTTGTTTCAACTTACTAGTATGTCGTTGTTTTACTGCATATTTATATACTCGAACAGCAATTGAAACACAGAACGACGATTATAGACCAGTGCAAATGTAGACATTGTTCTGAAATCACCCGCAAGTGTGAATATATTAGCATCGACGATAGTGAGAAATGAGCTCATCTGACGACAAAAGTTGAAGTACGGATAAAACGAAATGTATGAAACAAACACAGTATAATATACATTATGCATACGACTGACTTAAAAATGCCTTCTTCTCGATGCGGTGAATATATTAATCCCGAATGCACAGCGCATGGCTATCAAATAACATCAAACTCAAACTGGACATTCGCGAATAAAATCGAAAACATCATGAGCGCACGATTGAACCATTCAAATAATATCGCAAATAATTAGTGGTTAATACTCGAATACGTTCTTGGTATTTTATATTTATTTTTCCTCGTCTTCACATTAGGATATCCAAATTGACCTGAGCGTTGCACTTCACGGCGACCTACACGAGAATGAGCTCTTTCCGCAATGTACCGAATGTTGCGCGCTTGCGCAAGAATAAAATATGAAACGTGTATAAAATATTCTTGAACTGTCTCACACGGATGAACGTTACGTTATCATTACGTTAAACAACGCACATTAAGCAATTTATTTAAACGTTATGCTATAGCTGTGCTTGCAAGTGCATGAAGAAGAATCGATCCGTACTTTCCTGTATTTCCCCGGCAGGTCTTTAGTGTAACGTAGAATTTTATTCAGTGCCATTTTTAATATCACTTCCGCAACGTTACTCGGACATTACGTATAATGTGCGAAAAATGTGATAATAGCATGTAATGCGAAAGGGCAGGAATGCCGATATGTCAAGTCAAGCCATGAGCCCATAGGCTCACAGTCGTGCTCGAAGATTGTACAAAATGGATGTCGTTATAAGATACTACAATCTTAACCGTATTTTCTTACTGTGCAACGGCTTGTGGCCTTATCAAACAAACATGTCTAAGAAGATTCACTTGGTCTGCATACTTTTTGTCTTCATGCAATTTCTCATTTTTCAGGTAATATTATCATCTTCGTTCTGAAAAGTTCGCAAGAAAAGAATTTGATACAATTCTGGTACAACATGTATAAAGGAAAACGGTTTGCTATCGGAAAAAAAATTAATCGCTTTTATAACATCTGCTGATATATTCATTTCATTTTTCTCTTTTTCTTAATGACAAATATATATTAAATGCAAAAGGCTTTCTCAGTCACCGATAATTTATATGACCCCAGTAGCGCGATTTTTTAACTAGTTATTGGAGTTAACGACACTTTCGTTATCGTTGCGCAGCTTTTGTATATCGTAGAAAAGCTGCGCAACGATAACGAAACTGTCGTTAACTCCAATAACGAGTTAAAGAATCGCGCCGCTGAAGAGAGTAGCGAAATATTTGAATTATGAACAATGTCAAAGCGATCCGTACAATGAATCATTTCTTCCAGTCAATGATATTCATCACAGTCGAGTTTAGCGTTCTGCTACTTCTAGAAGTTCTTTCGACTTTATTCATATCCGTCATTTTTATGTACAAATATGGCACGGTATACTACAATATAGATAAGGTAAACAAGTTTATAGTTGACGTAACTGTTAGATCAATCGATGTCACTGTGAAACATCAGCAAAAAATCTCTCGATTAATCGCGACATATTATAGGTGAAGCTATTGTTCGAACGCATCCAATATGATTGGGATAATCTCAAAGATCCAGTGGAATATGAAATAATGAAGAGACAAGCTAACATCGCGCGGTGGTACACGAAATATTTTGCGCGTAAGAAGTATTCCCGCACTGATCACAAAAGAAACGCTATAACGGTTGATACAATAAAAAAAATATACACATCACATTGTCATACAGTGTCTTTTGCAGTGGTCATATATATACTTGAATTCTTATTTATTGCAATGCATTACGTGCCAGTTATTCTGGACGCTGTGGTACCATTAGCCAAGCCTCGACCCCGAAGGATATTGGTAATCGGAGAAATGTTCATCGATCAGCATAAGTACTTTCACATGGTACTGTTAAATATAACGATATCGAGCTTTATCGGTATGACCACTGTAATAGCGGCCGAAACTATGCTGATGGTATTGGTGCAACATGTGTGTGGATTATTAAAAGTTACCAGGTATTAATCCTTTTTGAAAATCACCGTCTTCGGCATGCCTTCATCGTATGAATCTGTTCGTCATTTACGAGTTTCGCGGTCTCGCAATTTTCCATAATCGCGCTCATGTGCCTTCATTTTTGCAGTTATCGAATAACGCGCGCTTTCGATAACGATTGCTTCCCAGTTCTGAGACATGGCAAAAAGTGCATAGTTTGTACCAAATTGGCGAGCGCCGTAAACATTCACAGGAGTGCTATCATGTCGGTATCTATTCTATTATCTAGTATATATCTTCCGCATGTCTAATTATCATGAGCAAAATATAATAATCATATTCATTCACTTAATTCTTGAAGGTTCGCAGACTGCATAAGAGATTGCTTAGCAATATCTTATCTTATATTGATTTTGTTCGGCGTTGCTTCTTTAAGTCTTAATTTATATCGAGTAAGTAGTATTCGATTTTTTTTTATCGAAAGTTTATAGTTCGTAACAATCCCCAACATTTAGATTGCAAATCCGAAATGAAATGAAAATAATTTTGTGAACTTAATTCCTTCATTCCCACACTATTTTTCTCGACCGGTCCTAAGATGCCAAGAACAAAAGATTCTCGGAATTTAGTGAAAGTTTATATGAGGGAAGGGGAGACTCATGATGCTGATAACAAATGTCAAATCAAGTATAAACATTGTATCATAATGTAAATATTGAAAAATTTTTTAAATTTTCATTCTTCTAACAGCCATATATTTTTTTCTGAGGCAACATTTTGCAAATAAGACTACAAAAACGTGTTCACAATATCCAAAAACCCCTGGTTAAATTAGCTTTAGTGGTAAAATTACTTGACGGCTTTACTGTTATACAATATTTCATGAAGTAAAAGAGTGTTTTCGCGACACTAAAGATAAAGTCTAAAATGACATAAATTTTCATCTTCGGTATCGAAGAATTTAGAAAGATATTGTACAAGACTTTCTTAGGAAATAATTGGAAAAATTTAATATTGAACAATGGAATATTTCTTTTATCACAAAAAAATATTTTTTGACAAAAAATTAATATAAAAATGATATTTCTGGTGCAAGTCTTTATATCACGAAAAATATACCTTCAGATCATATCTTAGCGTAATTTAATCACAGCGATAGTTGCAACATTTTTATTTGGAAAACCCGCATATATTGTTTAAAAGAAGAAAAAGCGAGCTGAACTTAAAACAAATAATTTAATATGAGAAATGTAATTTGATAACTTCTTATTTATTTAAAATTTTTTCAAGTTATCCTTGGTGCTCGTTGCGATGAATAATATTGACATATTTATTATTTCTGTATTGATCTGCGGGCATTTCATTTATATGTTTTGGTGCAATTACGCTGGACAGGAATTAATAAATCACAGTGCCGAAGTATACTATCAGGCGTAAGTAAGAAGTGTTGCGTAACAGATGTCAATAAAATAAAGTTATATTATGGAAAAGAAGAGCATAATGATATGAACCATATATACATTTAGCTATAATGCACAGTGGTACATGTCTGCTGTACACAGTCAAAAAATGTTAATACTGATATTACGCAGAAGCGCTAAACCTTTTTTATTCAGCGTTTCTAATATATTTGTGGGTTCCTTGGAAGGTTTTGGAACGGTAATTAGCACTTTACTATAAACAATTCTACAAATGATGTTTATAATAAAAAGAGGACGTACTAACAACATTATGTTGCTGTTGACAAAACTTAGCGCTCTTGCATTAGATACGAGTATATTACTTTGCAATTAGAATTTATTGCTTTTAGACGGAAATATGACGCGTGTTCTGTTTCAGCTTGTGAGTATGTCTTTGAGTTACTTCACAGTGATTTACTCCGTCCGATGAAACCAAGAACAATACAACATAAATCTACAAATATTTACGGTCGCGAGGGAAATAAATGAAAATAATATTACAAATATATTCTATTTCGTTTCTGTCAGAAATAAAAATGAACAATAGACTGTTGAACATATTTTTATCAAAAGTACACTGTTTGCCCTAACGAGCGTTTGTCTTATGGGCAGTGTTAAAGCAATTATCACGAAATTATCGGTGGAAATGGAAATATATATTGGCATCAGAGGGCAATAGAAGACGAAATAATTTTATCTGACAACAAAAATAAAGGTCATGATGCCGAGGACTTTTTTATGCCTGATAAAAGAAGAGGATAAAAATAAAACTGGGGGGAAAAAACGATATAAACGCAAGGAAATATATATGTAAAGTATACATGACTCAACAAATTATGTAACATCGTTGGTATTACATTGGTCATGAATGCATACTATATCAATTGTTAAATAAGATCAAAATCTGCTTGAAGAAGTCCGCGAGTGAAATCGAATACAACGTAATATTGAGCGGGCAATTATACATATAAAAACTAGTTACTAATTAAAACGGTACAATACTTTGCCTTCGCATATCTTTTTTTCCTTATCATCGTCTACGAAAACTTTCGTTGGAATATCAAAAGTAATAACCAGTGGTTCACTCAAGGCGATGTGTCGACGAATTCAGGTGTACCGCACATCGCGGCGCCTCATGTGAGAATGCGCTCTTTTTGCGATGTACGCCTGCGCGAGGATAAAACACCAACGTAGGTGAGAATATTCTTTAACTATGTCACAAAGATAAACGTTATTATTACGTTAAATGTCGTATATTACACAATTCACTTCAATTTATAGTACAACTATCATTACGTCTACGCGAAAGGATCGATTCGTATTTCTGAGGTACCCTATAAGACTTTAGTGCGATTTAAACTTTTATTTGTCATTATTCCCTATTTTTCTTAAAGCATTATCCAGATGTTAAATTTAATGTGTGAAACGTGTGCTGATAGCTCATAATCGGTGAAATAAAAGATCACGTACTGTCAAGTGCTAGCTCACTGCGTCCTGCATTTGTGTCAGAATTGTGGTGCGAAATGGATGTTATCATGAAATATTACAATATTAACCGTCTTCTCTTACTGGGCATCGGATTGTGGCCTTATCAAAAGTACACATTCAACAAGTTTCACATAATATTCGTGTTCATTATCTTGACGCAAGCCCTTGTTTTACAGGTGACCATTGTCGTGTTCATTTTGTTTGCGAGGACAGATATTTTACTTTATACAACTTGCGCGATATGTTATATTGAAAAAAAAGTATGTGTTACACCCCGAGGAAGAAATGAACTTAATATCTGTTGTGCTAATATCTATTGTGCATCTGCGCTTCTTCTTTTTTTATGCCGCTTTCATAAATATAAACCACGAGCCTATTAAACATAACTATGTCATGATCGATAAGTTTCAAATCGTGATATAGTTATATGTACAATTTTAGCTTCTTCTTAGAATAGTGTTTTAAATTGTTAAATGTGAAAAATTGCGCAATTATTGAAAATTTATGAGTCCCGAAAACTAGAATACGAAGAAAAGAGAGAGAGAGAGAGAGAGAGAGAGAGAAAGTGTTAAAAAAATCAGTGATCGATGCAATTTATCTTTGATTATTATCTTTGACTATTATTTTTTCTAGATGGCGACATTCTTTACGACCGGTTTTAACATTCCTCTACTTTTAGAAGTTCTCTCGACTCTATTCATAACCATTGTTTTTATTTTCAAATATAATACAATTTACTTCAATATGGACAAAGTAAGCGAACCCTTCGTCGAAATGATTATTGAACGTACCGATGGCATCATACAACATCTTCGTTAAATCTCTCGATGAATCATTTCAACGTAACAAATTATAGGTAAAACTATTTTTCGAACACATCAATTACATTTGGGATACGCTCAAAGATCCAGTGGAGATTGAAATAATGAAGAGACAGGCTAACATTGCGCGGTGGTACACGAAATATTTTGCGCGTAAGAGGTTCTTCCTGTGTTCGACAAAGGAAGACTACTGTAGCATTTGATACGAAAAAAAAATATATCAGTTCGTTACTCACTGCTCTTTACAGTGGCTATGTATATAATTACATTCCTATTTGTTATGACGCATTACGTACCGTTTCTCCTGGATATTGTATTGCCATTACCCGAACCTCGACAGCGAAGGATATTGGTAATCGGAGAAATGTTCATCGATCAGCATAAATACTTTCACGTGATATTGTTAAATATAATGATGTCAGGCTTTGTCGGTATGAGCACTGTAATAGCAGCCGAAACTATGCTGATGGCACTGGTGCAACATACGTGCGGATTATTAAAAGTTACCAGGTATTGTTCTTCTTTGAAAAATACCATCTTTGGCATGTTCATCGTACGGACGTGTTTGCCATTTGCGAGTTTTGCGATTTCGTAGTTTTTTATAATCGTACTCATGCATCTTTTGCTTTGCAGTTATCGAATAACACGCGCTTTCGATAGTGATTACTGTTCCGTTCTTGGGCATGGCAAAAAGTGCATAGTTTGTGTCAAGTTGGCGAGCGCCGTGAAGATTCACAGAAGTGCTATCATGTGGGTATCTATCTTTCTTCTTTTAATATAGCCTCTCGATATTCAATATCGTAGCGTCTTTTCAAAAAAAGTGGTCATATGTTTATATAATTTTAAGTTGTTAAAGGTTTACGGACCGCATAAGAGATTGTTTTGCAATATCTTATCTTATATTGATCTCGTTTGGTGTTGCTTCCTTAAGCATTAATCTATACCGAGTAAGTGATATTCGATACTCTTTTTTGTTCGAGTTTTGTTGTTTATTACAATCTTTAGCATCTAGACTATGCATCCAAAATGAAAAAATAATTTTGGACTTAGAACTAATTTGCGCGGGTGTTTCTTACGAAATAAGTGCAAAAGCTTCAAATCAGAAGAATGACGTGTAATAAAAAAATATACTGTCAGGTCATACTGTTCAGGTCGTACTGTTTTAGCATAATTTAATCATCGCAGTAATTGCTATATTTTTATTTCGGAAACGCCGATGTACTATCTAAATCAAGAGGAAAATAAGATAATCTAGACGAATATTATGACATGAAAGTGGTGATTCAAAATTTATTTTGAAATTTTTCAAGTTATCCATGGTGTCTTCTTTAGTGAATGATATTGACACGTATATCATTTCGGCATTTATCTGCGGGCATTTCTTTTATATGTTTTGGTGCAATTATGCTGGACAGGAATTAATAAATCACAGTGCCGCATTATACTATCAGGCGTAAGTAGGAATTCCTGAATAATAGATGTCGATAAAATATAGAAGTTTTATTATAGAAAAGAAGAGTATGATGATATAAACTATATATGCATTTAGATACAACGTACAATGGTACATGTCTGCCGTGCATAATCAAAAAATGTTAATACTGATATTACGCAGAAGCGCTAAACCTCCTTTATTCAGCGTTTCTAATGTATTTGTGGGTTCCTTGGAAGGTTTTGGAACGGTAATTAACATTTTACTATAAACAATTCTACAAATGATGTTTGTGATAAAAGGAAGACGTACTAATAACACTATGTTGTTGTTGACTTAGCGTTAGAAAACTTAGCGTTCTCGCATTAAATATGACTATATTACTTTGCAATTAGAGTTTATTGTTTTTAGACGGAAATGTGACACATGTTCTGTTTCAGCTTGTGAGTATGTCTTTGAGTTACTTCACATTAATTTACTCCGTTCGATGAAACCAAGAACAAATATCTACAGTGTCTCGGAAAATAAATAGAGATAGTTTTACAAATATATTCTATTTCCTTTCTGTCAGAAATAAAAATGAACAATAGACCATTGTACACATTTTAATCAAAACGAAAGTATACTGTTTGTCCTAATGAGCGTTTGCATTACGAACGATGTTAAAGTAATTATTACGAAATTCTTTGGCGGAAATGCAATTATTGGCATCAAAGACCGATAGAAGATGAAGAAATATTTTATTGACAATAAAAATAGAGGTCATGATGCCAAAGACCTCCTTACGCTTATTATGAAAGGGATAAAAATAGAGGTAGAGGAAAAACCATATAAACGTAACAAAATATATGCATAAAGTACACATGATTGAAAAAAATATATAACATCGTTGGCATTGCATTAGTCACGAATGTAGACTGTATCAATTGTTAAATAATATTAAGATCGGCTTGAAGATCTGTGAGAGAAGTTGACGTAGTAACGAACAGGTAATTACACATATAAATACTAGTTACTAATTAAAAAGGTACAATACTTTGCCCTCGCATATCTTTTTCTCTTTGTCATCGCTTACGAAAACTTTCATTGGAATAACAAAAGTGATAGCCAGTGATTCATTCAAGGCGATGTGTCGACGAATTTAGGTGTACCGCTCGTTACGGCGACTCGTGTGAGAATGCGCTTTTTTCGCGATGTACGCCTGCGCGAGGATAAAACATCAACATAGGTGATAATATTCTTTAACTATGCCGCAAAGACAAACGTTATCATTACGTTAAACGTCGTATATTACACAATTGACTTCAATTTATACTACAGCTATCATTACGTCTATGCGAAAGGGTCGATCCGTATTTCTGAGGTACCCTATAAGACTTTAGTGCGATTTGAACTTTTATTTCTCACTATCCCCTATTTTTCTCAAAACGTTATTCGGATGTTAAATTTAATATGTGAAACGTCTAATAACAGCACATAATCGATGAAATAAAAGATCACGTACTTTCAACTGCCAGGTCACTGTGTCCTGCATTTGTGTCAGGATTGTGGTACGAAATGGATGTTATCATGAAATATTACAATATTAACCGTCTTCTCTTACTGGGCATCGGATTGTGGCCTTATCAAAAGTATACATTCAACAAGTTTCACGTAATATGCGTGTTTATTATCTTGACGCAAGCCCTTGTTTTGCAGGTGATCATCGTCGTGTTCATTTTGTTTGCGAGAAAAGATATTTTACTTTATACAACTCACGCGACGTGTTATATTGAAAAAAATATGTGTGTCACCCTGAGGAAGAAATGAACTTAATATGTGTTGTGCTATATCTGTTATATTAATATGTGTTATATTAAAATCTGTTATGTGAATATACGCTTTTTCTTTCTTCAAGCCCGTTTCATAAGTATAATCACGAGGATATTACATATAACTATGTCATGATCAATAAGTTATAAATCGTGACATAGTTATATGTAATATAATTTTAGATTCTTCTTAAAATAATCGTGTTTTAGATTGCGAAATGTGAAAAATTTCTTAGTTATTAAAAATTTGTGACTTTGGAAAAGCAGAATGCGAAAGAGAGAAAGAAAGAGCGCAGGGGGAGGGGGAGACAGTGTTAAAAAAGAAATCAGAGGTCAATGCAATTTATCCTTGATTATATTATTTTTTCTAGATGACGACATTCTTTACGACCGGTTTTAACATTCCTTTACTTTTAGAAGTTCTCTCGACTCTATTCATAACTATTGTTTTCATCTTCAAATATAATACGGTTTACTTGAATATGAACAAAGTAAGCGAGCTCTCGGCCGAAATGATGGTTGAACGTGCCGATCGCATCATGCAACATCTTCATTAAATCTCTCGATTAATCGTTTCCACGTGATAAATTATAGGTAAAATTATTCTTCGAACATATCAAGTACACTTGGGATACTCTCAAAGATCCAGTGGAGATTGAAATAATGAAGAAACAAACTAACATCGGGCGGTGGTACACGAAACATTTTATGCGTAAGAGGTCTCTCCTATGTTCGACAAAGGAAGACTACTATAGCACTTTATACGATGAAAAATATATTAGTTCGTCATTCACTGCTTTTTACAGTGACTATGTATATAATTACATTCCTATTTGTTATGACGCATTACGTGCCGCTTTTTCTGGACGTTGTATTGCCATTATCCGAACCTCGACAGCGAAGGATATTGGTAATCGGAGAAATGTTCATCGATCAGCATAAATACTTTCACGTGATATTGTTAAATATAATGATATCAAGCTTTGTCGGTATGAGCACTGTAATAGCAGCCGAAACTATGCTGATGGCATTAGTGCAACATACGTGCGGATTATTAAAAGTTACCAGGTATTGTTCTTCTTCAAAAAATACTGTCTTTGGCATGTTCATCGTATGGACGTGTTCGCCATTTGCGAATTTCCCGATTTCGTAGTTTTTCATAATCGCACTCATGCATCTTTTGCTTTGCAGTTATCGAGTAACACGCGCTTTTGATAACGATTACTGTTCGGTTCTTAGACATGGCAAAAAGTGTATAGTTTGTAGCCGGTTAGCGAGCGCTGTGAAAATCCATAGGAGTGCTATTTTGTGAGTATCTATTTTCCTTATTCTAATATAGCCTTTGGATATTCGAATATCATAATGTCTTTCCAAGACCAACGATCGTATGTTCATTCAATTTTAAGTTATTAAAGGTTCTCGGATTACATACGAGATTGTTTTGGAATATCCTATCTTATATTGATCTCGTTTGGTGTTGCTTCTTTAAGCATTAATCTATACCGAGTAAGTGGTATTTGATATTTTCTTTCTCTTATCCGAGTTTTGTTGTTTATTACAATTTTTGGTGTATAGACTACGCGTTAACAAAACAAAAGAAAAGAAATGTTAAAATTCACACTGTGTTGCACGGGTTTGTTTTATAAAATTTATACAAGAGTTTGAAGTAAAAAGAACGACTTGTGATAAAAAGAGGTACTGTCGGATCATGATGGTTTAGCATAATTTAATCATCGCAGTAGTTGCAATATTTTTATTTCGAAAACACGGATATACTATCTCAGCTAAGGGGAAAATAAGATAACCCGATCGAATATCTTAAAACAAGCATAGTAATTTGAAATTTTTATTCGGGAATTTGTCAAGTTATCTTTGGTCCTCGTGATGAACAATATTGACACACTTATCATTTCTGCATTCATCTGCGGGCATTTCCTTTATATGTTTTGGTGCAATTATGCGGGTCAGGAGTTAATGAATCACAGTGCCGAAGTTTACTACCAGACGTAAGTAAGAAGGGCTGAATAATAAATGTTGATGAGATAAAGTACTTGCAGAAAAAAGAGTTTAACGATATGTATGTATTTAGATATAACGCACAGTGGTACATGTCTGCTGTGCACGATCAAAAGATGTTAATGTTGATAATGCATAGAAGCGCTAAACCTCCTGTCATTGGTGTTTCTAGTTTATTTGTGGGTTCCTTGGAAGGTTTTGGAACGGTAATTAATCTATTTGAAGTAATTCTTGCAGATATATCAATAATGATAAAGATACGTAAGGATATCATTACTTTGCTGTTTACAAAATTAAATATTTTACATTAAATACGTTTATATTATCTTAGAATTAAAGTTTATTGCTTTTAAACAATAATATGATGCATGACCTATTTTAGCTCGTGAGTGCGTCTTTGAGTTATTTCGCAGTGATTTATTCCGTTGGATGAAGCCAAGAGGAAGCATATTAAACATTATATATACGTTCTTGCGGAAAATTAATAAGAATAATCTCATATTCTATTTCTTGTCGATAGAAAATAGGAATAATCTCATATTCTATTTCTTGTCGATAGAAAATAAATATTTATAATAGACTGTCTGCTGTATTTTTTTCAAGACTGAAGTACATTGTTTACCCTAAGCAGCATTTGCATTACTGGCGATGTTAATGTAGTTGTCACGAAATCGTCTCTAGAAGTGGATACAGTAATATTAATATTTGATAATAAAAGACAAGCAATTTCTATCTCTTGATAAAAACAAATAGAAAAGAAACAAAATAAACATAATGATACATATATACATAAACACATATAACTGAAGAAATCTTCTAACGTTAGCATATCCAAGTAATACAGTCTGGCAATATTCGCTGCAACAGCAAAAGTGTGGTTGGAATAACGTCCTACTAACCTTAATTACAGTTATTTGGCAACAAAAACTATTTCGCTGGATTTTTAACTGTAAAAACGTTGCGACGACTAATGAAAAAGTCCAAATGTAGCCCCAACTATTTTAACTGTATCAATAACTGTAAAGTAGTTGTGACAGTTAATAAAAAAGTCCAAATACAGCCGCAACTATTTTAGCTATATCAATAACTGTACAATAGTTGTGACAGCTAATAAAAAAAGTCAAAATACAGCCGCAACTATTGTAGCTGTATTAATAACTGTAAAGTAGTTGTACCACCTTCTAGAAAAACCACAATTTTCTTCAGGCATTTTGCTACTTACTTTTGCTCGTCTTCAGTATTATCAAATTGACTCAAATATTTTTCAGCTTTAATAGCAGCTCGAAATGTTGTAAAATTCCTCCTCTTCACAGTACACTTTTATTTAGACTAATTATTAAAGTCTGGCAAACTTTTATCATTTTTGCGAAGGTTCAATCCCTTTCTTCCTGGTGACCAAAATAAAACACCGTTTTCCTCCCAACTCTCGGGCACAACACATAAATTAATTTCGCTATCCTCAATCGTTTCTACTATTATGAACATCTTAAATTTTTTTCTTTATTATACAGCACGAAACGCTTGTCAGCTCTGTTGCTTAGGTTATATCATAATCGGAGTATTTATATGTGCACTACGTAGAAAATTATCACGCACGTGCATCATGAGTCGTGACTGCGCATGCGCATCGAATGAAGCCAGAAACAGCCAAAATAGTTGCAATCTTGCTGTAATTTGTATGTCACAGCTATAACGAAGTAACATGACTATCAATTTTACATTAATCTTATCGTGAATCAGCGTTAGTCAAGCGGACCTAAGCGTAAGCCTATGCAGCTCTAAAATTATTACTAAAAGATCTGCCTATAGTTCTATAATCAGTATACTTATAAGTTTGCGTCTGCGCTAGTATACTTATATGTCATAAAGTGTAATAATTTGCAATGATTGGTTAATCTCTAAATTTAATCTTAGTTTATTGTAGCAAAGATTCTGAACGGTCATAGATTCAATTCTAGTTGAATACAATTTTTTCTCTTTTTTAATATTTTGAAATTTAAATAAATTTTAAAATGTAAATTTATTAGATATAAATTTACGCATAAAAAACCGTTCTCCGTTTATTAGTTATTTTTATCTTTCTTTCGATTATCATTGCTTTAATGTGGCTCCTACAACGTTGTCAAAACATCATAATGACGTTGTGGCAGTAGATACTTTAGATAAAAATGCTGCCATTTAAATTGCGACAATGTTATCGCAGCCGTTTTAAAGCTTGAAATAGCAATGACAACTTCTTTATAGCAAGATAGCTACGCAGCCATATAGCTGCGACAACGTTTTCAAAGCTCAAAAGAATCTCTCATTTTTGCTGCTAGAACGTTGTCAAAACGTCACAATGACGTCGCAGTAGCTGCGCTAGACAAAAATGTTGCTATTTAAGCTACGATAACGTTATCGCAGCCGTTTTTAAGCTTTATATGTTAGTTGGGTAGTAATAACCACGAATATGCACAGTAGTTGTTAAATAATATCAAATTCAACCACGATATTCGTGAGCGAAGTCAAATGCAGCGCGCTTGGAACGAACGTTTCCAAATATAGCTACTGGTTTAATTTAAAAGCATACTTAATCCTACGCATCATTTTCTCCCCACCATAACTGCCGAAATCTTTCATTGAAATGTCAAAGGTTAGAATGTAAAATTCGAAGTAGTTTACTGAACATGATATATCGACGAATTCAGGAGTACCGCACGTCGCAACGGTTCACGTGAGAATGCGCTCTTCCGGCAATGTACGCATGCGCAAGTATGAAACGTGGACAGGAATATCCTATAACCATGCCGCAGGGTTCGAACGTTATTATTACGATAAAAGCAGCATTTTATGCAATTGACTTAAATTCTATACTATAGTTGTCTTTGCGACCGCGCGAAAGGATCTCGCCCAGCATTCGAGGCATTCCATAAATTTTTAGTGTGATTTAAACTTTTACTCAACACCATCTTCTATCTCTTTTAAAGCGTTAATCGAATATTAAACCTAATGTACGAAAAGTGTGGTAATAGTTCATAATCATTCGTAAAGTAAGAAACCTCACAGTGTCGAGTAGCTTACGCTTTTCCGTATTTGCGTCAGTATTCTTGCACGAAATGGATGTTACCATGAAGTATTACAATATTAACCGCCTTCTTTTATTGAGCATCGGATTATGGCCGTATCAAAAGAGCACGTCCAATAAGATTTACGTAGTCTTCATGCTTATCATTTTCACGCAAACCTTCGCTTTGCAGGTGACATCGTCGTTTTCATTCCGTTTACAGGAAACAGAAATTAACTTTGTACACCGCGTGTGACGTGTTATATTGAGGAAGAGAAAGATTTAATATCGCTGGAAGAAATACTATGCTATTTTAATATTTTGTTGTGTGCTACGAGTACATATTCTCTTCTCTTTGCTTCGTATCCGTTTCATAACTACAAGTATATTATACATAATTATGTCACAATAGATAGGTCTTGAATTTTGGGAACGCTTTCGGATTCTCCTTATAACAATCGTGCTTTGAGTTGTTAAATGTGAAAAGATTCTTTGTATATTAAATTTTATATGACTTCGGGAAAACTGAATGAGAGAAAATATATTGTGAAGGAAAATTCGACAATTAATGCAATTTATTATTGACCGAATCATTTCTTCCAGATGGCTTCATTCCTCACAATGGGTTTCAGCATTCGTCTACTTTTAGAAGTTCTGTCAACTGTATTCATAACTATTGTTTTCCTTTTCAAATATAATACGATTTATCTCAAGATGGATAATGTAAGTGAGTTTTCGGTGAATATAATTGTTGGACATATGGATTCTACCATATGGTGGTAGCACATCTCACATAAATTTCTCGATTAACCGTCTCACCGCGATGAATTATAGATAAAGCTATTCTTAGAACGCATTGAGTACGATTGGAGTACGCTAAAAGACTCGACGGAGATTGAAATAATGAAGAAGCAGACTAACATTGGGCGGTTGTACACGAAATATTTTACGTGTAAGAGGTCCTCTGTGTATTCGACAAAGGAAGATCACTATAGCATTTGATGCGATAACAAAAATATTTCACTCACTGCTCTTTACAGTGACCATGTATATAATTACCTTCTTGTTTGTCATGACGCATTACGTGCCATTTATGCTGGACATTGTAATACCATTAGCTGAACCTCGACCACGAAAGATTCTGATAGCCATAGAAATGTTCATCGACAGACACAAATATTTTCATCTAATATTGTTATATATAATATTGATAAGCTCATTCGGTATAACTACCATAATAGCGGCCGAAACTCTGTTGATGGCATTAGTGCAACATACGTGTGGATTATTAAAAGTTTCCAGGTATTGTTCTTCTCTGAAAAATTCCGTTTTCGGCATTTTCGTCATATAGATATGTTTATCGTTGGCGAGTTTCGCGAGTTCATAATTCTCCATAATCGCACTTATGCTTTATCACCTTTGCAGTTATCGAATAACACGCGCTTTCGATAACAATTACTGTTCGGTTCTTAGACATGGCAAAAAGTGCATAGTTTGTAGCCGGTTGGCGAGCGCTGTGAAAATCCACAGGAGTGCTATCTTGTGAGTATCTATTTTCCTTATTCTAATATAGCCTCTGGATATTCGAATATCATAGTTTCTTTCCAAGAAAAACGATCGTATGTTTATTCAGTTATAAGTTGTTAAAGGTTCGCGGATTACATACGAGATAGTTTTGGAATATCTTATCTTATATTGATGACGTTTGGAGTTGCTTCCTTAAGCATTAATCTATACCGAGTAAGTGGCATTCGATACTTTATTTATTTATTCGAATTTTGTTGTATATTACAATCTTTAGCATCTAGACTACGCGATGCGTTTGAAATAAAACAGAAGAATTTTGGACTTAAAACCGAATTTCACGGGACTTTCTTGAAAAATAAGTTCAAAAATTTGAAATCGGAAGAATAACGTGTGATAAAAAAATCTGCTGTCAGATCATGATTTAGCATAATTTAATCATCGCAGTAGTTGCAATATTTTTATTTTGGAAACACGAATGTACTATCTCAAGTAAGAGGAAAATAAGATAATCTGAACGAATATTTAAAAATCAGAATGATGATTTGAAATTTATTTCGGAATTTTTCAAGTTATCCATAGTGTTTACTGTAGTGAATGGTATCGACATACTTATCATTTTTGCATTTATCTGCGGGCATTTCCTTTATATGTTTTGGTGCAATTACGCTAGTCAGGAATTAATGAATCACAGTGTCGAAGTTTATCACCGGGCGTAAGTAACGAGTGCTGAATAATAAATGTTAACTAGATAAAGTAGTTACAGAAAAAGGAGCTTAACGAGATGTATGTATTTAGGTATAATACACAGTGGTACATGTCTGCGGTGCACACTCAAAAAATGTTAATCTTGATATTGCACAGAAGTGCTAAACCTTCTATCATTGGCGTTTCTAATTTATTTGTGGGTTCTTTGGAAGGTTTTGGAACGGTAATTAATTTATTTAAAGTAATTCTTGCGGAATCATTAATAATAATTAATAATACATTAATAATAATAAAGATATCATTACGTTGCTGTTTACAAAATTAAATATTTTTGCATTAAATACGCTTATATTACCTTACAGTTAAAGTTTATTGCTTTTAAACAGTAACATGATACATATTCTATTTCAGCTCGTGAGTGCGTCTTTGAGTTATTTCGCAGTGATTTATTCCGTTGGATGAAATCAAGAATAACTAAGCACATCAAATATTATATATATGTTTGCACGAAAAATTAATAGGAATATGTATTCTATTTTTTTTTCTATTTTATAAAAAATAAATTAAAAAAATAAATATTTACTTTAGACTGTCTTGTATATTTTTATTAAGAAGCACATTGTTTATCCTAATGAGCGTTTGTATTACGGGTGATGTTAATGCAATTATCATGTAATTATCAATAGAAATATATATATTAATATCACTTGACGGTAAAAGGCGAACGATTTTTATCTCTTGATAAAAGCAGAAATAGAAAAAATCAAAATAAACGTAATGATATATTATATATATATATATATATATATAAAGTACGGGTAACTATGTGAAGACATCTTGTAACACTAGCATAGTATTAGCCATGAATATGCCCAGTAGTGGTTATTAAATAATACTAAATTCGACCAAGATATCCGCAAAGTATAAAATGCAAAGTCAAATGCAGCGTGCTTGGAGCGAACGTTCCCAAATATAGCTACTGGTTTAATTTAAAAGCATACTTAATCCTGCACATCATTTTCTTCTCACCATCACTGCCGAAATCTTTCGTTGAATTGTCAAAGGTTAGAATGTAAAATTCGAAGTAGTTTACTGAACGTGATATATCGACGAATTCAGGAGTACTGCACGTCGCAACGGTTCACGTGAGAATGCGCTTTTTCAGCAATGTACGCATGCGCAAGTATGAAACGTGGACAGGAATATCCTTTAACCATGCTGCAGGGTCGAACATTATTATTACGATAAAAGCAGCATTTTATGCAATTGACTTAAATTCTATACTATAGTCGTCTTTGCGACCGCGCGAGAGGATCTCGCCCAGCATTCGAAGCATTCCATAAATTTTTAGTGTGATTTAAACTTTTACTCAACACCATCCCCTATCTCTTGAAACGTTAATTGAATATTAAACCTAATGTGCGAAAATTGTGATACGAAAAGTGTGGTAATAGCCCATAATTATTCGTAGAGCCTTGCAGTGTCGAGTAGCTTACTCTTTTCCGTATTCGCGTCAGTATTCTTGCACGAAATGGATGTTATCATGAAGTATTATAATATTAACCGCCTTCTCTTATTGAGCATCGGATTGTGGCCGTATCAAAAGAGCACGTCTAATAAGATTTATATAGTATTCATGCTTATCATTTTCACGCAAACCTTCGCTTTGCAGGTACAACATCGTTTTCATTCCGTTTACAAGAAAAAGAAATTAACTTTGTACACCGCGTGTGACGTGTTATATTGAGGAACAGAAAGATTTATTATCGCTGGAAGAAATACAATATTTTGATATCTTGTTTTGTGCTACATATCCGCTACTTTTTGCTTTATATCCGTTTCATAATTACGAATATATTGCACATTATTATGTCATAGATAAATCTTGAATTGTGAGAATGCTTTTGGATTCTCGTTGTAAACATCGTGTTTTCAATTGTTAAATGTGAAAAGATTCATTGTGTATTAAAAATTTGTATGACTTCGGAGAAACTGAATGGGAGGAAATATATTGTGAAGGAAAATTCAACGATCAATACAATTTATCATTTGATTATTTCTTCCAGATGGCTTCATTCCTCACAATGGATTTCAGCGTTCATCTATTTTTAGAAGTTCTGTCAACAATATTCATAACTATTGTTTTCCTTTTCAAATATAATACGATTTATCTCAATATGCATAATGTAAGTGAGTTTTCGGTTGACACGATTGTTAGACGTACGGATTTCACCATATGGTTGTAGTACATCTCACATAAATTTCTCGATTAACCGTCTCACCGCGATGAATTATAGATAAAGCTATTCTTAGAACGCATTGAGTACGATTGGAGTACGCTAAAAGACTCGACGGAGATTGAAATAATGAAGAAGCAGACTAACATTGGGCGGTTGTACACGAAATATTTTACGTGTAAGAGGTCCTCTGTGTATTCGACAAAGGAAGATCACTATAACATTTGATGCGATAACAAAAATATTTCACTCACTGCTCTTTACAGTGACCATGTATATAATTACCTTCTTGTTTGTCATGACGCATTACGTGCCATTTATGCTGGACATTGTAATACCATTAGCTGAACCTCGACCACGAAAGATTCTGATAGCCATAGAAATGTTCATCGACAGACACAAATACTTTCATCTAATATTGTTATATATAATATTGATAAGCTCATTCGGTATGACTACTATAATAGCGGCCGAAACTCTGTTGATGGCATTAATGCAACATACGTGTGGATTATTAAAAGTTTCCAGGTATTGTTCCTCTCTGAAAAATACTGTCTTCGGCATGTTCGTCATATGGAAGTGTTCATCATTTGCGAATTTCGTGAGATCACAATTCTCCATAATCGCACTTATGTTATATTTGCAGTTATCGAATAACATGCGCTTTCGATAATGATTACCATTCGGTTCTTGCCCATGGCAAAAACTGCGTAGTTTGTACCAGGTTAGCGAGTGCAGTGAAGATTCACAGAAGTGCTATCATGTAGGTATCTATCTGTAGGTTTCCTTATTCTAATATGGTCTCTGGTCATTCGCATATCATAGCTCATTGCCATAATGAATGATCGTATATTTATTTACTTTTAAGTTATTAAAGGTTCACGGACCACATAAAAGATTGTTTTGCAATATCCTATCTTATATTGATCTCGTTTGGTGTTGCTTCCTTAAGCATTAATCTATACCGAGTAAGTGATACTTGTTTATTCGAGTTTTGTTGTTTATTACGATTTTTAGCATCTAAACTATACATTTGAAATGAAAAAAACAATTTTGGACTTAGAACTAAATTGCACGAGTCTTTCTTACAAAATAAATGCGAAATCTTAAAATCGAAAAGATGACGTGTGATAAAAAAATATATTGTCAGATCATGCTGTTTTAGCATAATATTAGCATCGTAGTTTTTATCATCGTAGTAGTTGCAATATTTTTATTTCGAAAACGCGGATGTATTATCTCAACGAACAGGAGAATAAGATAATCCGGATAAATATTTAAAAATGAGAATGGTGATTCGAAATTTATCTTGGAATGTTTCAAGTTATCCATGGTAGTTGCTGTAGTGAGTGATATTGACATACTTATCATTTCGGCATTTATCTGTGGGCATTTCTTTTATATGTTTTGGTGCAATTACGCTGGACAGGAATTAATAAATCACAGTGCCGAAGTATACTATCAGACGTAAGTAGGAATTGCTGAATAATAGATGTAGATCAAGTATAGCTGTCATGTTATAGAAAAGAGGAGTATGATGATATAAACCATATATATATTTAGATATAACGCACAGTGGTATATGTCTGCCGTGCACAGTCAAAAAATGTTAATATTGATATTACGCAGAAGTGCTAAACCTCTTTCATTCAGCGTTTCTAATATATTTGTGGGTTCGTTGGAAGGTTTTGGAACGGTAATTAACACTCATAAGGAATTCTACAGATAATGTTTATAATAAAAAACGGACGCACTAATAACATTATGTTGCTGTTGACAAAACTCAACGTTCTTATATTAAATATGAGTATAGTACTTTACGTTTAGAGTTTATTACCTCTAGACGCATATGTGATGTGTGTTCTATTTCAGCTTGTGAGTGCGTCTTTGAGTTATTTCGCAGTGATTTACTCCACTCGATGAAACCAAGAACAATACAGCGTAATAAAATATCTAGTTCGCACGGAAAATAAATGGAAATAGTTTACAAATATATTCTATTTCGTTTCTGTCAAAAATAAAAATAAATAGTAGACCGTGGTACATATTTTTATCAAGTCTAAAGTAAACTAAACTATTTGTCTTAATGACTGTTTGCATTATGGGCGGTGTTAAAATAATTATCACGAAATCATCGGTGAAAATATCAGAGGTATCACAGTAATAGAAGGTGACAAAATTTTATCTGACAATAAAAATAGAGAGGTCATGGTGCCAAGGAATTCTTTATGCTTATTATAGAAGAAGAGGATAAGAATAGAAGAGGGGAGGAAAACAATATAAACGCAACAAAATATATACATAAAGTACACATAACTTGAAAAAACATATTTGGTCAATCGGAAAGTTCCGTCCATTTTTTTGCAAAACGTATAGCTTTATTTAAGAAACAAAATGAAAAAGTACATCAGTCAAAATATTGTCCATCGTTAGCGATGACTTTTTTCCATCTTCCAGTCAGCAAGCGAATGCCTCGGCGAAAGACTCATCTTTGGAGACTACCCAGTCAGAGACCCATTTTTAGACGTCTTCATAAGAATTGAAGCATTCGTCAGCAAATGCGTGTGCCATCGACCAAAACAAGTGGTAGTCGGAAGGGGCACAGTCTGGTGAATAAGCCACATGGGCTAACACTTCCCACCGAAGTGCTTCTAACGTTTCCTTGACAGATTTTGTGACGTGAGGCCGAGTGTTGTCATGAAGCAAAATCACTTTATGCTGTCTCGTTTCATATTCTTGTCGTTTTTCGTGCAATGCTCGGTTCAAACGGATCATTTGTTCTCTGTAGAGATCCCCTGTGATTGCTTGACCACTTTTCAACAGTTCATGGTACAGCATACCCTTCTGATCCCACCAAATACAGAGCATTGCCTTCTTTCCGTGGATATTCCGCTTTGGCGTCGATGTTGAGGGTTGGTCGAGATCGCAAATAGTTTTCTGACGTTTGAGGTTGTCAAAATAAATCCATTTTTCATCCTCAATAATAATACGATATAAAAACCCTTTTCTTTGTTGCCTAGCAAGTAGAATTTCGCAGGTGGTTTTTCACCTTTCAATGTCTCTTGGTTTCAATTCATATGGGACCCATTTTCCTTCTTTGTAAACCTTTCCTAAGGTTTTCAAACGATCGGAAATGACAAATTGAGCACAATTTAATGCTTCTGCAAGTTGCTTTTGCGTTTGGCATGGATCTTCGTCCACCAAAGCCTGCAATTCTTCGTCTTCGAATACTCTAGGCCATCCAGAACACTCTTTGTCCTCTACATAAAAATCACCACTTTTAAAGCGTTGAAACCATTTTCTGCATGTTTTATGGGAAGGAACATTATCACCATAAACTTCTACAAGCATTTGATGAACTTCAGCTGCAGTTTTCTTCCAACTGAAGCAAAAGATTAATACCGCGCAAATGACGCTTATTTGGTTCAAATTTCGACATTTTCGATGCAGTAAAAATGTTATTGATGCAAACGTATACCTTTATGTACTGAATATTATTGACAGATGTCGAAACAAACCATTAAGCTTCGTTTAGACATCACAGGTTAACAACAGTTCTAGCTGTAGCTACTTGCCGTTAGATGAACGGAACTTTCCGATTTACCTAATAATATCGTTGACATTGCGTTAGCCACGAATACATACTATATCAATTGTTAAATAAGATCAAGATCGGCTTGAAGATCCGCGAGTGAAATCAAATATAACGTAATAACGAGCGGGCAATTACACATATAAATGCTAGTTACTAATTAAAATGGTACTTTTTGGCGCACATATTTTTTTCCTTGTCATCGCCTATAAAATCTTTCATTGGAATATTAAAGTGATAACTGATATACCAATGATAACTGATTCACTCAAGGCGATGTGTCGACGAATTCAGGTGTACCGCACATCGCGGCGACTCATGTGAGAATGCGCTCCTTTTGCGATGTACGCCTGCGCGAGGATAAAACATCAACGTAAGTGAGAATATTCTTTAACTATACCGCAAAGACAAACGTTATCATTACGTTAAGCACCGTATATTACACAATTGACTTCAATTTATAGTACAGCTATCATTACGTCTACGTGAAAGGATCGATCCGTATTTCTAAGGCACTCCATAAGGCTTTAGTGAGATTTAAACTTTTATTTGTTATTATTCCCTATTTCTCTCAAAGCGTTATCCGGATGTTAAATGTGCGAAATGTGTAGTAATAGCTCATAATCGGTGAAATAAAAAGTTACTGCCAAGTGTCAACTTACTGTGTTTCGCATTTGTGTCAGGACTGTTGTGCGAAATGAATGTTATCACGAAATATTATAATATTAACCGTCTTCTCTTACTGGGCATCGGATTGTGGCCTTATCGAAAGTACACATTTAACAAGATTCATATAATATTCATGTTTATTATCTTGACGCAAGCCCTTGTTTTACAGGTGATTATTGTTGTTTTTATTTTATTTGTGAGAAAAGAAATTGTACCTTATGCAATTCACGCGCGACGTGTTATATTGAAAACATGTATATGTCACATCGAGGAAGAAATGAACTTAATATCTGTTGTGTTAATATCTGTTGTACATATCCGTTGTACTTTCTTCATGTCCGTTTCATAAGTATATAATTACGAGGATGTTGTATATAACTATATCATAATCGACAAGTTTCGAATTGTGGCATAGTTCTATGTAATACAGTTTTAGATTCTTGTCACAACAGTCGTGCTTCGGATTGCTAAATGTGAAAAATTTCCTAATTATTGAAAATTTGTGACTTCGAAAAACCAAAGTGCGAAAAAGAGAGAGAGAGAGAGAGAGAGAGAGAGAGAGAGAGAGAGGGAGAGAGAGAGGGAGAGGGAGAGAGAGAGGGAGAGGGAGAAGGAGAGAGAGAGGGAGAGGGAGAGAGGGAGAGAGAGAGAGAGAGAGAGAGAGAGAGAGAGAGAGAGAGAGAGAGAGAGAGAGAGAGAGAGTTAAAAAAGAAATCAGAGGTCAATGCAATTTATCCTTGATTATATTATTTTTTCTAGATGGCGGCATTCTTTACGACCGGTTTTAACGTTCCCCTACTTTTAGAAGTTCTCTCGACTCTGTTCATAACCATTGTTTTCATCTTCAAATATAATACGATTTACTTTAATATGGACAAAGTAAGCGAGCCCTTGACTGAAATGATAGTTGAACGTACCGATTGTATCATACAACATCTTCGTTAAATCATTCGGTTAATCGTTCCTACGTGATAAATTATAGATAAATATAGATAAATTATAGGTAAAACTATTCTTTGAACACATCAAGCACACTTGGTATACGCTCAAAGATCCAGTGGAGATTGAAATAATGAAGAAACAAACTAACATCGGGCGGTGGTACACGAAATATTTTACGCGTAAGAGATTCTACCTGTATTCAACAAAAGAAGACTACTGCAGTACTTGATAGGATAAAAAATATATTATTTCGTCATTTACTGCTCTTTACAGTGACTATGTATATAATTACATTCCTATTTGTTATGACTCATTACGTGCCGCTTTTTCTGGACGTTGTATTGCCATTATCCAAACCTCGACAGCGAAGGATATTGGTAATCGGAGAAATGTTCATCGATCAGCATAAGTACTTTCATGTGATATTGTTAAACATAATGATGTCAAGCTTTCTTGGTATGACTACTGTAATAGCAGCCGAAACCATGTTGATGGCATTGGTGCAACATGCATGCGGATTATTAAAAGTTACCAGGTATTGTTCTTATTTGAAACACTGAAATACTGTCTTCGGTATGTTCATCGTTTGAATGTGTCCACCATTTACAAGTTTCGCGATTTCATAGTTCTTCATAATCACACTCATGCATCGTCTGCTTTGCAGTTATCGAATAACACGTACTTTCGATAATGATTACCGTTCGGTTCTTAGCCGTGGCAAAAAGTGCATAGTTTGTGCCAGGTTGGCGAATGCCGTGAAGATTCATAGGAGTGCTATCATGTGGGTATCTATTTTTCTTATTTCAATATATAGCCTCTAGACATTTAAATATCATAATTTCTTTTCAAGAAGGACGATTGTATGTTTATTTAATTTTAAACTATTAAAGGTTCTCAGATTACATACGAGATTGTTTTGGAATATATTATCTTTTGTTGGTCTTGTTTGGTGTTGCTTCTTTAAGCATTAATCTATACCGAGTAAGTGATATTCAATACTCTTTTTTATTCGAGTTTTGTTATTTATCACTATCTAGAACTAAATTGCATGAGTCTTTCTTATAAAATAAATGCAAAGCTTAAAATCGAAAAAAATGATGTGACATAAAAAAATATACTATCAAACTATGTTTTAACATAATTCAGTTATCGCTATAATTGCAATATTTTTATATTTTTATTTCGAAAAACACGGATGTATTATTTCAAGCAAGAGGAAAACCCGATAACCCGAACAAATATCTTAAAATGAGAATAGTAATTCGAAATTTATTCTGGAATTTCTCAAGTTATCTTTGGTCCTCGCTGTGGTGAACAATATTGACACACTTATCATTTCTGCATTCATCTGCGGGCATTTCCTTTATATGTTTTGGTGCAATTATGCGGGTCAGGAGTTAATGAATCACAGTGCCGAAGTTTACTACCAGACGTAAGTAAGAAGGGCTGAATAATAAATGTTGATGAGATAAAGTACTTGCAGAAAAAAGAGTTTAACGATATGTATGTATTTAGATATAACGCACAGTGGTACATGTCTGCTGTGCACGATCAAAAAATGTTAATCTTGATATTGCACAGAAGTGCTAAATCTCCTGTCATCATCGGCGATTCTAGTGTATTTGTGGGTTCCTTGGAAGGTTTTGGGACGGTAATTAATTTACAAATAATTCTGCGGATACATCAATAATAATAAAAATATGTAATGATATCTTTATGTTGCTATTTACCAAATTAAACGTTTTGCATTAAATACGCGTATATTGCCTTTCAGTTAAAGTTTATTGCTTTTAAACAGTAAGGTGACGCATATTCTATTTCAGCTCGTGAGTGCATCTTTAAGTTATTTCGCAGTGATTTATTCCGTCGGATGAAACCAAGAACAAACACATCAAATATTATATAAACGCTTGCGCGGAAAATTAATAGGAATAATCTCATATGTATTCTATTTCTTTTCGATAAAAAATAAATATTTACAGTTACTACTGTTACTGTTCTATATATCTATTACTGTTCTATATATTTTTCTGTATATTTTTTATCAAAACTAAAGGACATTGCTTATCCCAATGAGCGCTTGTATTACGAGCGTCGTTAAGGGGACTTACGGAAGATCAGATTACTGAAAAATCGTGCTTGTTTTTGATAATATTTTATGGCAAATTGAATAAATGTACAAGAATAAAAATTTGAAATATATTTATATAATATATGAAGAGTAGGCAATTTTTGTTTATTAACAAATACTCATATAAATATACGTCCACTTAAATTTTAAACGAGTTTTTCTCAAAATTTTATTGTTCAACTTTTTGCAGTGATTTCTCCGAAACTGAACTTCGTGTCGATTTGAAATTTTGAAGCAATAATATTTGTTCATCTGGTTCTCTGGTGAACCATGGACAACTCCGTCGAAATACTTCATTTCGAGATATTAATTTTTTTATTGTAAAAGAACTGAAAAGTTTGAATTTTTTGCTAATAATAGCTGCCATTTTGTTAATCTTATTCCTTTTTTTTTGTAGTGGTTCACCGGATAATGATAAGCCTCCTCAAAATTTTTAGCTAAAATTCCCTCTCATCGGACTACCGAGAGCCGAGATATTACTGCAAAAACGATAACTTGAAAAAAAGGAGAACATATTTCAGCTATATATATCGTATATTTGTATGAGTATTTGTTAATAAACAAAATTTTTGTGCTCTTCATATGTTGTATAAATATACCTAAAATTTTCATTCTTGCACATTTATTCAGTTCGTCACAAAATATTATCAAAAACAAGCACGATTTTTCAGCAATCTGACCCTTCAGTCTCCTTAATGCAGTTGTCACGAAATTATGAGAAGTGAGTACATTTTTATATAGTATCATACTTATAAACAACAATAAAAGGCGAGCGATTTCTACCTCTTGATAAAAATAGAGAAAAAACGGACATAATATATATATATATATATATATATATATATATATACACCTATATATATATATATATAACAGGGTGTTAAAAAGTCCCGGAGGAGCAGAATAACTCATATTTATTAACTTTTGTAATTTTCATATTTATTAACTTTTGTAATTTCACAGTTTTTCATACTCGCGCTAATATATTTTCTTCGCAGTTATCGAATAACACGCCCTTTCGATAACAACAATTGTTTCCTAGTTAATCGCAGCAAAAAGTGCATAGTTTGTACTAGATTGGCCAGCGCCGTGAATATGCACAGGAGTGCTATTATGTCGGTATCTGTTCTATTTTATTTTTTGGTATATTTGTATTTCTAATATTTTCTAGTATCTGCTCATTCGATTATCATAATTTCTTGGCAAGTTACTGTATATTGATTTAGTTTCGATTTGTTAAAGGTTCACGGATCACTTAAAAGATTGTTTTGTAGTATCCTATGTTATACTGATCTTGTTTGACGTTGCTTCCTTTAGTATCAACCTGTATCGATTGAGTCGCAGACATTATTTTAGTGAAAATTTTGATGCTGATAATAATGCTCCGTGTCTAACCTATATAAAGCTGGCACTTGACTTGTGCAAAAGTAATTTTTGAGTTTAGTACACAGTACATTCCAAAAATTCTGGGACTAATCTTTTCCAGACGCAGTAATGATGTCATCTATGTTTCAATTGTGGGACTAGCTAATATAAAGTTTTGTGAGTCTCCTACATTTTTTGCGTCGCTATTGAGTCAGTAGTTTATGTGCAGTACACATTTCAAGCTTGTAAAATTTATTGGCTTATCACGATTTACGATATGGAACAAAGAGCTACAATAAAATTTTGTTTCAAATATGGGAAAAGTGTGTTAGGAATGTTCACAATGATGCAAAATTCATATGGAGAAGACCGTCTGACACGTAGCAAAATGTTCGAATGGTATTCACGTCTTAAGAATAGCCATGAATTGTTGGAGGACGATTTGCGGGAAGACGAAGCGAATTTTTAATATGCAGGGGCTTATGTACCAAGAATTCGTGCCGCAGAAACAAACCGTAACTGAAATCTTCTACTGCAAGATCATGGATTGTCTTCTGAAAAGAATCTGCCAGGTTAGATCGAAATTGCACCAGTCAGAAAATGGTTTCACCTGCATGACAACGTTCCATCACATTCATTGCTCATTGGGACAAGATTTTTGGCACAAAAATCTGTCGGAGTTATTAACTACCCACCTTACTCGTCCCAGCGGACTTCTTCCTCTTCTCAAAATTGAAGATAGTTCTTAACACGTTGAATGCCGTGAGGGACTCTAGTCACCAAAATTAGCAAAAGTATTTAATTCAAATAAATGGTAAAATGTTCAATATTGCCATTGTTATTATAATTGTTATACAATAATGTAAAAAGATTAATGCATAATAGAGCACGTTTAAAGTGCACATGAGAGAAACAACTGAAGCAACTGATTTCAGTAAAAGATAAATGAAGTACGAGCACAAAATCAATCAAACACCATTCTAATGCCGTGGGGATTACCGGTGACTATTAATAAGATAAATGCATAAAAAATGATAATACAGTTCAACTTAACCGTTTTATATAATATTTTATCATAATATACATCGTATAATGAAAAATTAATTCCGGCGCTGCGGGTAAGTTATATAGTATTAGCCCGGCATTCAACATGTTAGAGGGATCCATTTTGATTCTACGTCAGTAGAATCCATGAAGAATATGACAGTGGTTCTAATGGCCATCTCAAACGAATATTCCAGAGGTTATATGAACTTGCTGCTAAACGTGTATAGAGAGGTGTATGTTGAAAATTAAGAAATAAAATTTATTTGCAAAAATCGATTTTTATAACGTCAGTCCCGCAACTTTTTGAATTTATTATGTATATATGATATCATTAGCAATTATTACTATAATTTCATTTGTAGTTATATCTGTGAGAAATTAAGAAAGAATATCTGTTCTTTCGAAAATAAATAAATAAAAAATTTTTAAATAAACAAATTTTATTAATATATATCGATAAATAATTGTTTGTAGTTGTTACAAATATTCAAATTAAAAAAGAAGTTAAAAAGTCTCAAATTTTTAAACTACTGATAAAATTTGTTCTTGACCATTTGTTTAAATGTTTATTTTGAGTAGTTTAACTACAAATGAAACGAAAAGCATTATAAATAATTATGATATATAATAATTATTGATATATAATTATTAAGAATTATTGATATATAATTATGATTATAATAATTATTTTCTACCGATATGTTTGAATACAATTTTATTATGTAAAAGTAGAATGTGGACTATTTTTTCAAATTTATATATTTTTTAACGAATGAAACTACAAACTTAATTATGCTACGGTATTTAAGGGACCACCTTTAATAGCCTTGATGTTGACATATATTATATGACTCACCCTCCTGAGTAATATTCAGGAAGTTTTAGCCGTCGCTTATTTATTAAAAAGTTATTAACAAAAGAAGTTTCATAAATAGAGCCTATTTTTCCGACATAGTATGATTATAAAGAATGTTAAATATTACATGTCAGCGAGGGAGCGACACCTCTTCTTTGGAAAAAAATTTACCCTGATCTACCCTAACCCAACTTATTATATCTTCATATATAGCTAGGCGTTGTTGAAAAAGTCCCCTTAAAATCCACAACGCCTAGGAGCTCCGCCTCTCCCTCGACTCATATGAACTGTTTAACATTTTTTAAAATATATACTATGTCGGAAAAATAGGTTTTATTTATGAAATTTTTTTATTAACTTTTTAATAAACGATGAACGGAAAGTTAAAAAGTTCCAAATTTTTAAACTAATGATAAAATTGTTCTTGACTATTTGTTTAAATGTTTGTTTTGAACAGTTTAACTACAAATGAAACGGAAAGCATTATAATTATAAACCATTTTCTATCGATATGTTTGAATGTAATTTTTTAAAAAACTAAAACCTCTTAAATGTTATTCAAGAAGCTGAGTTCTATATATCAATATATATCAACATTAAGACTATTGGAAGGGAGTGTGTTCCCTAAACAACGAAATGATTGTTACTAAAAACAACTACAAAAAAGTCCTATCATTTTTTATATTCAAACGTTAATTTTGCGAAAATCGAATGCCAGGTTAACATAGGTATGTATCTAGTCTACGCTTTAAAATTAAATAAAAGTGTCCACTTCCCAACTTAAAACGACGCACGTATTTTTCACACAAAATATGCGGAAAAGCTTAAAATGACTATATACATGTTAGATGTTACCGTTAGAATTCAATATTTTTACGTAATTCGACCATTTGGTTCCAATATATTCGAAAAACTTAGGTAAATTAACTTAACTAATTTAACTTGATAATGAAAATAACGATTCGAATGTATATTGTAATATGCAACTTATAATACTAAATTTATTTTGGCATTTTTCAAGTTATTTTTGGTGTTTGCTGTGGTTAATAATATTGATATACTTATCATTTTTGCATTTATCTGCGGACATTTCTTTATATGTTTTGGTGCAATTATGCCGGACAAAAATTAATAAATTATCATGCCGACCTATACCGCTAGATTTAAGTAAGATACGATGAATATTAAACATCGATATAGCGATTACATTGCGAAAAAGAAGAGTACAATATATTGTATATGCATTTAGATATAACGCACAGTGGTATATGTCTTCCGTACACAGTCAAAAAATGTTGACTCTGATATTATGTAGAAGTGCTAAACCTTTTATTCGGCGTCTCTAACGTATTTGTGGGCTCCTTGGAAAGTTTCGGAACGATAATCAATTTATAACCAAAGCTAACATCAATAATAATAAAGACTAATATCGATAATAATACTGACTGCGTATATCACTACGTTGCTATTTACAAAATTAAATGCATGTTGCATTTAATTTAATATCAGTATATCACTTTACAATTACGGTTTATTGCTTCTAAACAGTAACATAACGCTCATTCTATTTTAGCTCGTGAGTATGTCTTTGAGTTACTTCACGGTGATTTATTTCGTTGGATGAAACCGAGTGTAATTATTAATAACGAATATCTTAACGCCGAAAAAAAAACTTTGATTAGTCATAACGATAGTCGTTGTTTCTGTGCTTACCAACAATAAAGAAAATTAAATCGTCTCTCTTATACAGATTAATATTAAACTACCTGATATGTCGTCGTACGATGACTTACATCATACTGATACTTGGGAATATATCGAGTATTATTATGCCTGCGCGAGGATGAAGTGCGAAAAGCACAGGTGAGAACATTTTTAACCCCTCCGTTATTGTTACGTACATACCGCACATTACGCAATTTAAGTAATTTCTATACTAGAGTTGTTTTAATGAGTACACAAAACGATCGTTCCGTACTTCTACGGCACTCTAGAGCGTTTAAGATAATTGAACATTTTATTCATCTCTAACGGGACATTATGTAAACTATGCGAAAAGTTAGTGACAATAACGCGTAAGGCGTTGGGGAAAAAATTGCACAGTGCAAAGTAAATTCTCTCTCCAGCAGTCGTGTCAGAATTTTTGTAGCAAATGGATGTTACCATGAAATATTACAACATTAATCGTATTCTCTTATTGTGCATCGGTTTGTGGCCTTATCAAAAGTCTGTGTACAACAAGATTCACGTAATCTACATGTTCATTCTCTTCACAGAAGTCATCATTGTCCAGGTGATCTTATTATTTGCGTTTGAAAACAATTTGCGAAAGAAAAACTTAAAACTTCATGTGTAAAAGATTTACGTGGAGCACACATAACAAATAGTATTTATTATCAGGAAAAAGATAAACCATATATTACTTCTATATAATACCTATTAATACTTATTAATTTTTTAATATTTTAGTAACACTTCTTTCTTTCTTTAGGTTAGTTTCTTAACAATCTTACGATTGTATCGCGAACTGTTGCACGATTCAACATTTTTGAACCATAGAAGCAATATTAAATTCTCTTGCCGAAACACATGTGATGTGTATTCTTGAGCGTAAGAAAAGTTTTATAATTAATAGGATTTAAATTAATCTCAGATATAAATGTAGAAAATATTCTCGATGATCGGCGCAATTTGTCACGAACAAAATCGTTTCTTTCAGTTGTTGGTTTTCATCACCTCCAGTTTTAATATCCAGTTATTTTTAGAGGTTCTCGCTACTCTCTGTCTATGTATTGTTTTTTTAATAAAATACAATGCAATTTACCTCAATATAAACGAAGTAAGTGAGCCATCGATCTATACGATTCTTAAACGTTTCTACCTGGATTGAATCCCTCCACTATTATCGCGACAATTATAGATAAAATTGTTCTTGAAAGACATAAAATGCGATTGGGATATGCTACGAGATTCTGCGGAGATCGAAATAATGATGAAGCAAGCTGATACAACGCGGTGGTACATAAAGTTCTTCGCACGTAAGAGACCTTCTTGCATTAAGCAGATAAGAAGCACTTCGCAACAGTTAATAAAACAAAAATCACATCGTCACTTGATATTTTTTGCAGTGATCATGTATATATTCCTTTTCCTGTTTGTTGCGACGAATTATTTGCCGCTTATTCTTGACGTTGTGATACCGTTAGACAAACCTCGACCACGAAAGCTACTGACACATTTAGAAGTTTTTATCGATCAGCATAAATACTTTCATTTCATAATGTTATTTATAATAATAGCCAGCTTTTTTGGTATTACCACCGTGCTAGCTGCTGAAACTATGCTAATGATCTTCATACAGCATGCTTGTGGATTATTTAAGGTTACCAGGTAATGCTTTATTTGAAAACGTATCGAATCACTTGAAAAATTCAATTCGATTTTTGAATCAAATTTGTCTTTATTACATTGAATGAAAACCAATTACTCATTGACCAGAAATATTCATCGCGATTCTCTATAATTCAGCAAAATATTATCATACGTATTATTAAAATATTATCAGAGTTGTCACCTGTGTTACGCAAATATAAGCGTGTAACAGCAACATACAGGTCAGTATGACGGGTTGCTTGCCCCTATTCGGACGATAATGCAGAGGTTGCATTATAACACAAAAGATCGCTTCTGCAAAAGTATGAATGGACTAGAAGTATAAATATTAGTTGCAACTTAATCGACCGCAACTATCAAGCGACATATTTTCGGTGCATTACTCGTATACATTATGCATTACTTGTATTTTGACGCCTCTTTTATAAAATAAGGGCTGTTTTTCGAAATCTTTTGCAGCTTGATAGTTGCGGTCGATTAAATTGCAACCAATATTTATATTGCATTTCTAGTTCATTTATACTTTTGCAAAAGCAATTTTTTGTAGAAACATGAATGAAATACAGTATATAAGACTTTTAAATATTTCTGTATCGTTCTTTCTAATCTCCAATTTCTATCGAACTTTTCAACGTAAGAAAGCAATTAAAAAATTATGCGAAACCAGGAAATATGTATTATTTACCTTTTTAAGTATTACTTTTATTTATTCTGCTTAATTCCATAATATTTATTTCTTAGTTTCATTTTCTAAACATTTTTTTTAATGCAATGATGCTCGACTCCTGTCGGTAAACAGTCGATAAACTGTCATAATGATCACGGTGCAAAGTTAGTTGCATTTGTGATAACTGGGAACACTGTAAATATCATTATCAACAAAATCAACGAATGACTTTTGCAACCTCTGCATTATCGTCCGAATAGGGGCAAGCAACCCGTCATACTGACTTATATATTGCTGTTACACCCGTATGCTATTTATTAATACTTTCCGTGCCAGATCAATTTTACATATCAAACATTGAATTGATCTTTCCGATTGACTTTGAAATAAATATCGCGTGTTGTGCATACGATTGCCATTCATTAGCTTTACGATCTCAAAGTTCTTATCCTAGTTGAAACGTTATTATCTTTGCAGTTATCGAATGATGCGAGCCTTTGATATTAGTTCTGTACCGGCCATCAATTATAGCAAAAAGTGTACAATTTGTAATAGATTGGCAAGCGCTATGAAGATTCACAGGACCGCGATACTGTCAGTATCTATTTTATTTTATTTTACAATGTATCGATTTATTTTTAGTATAACAATATTTTATAGCGTGTCGAGAGATTTATAGTATTTCATAGTCGATTATATCGATTTATTTTATTTTATAATGCATATTTTTTTATATGCTTAATTATCGTAAAACAGACGACACGACCGTACTCTTATTTGATTTTAATTTGTTAAAGGTTCTCGGAGCGCATAACATTATATCTTGCAAACAATTACTTTGTACTGATATTGTGCGCTGTCGTTTCCTTAAGCAGCAACCTGTATCGAGTGAGTCGTCATCGACATTATTTTGCTAAAGTTTTGGAACTTGTGACAATGCTCGGTATTCCGGCTGTATGTTTGAAACTGAACGTAGCGAACCGCTTCACAAGTTAAAACGACTACACGTGACTTTCATACAAAACCAGCGAAAAACGACCCAATTTCATGTTAAATGTACTTGTTAAAAAAAACGCTACGCTGTCTTAATGTAATTTGACTATTGTAATTTCATTGTTTCAATGTTAGCATTCGTGAAAGACATATGCGCCATGCTTATTGATTAGAAAAACGAACCAATACGGATGCATATTTTCAAATGAAAATCAATATTCTAATTTTATTTATATTGCGACTATTCCAAGTTAACCCAAGCGCTCGCTGTGATGAAGATAATGGATATGTTTATCATTTTCGTATTCATCTGCGGTCACTTCTGTTACATGTTCTGGTGTAATTACGCTGGGCAAGAGTTAATGAATTCCAGTACCGAAGTATATCACCAAGTGTAAGTAAAACGCGCTAGATATTAATTGTCGTGAAAGAAAAAATATAGTGATTACATTGCAAAAAGAGAGCTGTAACGATATATCGTTTATGCATTCAGATATAACTCACAATGGTACAAATCTCCCGTGCACAATCAAAAAATGATGATCCTGATACTATGTAGAAGTGCAAAGCCTTGTACCTTTGTCGTAGGTCATCTGTTTTTGACTTCCTTGGAAGGTTTCGGGACGGTAATTAATTTATTTTTATATTCCTTTAAAGTACAAGTATATATATAACTTTAAAATTAGGGCACATTGCTTTTCGATGGTAACGTAACTGTCACATTCTGTTCCAGCTTATAAGCATGTCGTTGAGTTATTTTACGGTCATTTATTCCACTCAATAAAATACCTCACGACGAATGCGTTAATCACAATTATACGATATCAGTTGTAAAACATCTAAATCGGACAGGATATCCACGAATGTGCGCGAATACACCGTATGCACATAAATGAACAATTGTAGATAGGTAATAGTGACTAATTGAAAGTGTATTTATCACTGCATATTTGTTTCACCTTGTCATAATTCACGAAATGATCGTTCGTTGAAAAGTTAAAGGTGATTCCGACAGGCGTTCCACTCGAAGCGTAAAATGATCGAATTCAAAAGTAATATATTCGCGATGGCTCATGAGAGAATGTGCTTTCTTCGAAATGTCTCAAGTGTTACGTTTGCATGAGGATAAAACATGTAATGTTGGCGAGAATATGTTTTAACCGTGGCGTTCGAATGAACGTAATGTTATTGTTACGTTAAATGCCGCACATATTACGCAATTCATTTAATTTCTACATTAGGGCTGTCTTTTCACGAATACACGGAACGATTAATTTTTAATACTACGGTACAGTCTAGAATCTTTAAAATAATTTAAAATTTTACTCAAAATATCTGTCATATGTCTTGCAGTAAAATCGAACGTTACATGTAATATGCACAAAATATGGTAATAGCGAGTATTACATTGAGGAAAGAATTATGCAGTGTCAAGAAACCTCCTCCGTCCGACAGTTGAGTCGGAATTCTTATTGCAAAAAAAAAATAAATGTTATCGTGAAGTATTTATCAAAATAACTAATCGATCTTTACGATTATCACTTATGTATATCACGAGTACGCAGATGTTTATCAATTTTGCTACCTCGAAGTTTTCCACATTCACTAAAATATCGTTATTTTTAGTAGTTATCAAGTACTTATGCATTTAACTTGTGCATTTAATAATTGTTCCATCTCTAGCCTCAGCTGTGATAAAAAATACAGAGTGTGTATCAGATTAGCGAGCACCGTGAAGATTCACAAGAATGCTACCATGTCGGTACATATTTTATTCTTTAATGTATATCCTGCGTGTGTATATTCAATTCTAATAAAATAATCTGTATGACTTATCTGTATTCTTTTTGGTCTTAATTTGTTAAAAATTCTCGGAACACGTAACATTTTGTTTTGCAGCGACTTACTTGTTCCTAATAATGTGCGTCGTCGCCTTCTTACACATTAACCTATTTGGAGTGAATCGTAACTAACATATATATTTTGTTAAAGCTTCGGAGCTTGCAACAATGTATTCTAATCGTCTGTTTCTCAATTTAAAAGATATACGTGACTTCCACACAAGACAAGTGGGAAAGCTTAACATGGGACGATCACATTTGATGCTAAGTATGCAAACGACGCAATGTCTTAACTTAATTTGACTATTTACAATATTCTCATACGAATAATCCGAATGTACGGCTTTAATGATGAGAACAAGCTATTTAGCCAGTGAATATTTTAAAATGATAACTAAAATTCCAAATGTATATAGCTTGACTGTTTCAAGTTATTTCAGGTTATCAACAACCTCGGTATATTTATTCTTTCTATATTTATCTCACTTTTATTACATATTTCGGTCCGACCATATTGGATAGAAATTGGTAGATCCTAATGGCAATATATACCTTCAAATGTAAGTAAAATATGCAAAATATTAAATATCAAAATAATACAGTGATTATACGATAAAAACTATGCAAGCGTTTCGATATAATTCACATTATTATACGAGGGTGGTCCGATAAGTACTTAGCCTACAAAAGAAAAACGAAAATTTTGGAAAAGTGGCGATTTATTTCTCAACAGTCTCCTTTTAGCTCGATACACTTGACCCAGCGATGCTCCAACTTCTTTAACCCGTCTGAAAAATACGTTTTCTCGAGGTCTGCAAAGTAGGCCTTCGTGGCGGCGATGACCTCCTCATTCGACTCAAATTTCTGCCCGGCGAGTGACTTTTTCAAGTTTGGAAACAAAAAGAAGTCGCACGGGGCCAAATCTGGAGAATACAGTGGATGGGGCAGCAGTTCGTAGCCCAATTCGACCAATTTGACCGTGGCGAGGGCGGAGGTATGAGCCGGTGCGTTGTCATGGTGGAAGAGCACTTTTTTCTTCGCTAAATGGGGCCGTTTTTTCTGCAATTCGGCGTCGAATCGGCCCAATAATTCGGCATAGTACAGCCCTGTGACCGTTTTGCCCTTCTCCAGGTAGTCGATGTAGATCACACCTTGTGAATCCCAGAAAACGGTGGCCACCACCTTCCCGGCCGATAGGACAGTCTTCGCCTTTTTCGGAGCACGTTCGCCGGGTGAAGTCCACTGTTTCGACTGTTCCTTGGTCTCTGGTGTGTACCAGTGGATCCATGTTTCGTCGACGGTCACGAAATGACGCAGAAACTCCTTCGGATTGCGCTTAAACAGCGTCAAACACTGCTCTGAAGTGGTCTCACAGTTGCGCTTGTTGTCCGGAGTGAGCAAACGCGGCACCCATCGCGCCGACAGCTTTCTCATGCCCAAAATTTCATGCAGGATATGACCCACGCGGTCTTTTGAGATGCCTACTGTCTCAGCTATCTCGCGCACCTTCAGTCGGCGGTCTGCCAATACGAGATCGTGGATTTTTGTCATGTTATCCTCCGTGGTAGCCGTTTTCGGGGCACCTGGGCGTGGCTCATCAAAAACCGACGTGCGACCACGTTGAAACTTGTTAAACCAATTTTTGACGGTCGTCATCGAAGGAGAAGAGTCACCGTCCAAGCGCTCTTTGATTTCGCTGCGCGATTTCCCTTCCAAAAACAAGAATCGAATCACCGACCGATATTGCTCTTTTTCCATTTTTCTAAAATCCGCGGACACGCCCGCTTCCACACGCGGTCAAAACAAAACTACGAGTCCGATTCGGCTGAAATTTCGACAGTAGCCGTCTACGAGAATGTACTACACGATAGTAAATTTCTCTTGCGATAGTGGCGCCATCGGGCGGTGAGGCTAAGTACTTATCGGACCGCCCTCGTATATCTTCTAAGCAAAATTAAAAATAATGTTTATGATATTACATAGAAATGCAAAATCTGTATCTTTATCATGGATGGTCTATTTGTAGACTGCATGAAAGATTTTGGAGAAGTAATTATTTTAATTATTAATAATTATTTTACTAACAATAGTATCGGTAACTTAAATTCCTAATCTTCTTGAAGATTCCTAATTTTATTGAAGATTGTTTTCGAAAATTTGGCAATGTTTTGTTCAATCTCTGCTTTCAGATGGTAGGCAACGGAATTGTTATGAGAAATTTTGAAAATCAAATTTCTTTAAAAAATTAAATATTGAGCAATAATATATATACATATATATATATATACGTATATATATTTATTTATTTATAATGAGAGAAATTATATAATTTTTATATTATCATATAATATGACTCATGTTTGTTATATTTGACATTATTTGGCGTATATTTCGTGTTAAATATATTGCTACGGAATTTAGAGCTTACTATTTCTCGATACAACGTGATATCTATTTTGTTTCAGCTTAAAACATGTTTGAACTATTCCGTGGTGATTTATTCCGTTTATTGAAATCAAAAGAGCATCAGACTCTCAATAAATACACACGTTCTAACAAGAGGTATAAGTAACTATAAGTAACTATAATAATAATAAGTAGTAATAAGTAGTAATAATAAGTAAGTAATAATAATAACTGTAATAATAAGTAATAATAATAGTAAAGTGTAATAGTAGTAAACTGTAATAATAGTAAACTGTAATAATAGTTAAAGTGTAATAATAGTTAAAGTGTTTCGAGCTGTTTATTAAAAACAGCAAAAATTTTAATTAGATAATAGTGCAATTTAATATTATAAACTACCTGATGTTGCAAGTTTTAAATCGCTGATGCATAGTCGCTATAAAGACGACGTTGAAGTTTGGAGCGTTCTTCGAGCGAAAATTGAAAATAGCCTTTATTTAAAAAAAAAACTATAGAGTAAACTTTAGGATCGCAAGATGCGGTTAGAAATCTGGGTCTCATTTTTATTTTAATGAGTATTCGTGCTACAATCACACGGATAAGGTATTATTTCTTGATAAAGTCCGACTATTTCACTAGTCATCTCGTTTATAGAAGTTTATTTACTTTTTACTGTTTATTTATAAACGGCGTTGTTCGCGTTTCAATCGGATGATTCGACGAGAGATTCAAACTCCACGGAGAACTGATTTTTGTATGTAAAATTTTACGTTTTATGATCGCGTCTTGCGCGCAACTGTTATTCACGATGCATAAAATGTTCGGACATATACGCGGAAATGTGCGCGACTGCTTGAGAGACACAAGCACGCGTGCTTTCTGCGCTTGCGTCTTCACGTGGATATAAAGAAAGGGTCGTCGTTGTTTTACAGTGCGAGGGAAGAACACCGGACGTTACCTAACTGTAATTCCTTTAATTATGTCATTTACACCGTTATTTCCTGACGACACGTAATAGTACCGAGCGATATTCGTAATAGCCGCTTTACGATCCGCCTTTCGTAAACAGTTTTCACAATTTTTCTTTTACTTTTTTTGCTGTGTCGTACACTATTATCGTGCATAATAAAGTGAATATGATTGCTCTCTCGTGTTTTCCCTTTTTCGTTCGCGACCGCGGTCGAAAACTTTTTGTCATTCGCGTCGCAGAAATGGATTTCGACGGTGGTCGATATTACACGATTAATCGAGTGATGTTGTCGACTGTCGGTTTATGGCCATATCAAAGCGTATGGTTCACTCGGATACAAAGAGTTTTTTGTTTAGTTTGTCTCGTGACTGGTGTAACGTTGCAGGTATCGTTAAATTCACAGCGAACGAATATAATCCGGTCGAATCTGCGAGTCGTATTACGCTCGCAATTATCATTCTACTTTAATTGCCGCGGCATTGTGTCTCATATCGAACAATTTTCAGTTACTCACATTTGTCACATTTGAATATAATTTGGGGCTTCTCCTCGACATCTTATCCTATGTGATTCCTTTCTTGATCGTCGTTCTGAAGTACGTTACGTATTGTGCAAAGACCGAATCAGTAAGTCGAAATGTCGCGACAGACGTAATAGCTGAGATAAGTTAAAGGGCTAATCTAAGAATTAAGCGAATTTTTGCAGCTAGTTTATAACTCCGCTATATGAAAATAAAAAGAGAATCGAGTAGCTCAGAATTGGGAAATATTTGCAAATTTTCGGGAATATTGCAAATAAACAATTTTGAGCTCGTTTCCTTGTGCAGAAATTTTAAACTTTTTTTATAAGAACAAATATATTTATTTAGTACATTTTCTGCGAAAAACAAATTCTTGCACAGGGAGACAAGCTCAACATTTTTTACTTGCGGAGCTCTGGAAAGCTCATAAGTATCTATAATTATGAGCTCATAAGTACCTATAATTATGAGTACCTTTCATTTTTTCGTTTATGCGTCATGATGAAAAAGGTTGTACGAAAAGTTTGAGCGGTATAACACTAGAAATAACGCATTTTGTGTACGCAGATGAGAAAGCTAATAGAAACGATAAAGCACGACTGGAACACGCTGAGGAACGAAATAGAGTACAAGATCATTCATAAGTATACTCATATTGGAGCGTTTTACGCGCAGATGTTTGCATGTAAGAACGGGGGGAACTTTATTGAAACTTTATTACGTTATATTTAGCGAGTTGTTAAATGTCAACACCACGTCGACTTTTCCTCGAAAGTTATTAAACCAGCGAGTTTCTCGCATTGCAAGAGTTTCTAGCTCAATTCGTCGGGAACGTAAAGACAATTGTCTTAGATTTATTAAGGAAACCTCACAAATTAGCGACTAAAATCTCTTTTTTTCAATACGATTGACTACAGGCGCTTATGATAAGACGAGTTAATTTTTCATCATCACTTATATCATTATCTTCTACACTACCTTCTACACTATCTACACTACCTTGTACTCGTTACGTAACTTTTTTTACAACGCTATCTCGATGTATACTTTAATAAAGGACGTTTAATCTAACTGCACCGCGCTGCACATTGGGCCAGGAGATTAGAAAAGTGGCCAAAATTTGGTTGCAAAATTTCGAATAAAGAAGTATACTAACTTTATTTACATAAGTCAAAGCACTGTTGATAAAAATTTTATATTGATTGGTTAATTAATCTTCCATTAACAACGTCTTGAACCTAAAAATTTTCCTATAAGTAACGACAATTTTTTTTTTTGAAGATTTTCATAATTCTGACTACATTACACAAATTTCAATATTTTCCTCTCATTTTTAAAAATGTTGTATATACACTTATCATGCAAATATCCCTATAAACACGAGAATTAAAAAATGTTATTGTTTTGATCTATTGTATGTCTGCTTTATTGATTTTTATAGTATCATATACGCTGTCGAATCACGATAACACGCCATAACATGCTCCATCAAGCCAAACATGATTTCATAGCATTTCTTCCAATGTATATTTGAAGTTTAGTCGGCGACTTTTTTGCGCTTTCGCGGATATCTTATAAGAATTCGTAAAATATATCGTAAAGCACGTACTTTATTTCCAAAATAAATATGTCGAGACTAACAAAAAGGGAAGTTCTTGACAAAATTCCCAGTGATTCTGATAGATACTTGGGCGTTGATTATATTTTGATTACATGTTTTTTATATTTTTCTTTATTTTTTTATTTTTTTTTAATATCAAATTGGTATACAGTCAGAGCGTTTTTAGCAATTTTGTCTGCCATATTGGATTCACCATTTTGAATTTTTGAATTTTTGAATTTTGGGTACAAATTCGAAATTAGCGACCTCGGAAACCATTTAGTATCAAATTGCTATACAGTCAGAGCATTTTTGGTAATTTCGTCTGCCATATTGGATCGGCCATTTTGAATTTTTGAATTTTGGGTACAAATTCGAAATTAGCAACCTCGAAAACCTTTTAGTATCAAATTGCTACACAGTCAAAGCATTTTTAGCAATTTCGTCCGCCATATTGGATCCACCATTTTGAATTTCTGAATGTTGAGTACAGATTCGAAATCAGCAACCCCGAGAACCTCGGACTACCACATTTCATAACAATTGGAACACTTTTAGTATTTTGGCCACTTTTTCATTTTCCTAGCCCATAGTGCGCTGATAATAAATTAACTCGCATTAATAATTTCAGTAGTCACCTATGCGTTTCCGTTGCTCTTCGCTTCTATACATCTTATACCGAATCTGCTGGATCTCGTTGCACCGCTCAATCAGTCTCGTCCACATCAATTGATAATTCTGGTCGAGTATTTCGTCGATATCGACGAATATTTTTCCGTTATTCTGCTGCATTTGACCGTGACTATTTTCGTAGTTCAAAACACGCTCATGTCCACCACATCTATGTACGTCGCGTACATACAGCACGCGTGCGGAATGCTCGAAATAGCTAGGTAAGAAGCCTGCTCAGAACGTCACGAATTGGACGCTTGCGATAAATGACGGCTTTCGAATGAAATTTCACGGGTCGACGAATTTAATCACATGAATTTGCGCGAGGCGTTGCCAGAAAAGTAACCATTCCGAGACCATAACAATTATAATCTCACATTATTATTAACTCCGATTTTGTGTATGTTCTTGTTGTTAAGACAATTTCTTTCAGCTATCGCATCGAACACGCTCTCGTCGAGGACGAGAAAGATAATCCGACTTCTGAAAGACGTTGCACGGCTTGCGCCAGAATTATCGGCGCCGTCGATATTCACAGGCGAGCCATCGAGTCGGTATTTTCTTATCACGTAATTCAAGATTTGCATATCATACATACATATCTTCAAATTTAATTCCGTGTGATATTTCACCGAGATATCTCGCGATACATTTATCTATTTAAGTCTATTTAAATTTGTCTACATAAATAAAATATTGCACATGGTAAAGAAGGAGAGAGTACAACAGATTCTCATAGAATTCTCATACGTCAAATGATCCGCATAATGCATCTTTTCGTTGTTGAAGGTTTTTCGAATTCATGAAGGATACTTTTGTAATAATGTATTTCTTTCTGCTTTTACTCGGCGTGGCGTCTCTAACTGTTAATCTGTACCGTGTGAGTAAAGTTTCCTTATATTTAACGAGACTGTTTCATTGTTAATTGTCCTGTTAACGATGTGCACGAGTTACGAAAGCTCCAATTTATCTCGACGATTCGAGTTCATGCGGGCGCTAATGTGAGAGAACGACTTAACTAAACGCGCGTTCTTTTTTATACCTGAGCTGTTTTAGGCAGTAATCACAGAAGGAGTTTTTGAAAGGCTCTTGTCTGTGTTAAACGTGTGCGTCCATCTGTTTTATTTCTTCCTCGTTAATTATGCCGGACAAATGATATTGGACCACTGTAATGATTTTTTCACAAGAATGTAAGTTATTGGAGAAAATATTCATGTTTTTGTCGAAATCACCACTTAAATTTGCTGCATCTTCCATGCACCACGCATGCACAAATTCCCATTGAATGAGGTCGATTGAAAAAACTGCTGTTTCACAAAAGAGCACAAAGGAATAAGGGCGTTTTTCTATCCTCACAGGATTTTTATGAAACAATTTCTTTTTATATATTGTTTGATTATTAGGAATGTCAGAAATAATCATTAGGTGAGAAAAATTCAATTCATAAAACCAAAATTAATTATTAGTCTTTGTATATCACTATGGTATTAAGTCCTTTTCATGACTAATAAGTGAATAAATAAAATATTTTTGCCCATTTATACTTTTCTGTCATCATTTTAGACTTCAATATGTATTGTCTTGAAGGTGAAGGTGAATTTAGTTTAAGTTCTACGAATACTGTTGATTTCTAGAATTGTAATACCGCGCTTACATTTAAAAAGATTAGAGGTGGAGAACGTACGAATGCCGCTTTATTATAGTCTATATGTATATATATATTAATCGATTTTCCGACGCGCATAAGAAAAAGTTATTTAATACGATGGCTACCTACCCATTTTTTATTGATATATCAAAAGTAATAAAAAATTAATATTTTTCACTATAAGCTGTATCACCTTGGAGACGATACATGTTATAATTTAAAATGACGTTAATAGGATAGCAGAGAGAGAGGAGAGGGAGGGGTAGGGAGGAGGGAGGAAGAAGGGGAAAGAGAGGAGAGGGAGGCAGAAGGAGAGTGAGTGGGAGGGGGGGGAGAATATTTTATTAGTCATGAAAAGGATATTATAGTGATATACCAAGACTAATAATTTTAGCCATATAGATCGAATTTTTTCTCAACTAATGGTTATTTTTGACATTCCTTATGATTATATAATATAAAAACAATCAGTTTTTGAAGACCCTACGGGGATAGAAAAACTCTCTTATTGATCCTCCTCTTTCATTTTTTTTTTTAATAAACGGAGGCACTCAATTTGGTGTGACAGTCCGTGATTGAAAACTAATTTTTCGATGTACTAATTTTTAATAACTGATATTCGCTATTTAAATTTTATTATCAAGTAATTACCTTTAAGTAAACTGAATAACTACTATCAGTATTACAAAGGACTTAACGGCTCGTTAATTCGTTTGTAACAATATCAATTGTTGCAAGAGAATCGACGCGTCGTTTCATCTGTACAGAACGACGTACTAATTAATCGTCATTAATATTTGTAGATACAACTCCAAGTGGTATGATATGTCATTGCACGCGCAAAAATTAATATTGTTCATAATGCAGAGAGGTTCGAAAAATTGCATATTGCTCGTGGGCGGTTTATATATCGCGTCGTTGGAAGGTTTCGCCGTGGTAACGAATCACTTTCACGTAGCGGTCACGACATTACCTTCGGCCTGTATGTATCAGCCTGTGCAGACGAATTTTTCTGTTCCAGACTATGAGCACATCTGTGTCCTACTTCATGGTAATTTACTCGACGCAATGACATCGCAAACGAGAATCCCTTCCGATCGTTGTTACACAGAGGAATGAAATTTCAATTACTATTAGCCGCCAAGAACGAATTCCTCATTCTCTATAACACACCGCCGGGATATCGCGCAACAACGTTGTCGCCTCTCTAATTTCTACGTATCGGAAAATATAAACGTGTGTCTTGTTGAGACCCCATGTGCGTTTCCATCAGACCTTTGAACCGTTCACCCTACCTCGCACGTGCAAACCTGGCGGAACGCGACTGTGAACGTTCATAATCTCTCGCAAACTTTTCGCTCGTCCCGCGATTGAAGTTACGAGGCGTAATATACGACAGGCAATACTAATGACTGAGCTAAGCTGAATGGAGCGTAGACGTAAGTGCGCCTGCGTGGGCGGCGAAAGAAATAAAAAGACAGTGAAGAAGCGCTTTGATAAGGGGCCGCAATGAGAAACAAAGTGTCGCAATTTACGTAATTGACGGTACCGACTTTCCTCTCACGATATGGCCTTTACGTAATCGTTTTTCTCTCCTCTCGCCTATTCGCCTTCTCGGTTGAGCGTCAAATTGAAGGCTCATTAGGTAATATTCGAGGTTGTAGAGGTAGTTTTTTTCCCGGGAAAACAGGAATATTCGATGAGGGGCATCGCCATCGTAAGACGCCGCGGCGCTCTGAGGACAGACGCGCGGCGGACTCCGAAGGACGATGGAATTTCTTGGATATCAGTATTACAGGCTGATTCGAATCTTCTTGTCATGGATCAGCCTGTGGCCGTACCAGCAAACGTTACTCAAGCAAATCCAAGCGATTGTCTGTATAATTGTGCTTGTATCTTCGATAGTCACCCAGGTAAAATTAGGCGACGCCGGCCAGCGAGCATAGATGAAATTCTACGCGCGGGAACGATACGTGTATTCGCGATACTTGTACGGCTTTTGTATACTTGCTTGTGAGCTTATAAATTCCGTGTATGCATTTACAAGTTCGCTCGAATAATCTCGTCCTCTGGTTTCTTCGGCGTCCTCGTGACATTTCCGCGGGGAATTTTCATTCGAGCGCCGTTCATATGAACGCGAAATCCGACGCGATTCTATCGATCGAAAAACGACAGACTTCTCTCTTGTCGGTTTCAGCTGCTGAAACTGTTCACGATGGAACACGATCTCAATCTGATACTGACCGATCTGGCGTTTGCCATTCCCAGCGTCATTTATCTCCTCAAGTATAAGACTTTTTACATAAAATCCCGGGAGGTAAGTTAGTTCGCGCGATCAAATCGAATCGCGAAAATCCGCGATAAACGCAAATGCATGAGGCAGATCAGGAAGCTAATGGAGCGAGTCCGACGCGACTGGAACACGTTGAAGGACGAACAGGAACTCGAGATAATAAAGAAATGCGCCGAATCCGGAAGAATTTACCTGTACACGTTCGCCGGTACGAGAGCGAATCGCAAAATTCCGCGGGTCATACTCGGATCCGCGGAACATCTTCCAGCCGATGAACAACATACACACACACACATACACGCGAGCTCTCGCTCGTAATGCTGTCGCAACTGGGTTGCCTGAGGGTTGTCTCGTGATTTCAGGCATAATCTATCCCGGCACGGTGCTTTTCATTCTGTGGACCTTGTTACCGGATATTCTCGACGCCGTGGCGCCGTTAAACGAAACCCGCCCGCGGCAACTGCCGTTCATGGCGGAATACTTTCTCGACCAGCAAAAGTACTTTCATCCGATATTATTGCACATGCAGTTAACGGCTGTGGTAGGAATCGTGACCGTTGTATCTACCGAGACGTTGTTCTTCGCGTACGTTCATCACGTTTGCGGTTTGTTCGACGTGGCTAGGTAAAGTAGGTCGTACAGCGGCGATTCTGTGAACGTACGTAAGAAAAGAACGAGAGGAGCGCTCTCTTTCTCTCTTTCTTTCTTTCTTTCTTCGTTCGCTTATTGTACATCCATCGACACTCCATATTCTCGAATGTTTCAGTTATCGGATAGAGCACGCGTTGGACGAGAGCGTGACGGTATTATCGGCATCGAGTAAAATAAACGCGACTCATATGAAAATAATAGGCGCCGTAGATATTCACCAGAGAGCCATCGAGTCGGTAACAACTTGTTTTTACAGAAATACCGCGAATAATTGTTAAACTCTGCGCGATGCGCGCGGTTTCTCGCGAAAGTCACGCGCGATTTTCTCGTTTTTTCCATTACTTTGAAATAATTACTTTGAAATAAATACTGCGAAATCTCTTCTTTAATTGTTTAGCGATTGTCTTATTTCATGTTTTTTTTCTAACTATCAGTTTTATTTATCAGTTTTATTTATTTTATTATTTTACTATTTTCATAGATATTCCATCAATTAAAATTATCGAATGTTTCTTTTTTAATCTTTAAACGTTTCTATTATTCTCCCTTGTTACGGAGACATTATACTCCAAATTTTTATTCTTGCAATTTTTTAATTGACTCCGCGATGATTTCAATGTTGTACACACAGTATACATATCATATCACCATGACGAATATCATAAATATTTGCCGAATATGTTCCTGGCATATGTGATGTATGTGCTTTCAGGTTTTTCCAGTATCTAATGTCCACATTCTCCTCGTCCTACTTTATCTTAATTATTCTCGGCGTAGCATCTTTGAGTCTCAACTTATTTCGCGTAAGTAAATTTGTGCACTGCGTATCGTTAATTATGTGTCGACGTAATTACGACGTAAGTTAATCGCGCTCATTTGTCATTCATCTTGGCGTCCGATTACGCGAAGATACTAGGTTCGAATTCGAGGTGAGTTCACGCGGGTCTTACGACGTCATTTCAGCTCTTTCAAATTATCCTCATACCCGGGCAAAGGGAAAGCTCTGTACCGTACGTGATATTTGTATCTGGCCATTTTTACTACATGTTCATATGTAATTATATGGGACAAAAAGTGATGGATTACAGTACCGGAGTTTCTAAAAAAACGTGAGTATCGATGAATGAAACGATAATTACGAGCGACCCATTCCTGCGAACGCTGCTTGTCTGCTTGTCTGAAAACGAATAATTTTTTTATATTCGGTTACTCGGTACTCCAATTCGCAGAACCGCTTATTGCGTACTCGACCCAAAATGGCCAAATATCCGGGGAGTTGAAACTAAAAATTACGAACAGTCCATCTGCCAAGTTTGCTATAGACTCTGCATCAAGTAATTCTGTGTCTTGCGTTCTATGAAAATACTGTCTACACTAATCATTCGAATAACGGCGTAATTTATCTCTGAAAAACTCGAAAAGCATCCCAAGTACTCGAATATTGGCGAGGCAAAATATGAACATATTGTGGCTTGAATATTCGTGATTTATCGAAACTTGATTGAAAATCATATCGTTAATTACATCATTAATTATACCGTGTATTATATACCGTAAATTATATCGAACGTCATAATAAGGGCATCGAACAGTGAAAATTAATAAACATATTTTTTTAACGCGAACAATACATCCCCATCGCACAGCGAACAGGAGACGGTAAAAAATAGTTTCCTATTCAACGTCGAGGCTGAAGTGTAGCGGACATTATGAAAATTTACAGATACAGCACACAGTGGTACGCGGCGCCGGTGCAAACGCAAAAGTTACTGCTGTTTGTGATGCAAAGGAGCATGAAATCTTGCAAGTTGATCATAGGCGGTATTTACCCGGCGTCGGTGGAAGACTTTACCACGGTAACTTGCGCAACTACTTGCTGCTATGACTATGATAAGCTTTATTTCTATTTTGCCCCGAAGTGACGCTTTATTTTCTCAGCTCGCGAGCATGTCGCTGTCGTACTTCACGGTGATTTATTCCGTGCAACAATGAGGACCCAGCGAATGGGGGCGAGAATGTAGCGACCGCTAGTGATTTCAGCTTGAAAGCGATAATTACTTCGAAACATTTCATAAGAGAGAAGAAGAAAAACGAAGGCTGCACCCGGAAAGATCGTTCACTGTTAATTCGGTGGGCTCTCTTTCGTTTGCGAATATTGTATTCGCATATATAATACAATAAATAATTTCTCTCTTTCTCTCTCTCTCTCTCTCTCTCTCTCTCTCTCTCTCTCTCTTTCAACATGACGCGCACACAGATACGTACATATACAACTTTTCTTTCTGTTAATTCGTGTTTGAATCAATATTACTCTCCGTCTTAGACGATTAATGTCACACTAGATAATTTTTAATATATTAAAATGCGATAAATGTAAGCAGCATCACGCGAGTTAAAAGTATCTCTTTTACACGTTGCTCATGTATGAGATGACGTTTTTCTATGCGCTTATCATTTTAGTTTACCGCCCGCGCTTTGACGATAAATCATTTCCAATTGTGGACACCTTTGAGATGTTTACGCGTCCTTCAGGTATAGAGTTGTCCTTTAATATTATGTTGGAGGATGCTATACTGGAAAAGAAGGTATAGCGACTCGAAGGTGTACCGACGATGGCTCGAGACACATTAATGCACATATCGATACGTAAAATTCATTATACCTGCACAAACTAAACTTGAGATACAAACGAAGAGGGTTAGCGGTGCTGTTATTTTGCCATTGCGGGAAATGAGGCATATCAATATAATTTGAGTAATTTCCGGAAGTGTTGCTTCTCTTCGTCTATCGGAGGGCCAACACGATATTACCGTTACACCACGTTGTAGAGTTAACTACCGACGCTTTACTCACTTTCCCCGACTTCAAGGAAACGTTATTATCGCATTCACTGTCGCTTTACACCGCAGTCATTCTACGGTATCGGTGCGTTCGAGGAAATACGATGAATAATGCAGATTTAAGAGAAGCGTTAAGGTCAGATGGACGATTCGGGCGCAAACGCGTGTCGACCGTCGAGCGGAAATGGACCCGCTCTGGAATCGATACTACAAACTGAATCGAATATTTCTATCGCCGGTTGGCCTGTGGCCGCACGGGAATCGTAAGCTGAAGCCAATTCAGGCGGTTGTCTCCGTCGTCATCCTGGTGTCCTCCGTGGTTACGCAGGTAATAGCACGGACGGGAATTGAACTCCATAAGCGCGACCACGCAGCCTTCGGTTAAATATTTATTCGTCGCCCTTTAACCGCTGCTTTAACAGAGTTGAACGTTGACATTGACAACGGGATATTGTCGACGTTGTGAGTGCGCGTTAAAACGAAAAAACAATATGATTACAAAAATATATACGCGCGACGTGCTTCTTTTCAGCTGTTGAAGCTTTTCACCACGGAATACGATTTTGACTTCGTCCTTACTGACCTCTCGTACTCCATACCGTCCATGGTTTATGTCGTCAAATATAAAACCTTTTACTCACAAGCCAACCGAGTAAGATGAATTTCTCACACCAAGTGTCCGATTGAACACGTACAAATATATCGTTTCATTGAAATGTGCAATATTATCGCGACTGTTGCTTTTCTCTCATCTTTATTAACTTTTATAATCATATCATATTGCAATCATATTTATAATCGCAGTTAATCAGAATGATGGAACTAATTCAAGAAGACTGGAACTCGTTAACGAGCGAGGAGGAAATTCACATTATTCAAAAGAACACGAATACGGGGAGGCGATATATCATCGTGTTCACGTGTAAGAAAACAGGATCGGTATAATTAAGATGACCGATAACCGATTTACCAAGTGTTTTATATACTGGGGACGCAGAAATCTATTTAATCGACTGATTTGCTCTTTCAGTGATAATGTGCACAGCGATGGCCAGTTTCATTTCATATTCTCTGCTGCCCAATATTCTCGACTTTGTAGCACCGCTAAACGAGTCCCGTCCGCGAAAGTTTCCATTTCTAGCGGAATACTTCGTGGACCAGCAGAAATACTGCAACACCATTTTAACGCATATGATTGTGGCGCTTTTCATAGACTTGTTCGTATTTGTGGGAACAGAGACTATAAGCTTGGTCTATGTGTATCATATATTCGGCATGTTTGAAGTTGCTAGGTAAAGTCGAGGAATTAAAAAAACAATTCCCCTTGATTCTCTGCTCATGTAATCGCTCACATCCATTTGGATTTCTCTTGTTTGATACACGTCTTATTGTGTGCGGTAAATAATTATATGTATAATTTTTGAGGTTAGGCTTTCGAAAACCGCCCACGCTCTATCGTGAATTTTGGTGAAAATATTTCAAATAAATGCCTTTAAATGGATTTTGACCAATAAAAAGTTTAGTGCCGAAAAAGTTTAAATGACGTTACATATTGTTGATAATATTTTTGATGATATTACACTATTTTCCCAGATAGATTAACGTATCGTAATCGTATTTATTAATCTAATATTCCAGTCACGTTTAATTTTTTTTTACATAAATGTTACAGTGAATTAGGTTACGTTAGAATAAATATTCATTTGTAATTATATAAACATATAATTACAGTGCATAAATAAATCTCGAAAATGTAGAATAATAATAAAAACGATACATGATTGTTATTTGAATATTTTCGGCATTAAAATAGCAATTATTAGATGTAGGTAGTTTTCGAAAGCTCAATTTTGAAATTAAATTTTGACATTTTTCTTATACAGGGTGTTTCCGGGTTAAATAGCCAAACTTAAAATATGAATTTAGGACTTCAAAATAAACAAATATTTTATCTGAAAGTTTGCTCGCAAACGCTACATGAGATAAGAGATAAAAAGTATTGGGACGGTGAAATATCAGAAAAATTAAGCATTTTAGAAAAAAATGTTTGAAATAAAAATTGTAGGGCTTCAAAAGATCTATTTACTGACATTATGAGTTTGACCTTGAGTGGCGTCGCCATGGTCAGCACAAGGTCACCTTGAATTTTTTTAATGGGATTCTCTATTTTTTATTACATATTCTTATAGCCCTTCTTCAGACCTTTTTAAAGCTATAATTTTTTCTACTTTGAGTAAGCCGTTTCGAAGTTATCAAGTTTTTTATGATAATATGTCTAATCAATCAAGGCAAGATCAAAGAAGTATCCAGTTAGCCAAGGCAAGATCTTTACAGAAGCGTTTGAGAAATATTAATCTCCAAAAGAAAAAGTAAAATCTAACGAATAAGCTAGGAAACAAGAAGATTTATCCAATAAACAGAAATTTATATTAATTAGATTACAAAATCGATAATTCAATTAAAGGAAGAAAAATCAGTAAGAAAAATCATTTATCTTTTCCGTATGAAACAACGTGTATCATGTACAAATAATGTGTTCTACTTCAAGTCAAATTCATTGCAATTGAATTGAAATAATTCGAAAGTTAATTTTAATGCTATTAAATTTAGTACATTAGTATTACTTTTTTTAATATTACATGTGTCTGAATACGTCGAAGTCACGAAATTGCTCCAACCGCTGGCTGAACATCTTATCATAAAAAGCTCGATAACTTTGAAACAGCTTACTCAAAGTGGAAAAAATTATAGTGCTTTGAAAAAAGGTCTGAAGAAGGGCTACAAGAATATGCAATAAAAAATAAGGGGTTCCATTTAAAAAATTCAAGATGACCTTGTCCTGACCTTGGCGACGCCACCCAAGGTCAAACTCATAATGTTAGTAAATAAGTCTTTTGAAACCCTACAATTTTTAGTTGAAACATTTTTTTCTAAAATGCTTAGTTTTTATGATATTTCACCGTCCCGCTTTTCATATACTCTATATATTGAGGCACTTTATAAATCCTTTCCATTTCTCGCGTTTAATTTCTGTCCCAGTTATCGGATGAAACACGTGTTGGATGAAAGCATCGCGTTGACTTCCACTATGGAATGGAATATCTGCGTGCGCACGAGAATAATCGCTGCCGTTGAAGTTCATCAAAGAGCCATTCAGTTAGGTCCATGAGAAAATAATGATCATTGTATCTAAGAGCGTGAGTTGGCCGCATATTTTGTAATTTTTCAAGATGGAACTTTTTTATATTAAAGGTTCTTCGATTACCTCAATGTGACGCTTAGTCTGTCCAATTTCATCATACTTTGCATGGGTATAGCGTCTATCACCATTAATTTATTTCGCGTGAGTATGTGTATGTATGTATATGTATTCAGTGAAGACTTTCCAATATCAAACTTTGCAGAGAAAATTTCTCAATAATTTTTGGTAAAACTAATATTTAACCCCTTAACATACAAAGACATCTGGGAAACCTCATTTATTTCGTGTGTCATTTTAGACGTTGACGTCTCCGAAATACCAAAAATTACGTTATTACAAGAATATAACTATATTATATTCCAGTAATATTTGTATAATATATATTACATATTATTATAAGAAATATAATACTTTTCAGATTAATTTTCGCCGTACGCCGAGCTATATTAGACGATATTTTTAGCACGTATCGCGTCCTGTTTTATTTGTATGTTAAAGGGTTAATCATACCGCAATAGCATTTATCATATTGCTCTACATAACAAAAATGAAATGTTTAGACTGCGATGTTGACAACGAACAAGGAGGATACTGTTCTTTTAATAATATTTGTCTCCGGTCAGTTCTATTACATGTTCTTAGGCAACTACATAGGCCAGAAAGCAACAGATCACAGCATATACATTCTCAAAGAAATGCAAGTATCTTAAAAATGTATATATTAGTTCTATTATTATTTTCAAATCTTAAAGGTGATGAAATCTAATCGCAATGCTGATATATCATGAGAAGACTCGTATTTTATTAGTCGCGCATTATCGGACGGTTCACGAGTTTCCTCGTGTCTCGATAAAATTTATAAAAAAATAATGATAGGTGTTGATAATAACACTGTGTAAAACTTTGGAGATGAAAAATCTTATTGGAGAAATTGATGTTCCCCTCTTCTCCTCATCATGTTCGATGAACAATTTCAGATCCGACCTTCCGTGGTATAAAACCTCCGTACAGTCGCAGAAACTATTGTTATTTATTATGCAGAGAAACACGCGGAGCTGCAAAGTTGTCCTGGGTGGAATATACACTTTGTGCCTGGAAGGTTTTGCAACGGTAAAATTATGCTTAAGCGAAACCGATCCTCCGTATTGAGTATCCGTATTGAGTATCATCAGTAGCGACATTTTCATATTGAGTGGTGTACAGAACGATGCTTTTTCAGCTCTCGAGCATGTCAATGTCTTATTTCACGGTGTTGTGCTCCATAAGATAACCTGATGACGACGACTATTCGTGAACAGTGCTACGCAGCAATTAGCACGCTATATGTTAGTACAATAATTGAGATATTATTTTCATATCGTCGAGCACACCATTGTCAATTAGATATAGGAGTAAAATAAGAGTAAACGTCCGAATAGTACGCAAAATACACTTGAAATAGAATGTTAAATAAAGAATTTCAAATAGAAAATAGAATCTTTATTACAGAATAGTGGCTCATATTTTGTACGATATGATGCGCGAAATATAAGTGATTTATATCCCAAAATAAAAATTGAAAGGCACCAAAAACAACAAAACAATCACAAAATATAGTTACTATATATTTTTGCATTTACCGAAGCGAACGGAGCGCACCTCACATTGTCGTCGGCGACTTTGTCGAGTGTCTGAAGAAAATGGAACGCGTACCGCGGCAGAAATATGTTGTCCCCACGACGATTTAAATGAGAATGAAACGTGCGTGGGTGGCATAGATGTCCCGTTCGCTACTGCGCTTGCGTCACTACTTTCAGCTGGAGGGGACAAAAAATATCGCCTTTAGCCTCAATACATGCAATTTAAGCAAATTAGGTTGCAACCTCTTATTTCTTTCTCTAAATGTCACAGAAGGGGAAACGTATCTGTACGCAGTGTTTATGAACGAAAATCGATGAAATTTTTTTCGGTGGGAGAAATGTCAGAAATAAATAAAAATAATGATAGAAATGAATTCAATATAAAACTGAGATATTAATTGTCAACATATTTTTTGTACAAAATCAGATTTAACATCAAATCTGCTATCGAGTGATTAACGATCAAAAAAAGAATATACCATCTTTTTTAAATACCACCGATATAATTTAAACGGGAACATTGGATTTCTTTTTCTTTTTTTCTTTTTTTTATAACGTTTGTCTCAATGTCACTACATTATGCGCATGACGTATATATACGTTTTCCCTTTATAACATTTAGAAGAAAAGAACGTGTGATCTAATTTGTTTGAAATAAATGTCCCACTTAAGGAAAATTTTCTATATTTCACGTTGTATGTAACTTAATAATAATAATGTACGTTTACGTTCAGCTTAAAACAGCTTTCCCAATTAACCAACTGTTTTCAGTTACTGAAATTTGTCACGACCGAGTACAGCTTGGATCTTGTGCTCAAAGTTCTCTCATTTACAGCACCTTGCGTAGTGTTTGTTTTAAAGTATATTTCCTTTTGCCTCGGTGCAGAGTCAGTAAGTCTAATTATGTCATGGGATTTATATTTCATATAGGGAACACAAAGAGTGTGTTATTCGTACAATGTGTCTTTCTATCGTATTCTGTCATATCTTTCAATCGACTTTACATCTTAAATTAATATCTTAGACTAAATTAATCAAACCTCAAAACCTCAGGTGAGAAGTCTCATGGAGAATGTCATGAATGACTGGAATGTGTTATGAAAACCAAGGTAGAGCTCGAAATTATGAAGAAACAGTCCGATCTTGGGCGATTTTATACGATGTTCTTTACACGTGAGAAATTATTCTTTATTTTTTGTCTTTTATTCTAATCGTTAAAGTCACAATTTTTCGGACGAATGAGTACTCTGTACTCCGTCCGATAATTCGGCATGAACATAGTTAATTATAACTATATTGTGTGAAGAGTTACGCGTGAATTCTTATACTACCGTACTTCTAGTGGCTGTGTACTCTGCTTTGTTTATTTATATCTTGGTTCAATTAGTACCAATTTTCCTCGACGTCGTAGCAACGCGAACGCGCAAATTACCGATCGTCGCGGAGTACTTTGCCGATCAGCAGGAGTACTATCTGCCGATTATATTTCATATCAGCGTGATAGCCTTCGTAGGATTCACCATCATTGTGTCTACCGAATCTTTATTCATAACGTACATCCAACATGCCATAGGATTGTTTGAAATCGCCAGGTAAACGCTTAAATTAAGTCGAATCTTTTTCCTTGTATGATTTTTGCTTTCAATTAAGTAAATGAGAAAGTAAATATACATTATATGTATATTTAATTTTAATAGTAATTTGATAATATACGACACGAAAATAATTTTCTTTAATATGTAACATAGTGGATATTTCGTAGTAATTTAATAATAATTTAATTAATATGCTGAGATTTATCATTCTAAAGATTAAGAGTTTTAGTTTGATTCGCTTTTCAATTACAGAATAGAGCACGCTTTCGACGAAATATTGGGCGTGAGCGTAACGAGAAAATATTGTTTATACTGCACACAGATAATAAGCGCCGTGAATATACACAGAAGAGCTATCAAGTTGGTCCATTTTAAAAAGCATAGCAGAAAATTCGCTACACAATGCAGATTTTTCAAAGAGTACTTTTTTCGTTCAAGATTCACCGAGTTCCTAAGGTCGAGCTTCGCTGTTTCATATGTTTTCCTGATCTCGTTAGGAGTGATCTCTCTGTCTCTTAATATGATGCGTGTAAGTTTCTCAGTAATTTCGATAAGCCGCGTAGAGATGAACGATCTAGCGAGATTGTAGAGAACGCTGATGTTTTTTTCTGTATGCGGACAGCTCTTTTTGGCTACGTGATATTTGAGCGATTTTGAGGAACTGATAATCTCTACGCTAATTGTCGCCGGTCATATCTATTACATTTTTGGGCAACTACACTGGCCAAAAACTGATAGACCACAGCACGGATGTGTTTCATAGGTCGTGAGTATTTGATAAAATGATCGACGCGCGTGAACGTTTCCCTTTCATTACGTTCTTTTGTCTCGAACGGATGATACACGCTTTAATACGTTGAATACGCCGTGGCGGTTACTGGCGATCGGCATTATGATACTACAGCGTATTATTAAGTTACGTATAAAGTACAATCGATTGCATTTGAAAAATCGACCGTACGATAAATAGAGAGCTAATGAAACGAGATCAAATATATACACACTTCTCGAATTGCATTTATTTGCAATGCCGTTGGTAATTTAATCATCAGTGAAGCCTTTGTGCGATAAACGGGAATCAACGCGGTCGTCAACGTGTTGAAATGCGCTCGGACGAAAACGTCGGGATTTTAAAAAGAGCATACTCATCACGCGTGATACGAGTACTTTTCAAAAATAATATTTAAAAAATACAAAGAGGATTTGCACCGCGCGAGCAGAAATAATGTGAAAAACAGCTCGATTTATTTTATACACGATTGCACGTTTGAATGTTGCAAATTACATGATAGATATTTCATTGTCGCTAACATGTTTACAGATATAAGTCACAATGGTATGTCGCTCCGTTACACGCGCGACATACCATTGCAGTTGTTTATGATGCATAAAAATTGCAGTTGTTTATGATGCAAAGAAGCATGAAAAGTACTGTCATGAGTTTGGGAGGTATTTTCGTTCCTTCATTGGAAGGTTTCGCGACGGTAATTGACCACTCTGACTCATTAAAACGCTGAAATTTAATCATTAGTTCTCACTTCCTTCCCCCCCTGTCTCTCTCTCTCTCTCTCTCTCTCTCTCTCTCTCTCTCTCTCTCTCTCTCTCTCTCTCTCTCTCTCTCTCCTTGTCTGTCTGTGATAAATTTTTCATTTCAGATTACCAGCATGTCGCTCTCGTATTTCACGGTAATTCGTGCCGTTGAATAATCACGTCAGGCGAGTATACTACATGGGCTGAAAAGTCTTTGGCCTGACATATAGATGGCGCCACAAACTAAAAATCCTTATATTTCCTATAGAGTACCAACCTTAACTTAGATGCTGTAAAAATTTCATGATATTTCGTTGACTCGTGTACAAGTTATAGCTTTCGAAATGACGTTACCTCTGAATTTATCTTTACTATGGAAAAAAGTGAATTTCGTGTTTTGATTAAACATTGCTTCCTGATGGGAAAAAACACTGTTGAAGCAAAGGCATGGCTTGATAAATGTTACGGCACATCTGCCCCACTGAATTCAACCATCAAATATTGGTTTGCTGAGTTTCGTCGTAACCGTACGAGCACAAATGATGCACCACGTTCAGGAAGGCCAAATGAGGCAGTTACTCCAGAAAACATCCAGAAAATCAGTGAAATCGTGTTGAATGACCGCAAAATGAAATTGAGTGAGCTAGCTAACATCATAGGCATCTCAAAGGAACGCGTTGGTCATATCATTCATGAATATTTACACATGAAAAAGCTTTGCGCGCGTTGGGTGCCGTGTTTTTTGACAATTGAGCAAAAAGCGGAACGTGTTCGACTTTCAAAGCAAAATCTGGCCCTGTTTAACCGCAATAAGAAGGAGTTTTTGCGTCGATTTGTCACAATGGATGAAACATGGATCCATCACTACACACCGGAGTCCAATCGGCAGTCAGCGGAGTGGTTATTGCCTGGTGAAAGCCGTCCGAAGCGCCCGAAGACACAACAATCAGCCGGCAAGGTTTTGGCCAGTATTTTTTGGGATGCGCATAACATAATATTCATTGATTATCTTGAACATGGTAAAACTATCAATAAAGAATATTACTGTACATTACTGGATCGATTGGACGACGAAGTCAAGGTCAAACGGCCACATTTGGCAAAGAAAAAAATTTTGTTTCACCAAGACAATGCTCCAGCTCACTCGGCTGGCGATACGACCGATAAATTAAAGAAATTGCGCTATGAATTGGTCCCGCATCCCCCGTATTCTCCAGACCTGGCCTCCAGCGACTATTTCCTTTTTCCTCGACTGAAGCAGTGGCTCGCTGGTAAAAGATTTTACTCGAATGAGGAGGTCAAGTTGGAAACAAATGCCTATTTTGAGGGACTTGACACCGAGCACTATAAGACCGGCATCGAAATGTTAGCGGACTGTTACACTAAGTGCATTACTCTAAATGGAGATTATGTCGAAGAATAAAACACTTTTTTCATTAAAAAAATCGTTTTTTCATTGTTAAGCCAAAGACTTTTCAGCCCATGTAGTATAGACTCTCAGTCGCATTCGACAGCAACATCTCGATCGTACACATGTAGGAAAACGCGGAGTACATTCGCTTGCGAGTCGACGAATGAGTGACTGAACTTTAATAAATCACACCAATCTACAAACGCTAATAAGAATTAACCGAACGAGTTTCGAATAAACGTTCCAGCGTCGCCAATAAATCTACACCGTCCCCTTTTTTTCCTTTTTTGCTAAAGGGTGATTTACACGATGCTGCTTTTACTCACTTTGAGCAAGCTTCCTAAGTCGTCAGCGAATTCGCTGATGAAAATTTCTTCTAGACACTCGATTTTTATTCGCTAGTGTCTAAAATTTGGAAGACGCAGCGTCTATTAGTCGCTATGGCAAAGTTGAACATATCCAACTTTTACCGCTCGTGTCAAGCAACATTAAACTGTCTTTTTTTTGTATAAGCGGATGCACCTTTTTCAAAAGTTCTTCAAATTTCTCGCATGTTAATCGCAATACTTTACGGTATGCGGTTGGATCTTCCAATGCCAATTGTTTGAAAAGATTATTTGATGTTCCATGAGTTAATCTTCTATCTATCCACTTATGTATCCACATTCTTTTTTTTTTTTACTTTGTTACTGAGCCACGAATTTCTGCTTGAAGAGCTCGTGCACAAAGCACGACAGCAGCTTGAACTATGTCATTCCTTGACGCCATGATCCTTTTAACTGATCGTTTCCGCAAAATTCTCCTTAAAACGCTAGCGACTAAACGCTGTTTATCAGCATCGTGTGAATGCTCCAACACTAGCAACTTTGTCAGCCAGAAATTCGCTCTAGGAAAGAGAGAAGCTGGCGACAAAAGAAGCCAGCGCCAAGCGTCAAAAGTAGCATCGTGTAAATCACCCTTTACTAGGACGAGCGGAGAGTAAAACCCGCTACTCACGCTACAATCTGCAGGGTCCGATTTGCAAGGTAGTTAGGAGGGAATAAATCGGCGCTGCTCTCCACACGATCCAATCTATTTTAGTTGACTGGCTCGATTGCTGTGCAAAGACGTGTTTTTAGCACGTCACAGTCGCAAGGCAAATGCAAGAAATGCCAAGAAAAATCGGACGGATCGGCCCGATCGTCCTACACACGATAAAACACGATCAAACTTGCAGAGTGTTGGAGTGAAGGAGTCGGGAGATCGTGTGGTCGTCCTGACCAACCATCTGATATCAGAATCAGTGGTCCCGACAAGCCTACATACCGCCCGATCTGCAGGGTCCCTGCAAATCGGACTCTGCAGGTTGTAGCATGAGTAGCGGGTTTTATCGATCGCGACGCGATATTTCAATTGGCGGGATATCTCGCGTGATATCCTCGGCTGGTGTGAAGACGACTGCGATGGGGCTGGAGAATAATGTAATCTCATTGAATACGTCGTGCGCGTACAGCCGCGGTTACCGCTCGCTTTCGCGCTCTCGTTGAGAAGCATGAAAAACAACGTCTTAACTTCCGGCGTCGCACTCGAGACAGCGTAAATACACCAGTAATCCGATATAACTTTAGCGCAACGATGCGAGCTGCGGACGCTTTGCGCCGCGGCTTACCGGCCTGTCGCTGTCTTACCTCACGGTAATTTATCCCGCGCGTTAATAATGAGCGAGCAAACGCGGCGGATAGATGTGCATCATGTCGTAAAGAAAGTTGTGACTGGATTAGCATCGATTTAACGCGAGGACGATCAGACGGCTTTCTGTGTGCAGAAATACCGGCTGTTAGAATTAACGCTGTCCGTTTGCGAAATTCTGCGCGTCTGCGATGCGTGATATTGCGTTAACATCACCGAATTGTCACGAGGATGACGACAACGCGTGCGATTTGAAATCTTTTAATATCCAACAAAACAAAAGAGGAACATGCGTGCGAGACTTGCCGGCATCCGGCAAACGCTTCACGCGAAGAATCGAAGCAGACTGAGGAACGCGGGTACATTCGCGCTTGCGTGACGGAAAAGAGGGGGAAAGGGCGATTGTTTGTTGCGAAACAACGCATCCGACGATAATTTCGATACTCGGCGCTCTCTCCTCCCCGGCCTGGAAAATGACTCTTTCACTGTGCATTATCGGTTACTTCGATGTAGTAATGTCTCGCGAATTTTCGAGGAGAAATTGCTGCCGTAAGAAGAGCAGAAAAAGAAATAGCTGCGGAGGAAAAACGGAGAGAATTATCTCGCTGGTGCGGGAGCGCACAGTCATATTTTTGCCGGCGCTCAAGATGGTGCTCGATAATGGAGAACGATATTATAAAATCAACAAGATTCTCCTCAGTAGTCTTGGACTGTGGCCACATCGGAAAACGAGATGCTCGCGAGTTAAACTGATACTCATCGACGCTATATTCGTTTACGCTCTATTTGTTCAGGTACCCTGAGACTCAGTCGATGCGAACGACAAACAATATTCGTCATGCGAGATAACGCTCAAGAGATGTACGCCCGTTATCGTTACCGATAGAATTGTCATTTTGTAGCTGTGCACGTTCAGCAATGCGAATTGCAATATAAACTTGCTTCTTGAGGTTCTCTCGAATGTCCTGCCTACTCTCATCTGCATCGTAAAATACAATGCTTATTACGCTAACACCATAACAGTGAGTTACGTTTTCACGTTGATCTCATCTTCTTAGATAGGATACCAAAATTTATTCCCGGTAACGTGGCAATTTTTTACGTTCACGATTATGAATATGCTTGCCGACGGAGGAACGGAGAAATATCGGAGTTTCGCTTCTTTTTCTTAACCATTAATTTTGCATTTAGATCGAATTAATGATGAAACAAATACAAAGAGATTGGGACACGTTAAACGACAAAAGGGAGATCGAGATATTGAACAAATATGCTCGTATAATGTATACTTGCACGATCGCTCTTATACGTAAGACAACGAGAGATATTTTTTAATACATATAATCGTTATCGGAGTAATTATTCAAAATTAATTTGATACTTTATAGTAGTCACTTGTGTCTGCGTTACTATCTATGACTTCGTGGAAGTCTTGCCCATTATATTCGATTGGCTCGTGCCGCTTAACGAATCCCGACCATATCATTTGATAATGTTAAGCGAATATTTCGTTGATTCTGAAAAGTATTTTCCCCTTATACTACTGCATGAGAGCATAGCTGTTTTAGTAGGATGTCTTATTATTTTGTCTACCGGGACTATATCTTTGGTCTACATGGAACATCTTTGCGCGATACTGAGAATCGTCAGGTGAATAAATCCACTGATCGAATTATTGTTTGGACCAATTGCACAACTAAGCAAAGATTTTATAGCTTTCGATTAGAACATATGTTAGAAAAAAGCGGTCTACAGTACTTTAATGTGCAAACCGAAAGAATAATATGCGACAGGATAATTCGAGCCGTAAATTTGCATCGGAGAGCTCTCAAGTGCGTATCACTTTTTTAAGTCAAGAAAGAATAGTAAGTACAGTTGTCTTAGGTTATAACGAATATCGCGACTTGACTTCACTTCTTTCGCATTAGTATGAGAGCTATATTTTAGCGTACGATTATACACAAAAAAAAAATATATATATATATATATACGTGTGTGTATATTATATGTATAATTATTTAATATTAATACAAGATTACCTGAATACATCTTTTTTGAAGATTCTTCGATTTATTTCTATCAAATTTCGCGTCATCATTTTGTATTATGACTGTCATTGGAGTTGCCTCCATAAGCATTAATTTATTTCGCGTAAGTATGAAAACGTGATAAATTTTTTATAAATTTAATGCATTAGACAATCACATTGAAGCGTGCGATATCGTAGCTACTGCTATTGATTATAGATACTGGTATATTGCAACATAAAGAATTTATCAGAAATTTTATTAGCTAGCACACTTTTGCTTGCTCATTTTATTTATATGTTTGGAGCGAATTATATAGGACAAATAATAATTAATCACAGTGAAAATATTTTTCATGTAACGTAAGTACAAAATATAGTTGTGTACAAGTATACAAAGAAAAAAAGTTTCTTTAGATTTAGTATTTCTATTTATTTAATTGATATTTATTTATTATAACGATAAATCCTTATATGAAATATTAGTTTTTTTTAATAAAAATGTTTTATACGAGAAAACTCTATTATTTAAAAAAAAAAGACACTATTATTTGAAGTAATATATTTTTAATATGTTATTTAGTTACAATAAATATATAAAATAAAATAAATAATTTCTTTATATGGAATTGACATAATATGAATTGAAGATCGATGCGTGCAAGTAATTACTTTCTTAAAATAATCATTATAATTTTTGGCCAAAATTATTTATTCATAGTTATTAATAAAAACATTTATTTAGCAGATTATTTAGTTTTATGGGCGCAGCGCAATTTATAAAGCTAAAAAGTATCAATAATTTATTATTTTATAAAAAAATTGTTTAAAGAGAAAGTAAATAATTATTGAGTTAAGAAAGAATAGTAAAACTGTTTCAATGAAATAATAAAATTACTCTATTTAATAAACAAATTTGAATAAAAAAGATAAATGCTATGAAGAATTGGTTTAATAAAATAAACCAATTATTTGAATGTAGTAATACATTTCTTTCAGACATTTTCCATGAAATAATAATATCATTTGAATGAAACAATAATATGAATGAGAGAAAATATCTTTTTTGTCTGAAACAAATATTTTATTTAAAACGAAAGATATGTATTCTTTAAAAAGTCTTTAAACGGTCGTACTTACTGATCGAAACATTAGTTTCTTTGAACCATTTCAAAGATTAAATTTGTTTGCATGCAATGAAGTTTATTAAATCCAAAGGAGTATATTTTTCTCTTTGTAGAAATATCAATATCACAATTTGTCTTTTTCACGCTATTACATGCGCATACACAACTATCAAATATTTTATGGAAAAAATCATACAAGACGAGAGTTTAGAGATATAATATTACGAGATTATTTGTGTTGTGCAATAATTATTGATTCACGTAATAATTATTGATTAAAATATCACAGGTATAACAACATTTTGTGGTATACCGCTCCGTTACAATCACAAAAGATGCTACTATTTCTAATGTATAGAACGACAAAACATATAAAGCCAATTATCGGCAAAATATTTGTAGCATCGTTGGAGGGTTTCGCTACGGTAATACGCGCAGCATTAGCAAAAAACGATACTTATAAATTACTCAAAAAGGAAAATTTACCAAAAGCACTAGAATTTCCATTGAAACCTCAGCTTTTGCATAATTTTTCACAATTCATGATTTACGCGCTATTATGTTTATTGTCAAATATTATTTCAGCTGTCTACTACATCGCTATCTTACTTCACGGTAATTTATTCTCTGCGTTAACGAGAAGATATTGTGCAAATATTCATCTTCAATCACTTTTGTGCAAACAAAGGTTCGAACACTGATAATAGTGCATCGATTATCACAAATACGATAATTATCAGAGATATTATTACTTATTGACGTTTGTACTTAAAACTTTAATATAAAAAGATATCATTGTCTGTAGCACCTCAAGAATCGTCTTGTTGAACATTACACAACTTAGCGACTTCTTCACGACTTCTTAGGCAAACTGCATGCATACGCTGCAGATCCGAGTGTGTTATTTTGTTACATACAAGCAGTTAATTGACTGAAGCTTTCTTTGTACATTTCTTGTCGTTTTAAATCACATCATTTAATACGTATAAATGTCATTTTACGCATTTGAACGTATCAAATATAAACGCTTATACGTATAAAAATAACAGGTTCAAATTTGCAGTGTTCCACGATCCATCGAGCCATAGCGGGAAAAATATTTAACATTTTCTCATACACAAATAACATATACCGTAAAAGTGTCCGTATAATTTGACACACACGCAACGAAATGAAATCGACTTAATCGAGAAACAGCGGAAATAACTTGCGATATCACGATATAATTCTTTATATCACACGAACATGCGTCTTCGTCGTCTCGAAATAGGCAGTTCAGCCCAGCGAAAGAACTACGTCTGGACGTGAGCACTGCGCTTGCGCAAAGTTCGACGCATCGAACTACGCAAGTCCGAAATACGAGAATTGCAAAGACCCAAGAAATATTTTCGTCTAATTTGCTCGCAATTAACTTCAATCGGCGAGCAATTTTAACGTAGCACGACTATATTACTCGCAATTTGATCGATCGGTGAAATTTACATGAATATCTACCGCCACCGCGTGTAGCTATATAAAATTATCAAATTATAACCGTCGACGAGGAGAATCTTGCGAAAATGAAAGAAAAGAGAAAAATACTGGAGAAAATAATCTGTTGAAATTTAATAATTAATCAAGTCCGAGGCGACATCGGCGATAATACTGCAGCGCCCGCAGAACCGTTTCGTCCGCGGTGCAAAATGGTCTTTGCCGGCCAACGTTATTACGACATTAATCAGATCATGTTGACGAAAATCGGCTTGTGGCCGTATCAGAAGCCGAGCATTTTGCAAACGGTATTCATTCTCAGTGCACTCATCTTGTTTATATTGTCTCAGGTACTTTTCGATTTATTCTTATAAGACAACTTTAATACCTTGCGTTGGGAAGCCTAATGTCTACTTAACGTTCTATTATATACAAGCCGAAATTCGCCCGTTGTATTCCAAATATTTAATGTAATGTATGCTTTTGCTTTCTCTGAATCTCTGAATTTAAATAGGCTCACATATTTCTCGCATTAGAGTCAATTAAGTATCAACGCAAGGGGTTGAAGATTTACTTTTGGGTCGTTACACGGATTCGATATGTTCGTCGCTGATTTATCCGTTGCAGTTTGCAGTATTTTTAACGACGGAGTGCGACTTTATAGATGTAATTAACATATTTTCGTACACTTTGCCCTGTTTCGTGTATCTTATACTTTATAATTGCTTTTACTTCAATATTAATGAAGTGAGTACTATTTGCGGTTTTCTTCACCCGAGATTCTCGCATTTTGCGCGAATTTCGTGTTTTCGTAAGCAAAAGAGGTCCATAATACAACGATTGTCTAAACGGCAGATAAAACAGCTATTGGAGCAAATCAAGATGGATTGGAATATAGTCGAATACAGCGAAATGCAAATATTGGAGAAATACGCCGTTGGATCTCGTATAATTTCGCTGATTCTGGTCTGTAAGTTAATTGCATAAGCTGCAAACTTAGCGATTTCTTTTCTCCTTTTGGAATGCACTCTCTAATCATGAATCGCTCATCTCATCAGAAAGAAGAGATCCTGCGTTATCTCATCGCACACTTCTGTCGTTTTTGCTTTAGATGTTCTAATATTCAGTGGGACAATTCTTATAACTGTCGAGACGCTGCCAATTATTCTTGACATTATCGCACCGATGAACGTATCACGGCCACGCAAGATTGTGGTAGATTTAGAGATATTCCTCGACCAGCAGCAATATTTTTATGTCTATCTGATATACGAGATCGTACCCGTGTTGATCGGATTTCTCACGGTAACCGCGGTCGGCTCATTGCTGCTTGCGTTTCTGACGCACTCTTGCGCCATCTATAAAATCGCTAGGTAAATGCATCCAGTTGCTCGCGAGTCTCGCTAATAACGAAATAATCCTTCAACTGTCGCATTAATTATGAATAACTAACGACTATTTTGACTACAAATGAATTGTTTGCAGCAACTTAATCGGAAATATAGTGACTAAGCAGACGCTTGAAATTCCCGCCGATCAAAAAGCACGCGAGATGTACCGAAGGATCACTCGTGCCGTGTTTATGCAGAGAAAAGCTATACAGTTAGTCCTCATGTGATTTATTTTTTACATTTCACACTCTGTATTTTCGCACGTATGAGATTTTACTTAAAAAGTACATTTATCACATTCCATACGTTTCATAAAAATGTTTTTTTCCTTTTTCTTAATGGCTTCCTGTTATCAAAGGTTCACCAAATTCTTAATGAATAGCGTGGATAAGTGGTTTTTCGTATTGATGGTGGTCGGTGTATTGTCTCTGAGTTGCAATCTTCTCCGAGTATGTAATGACAATCATTCTTAATATGCATTGTATATTTAATATCATTTATATGTGACTGCGTGCGATTACTACTGATATAACATATTCTCATATTACAGTTTCTTATTACAATCACAATGTTAAAGGAACTATCTGATGCGATATTATGCGGTGGACTGGTGTGTTGTCATTTTGGAATGTTGTTTATAAGTAATTTCATAGGGCAATTTGTTATGGATCATAGCACGGAAATATTTACTGCAGTGTAAGTACTTTATACAGATGTACAAGTCGAATGATAGAGAAAAATGAAATAGAATTATATTTTTCCTTTTGATCCTTTTCCTTTATTTCTTAATTTTTGTGCTAGTTTTTAAATTCGTTTAAACAGTTCGTATTAAATAAAATGAATACATTACGTAATTCTTGAAAAGGCAACTGTAAAAGTAAAAAAGGCATAACACAAGATCGTTTATTTTCGTAATTTTTCTAGATGTAACATCACGTGGTATTTAGCTCCGTTGCAGATACAAAAGTTGCTGTTATTTGTCATGCAATATTCTTTAAAGGCTAATAGGATAATGCTTGGAGGAATTTTCGTAGCATCTTTAGAGGGATTTTCTTCGGTAATAAATGTCAAATATAACATATTTTTTTTTTTAAATAGTCATTTATCGTTTTTTTTCCTCCCGCGAAAAATCAATTTGATATACTCGAGACACATCGCAAAGAATAATATTATCACACGTAGCAGATTTATGAAAAATTAATCGGAAAGTAATAACCGCCAATATAATAAACATTAGAATACTTTTGCAGCTGACAACTACATCAATATCATACTTCACGGTACTTTACAGCACGTTATAATAAATAAGCAATGGAGAAGTACCAATTGCTTTAGAGACTTTTACATAAAGGAAAAAGAGTTTCTTGCATATATAACTATATATCCGCTTAAGCATATTCTACACGAAAACTTATATAAACATTTTGTAAGTTATCATATTATAAAATTTACACGTGTCATTAACGATACTAATATATCAAGAATAATTTTAACATCCAGCGTTTTAACAGAGAAATTGCAAATGAAATAAACAGTGATGCATTTATCTACTACTAATTTAGAAGCAATGAAAATTTATTAAATATAAAGTATTATGATATATTTATCTTTACCATTTTGTCTTATTGTTTTATTTTCCGTTATAATTCACATATTTTTCTTAATTTTTTACTAATCCGTCTTTTCAGATAATACACCAGTCGCAAGTATCTCGTGTTTTGAATAAGTTCTCTATCTAATTATTGCAAAAGATGAGAAGAGTATAATTATTGCATTTCGTATAAGTACAATAATCGTTAACGCGTGTCGCCCAACAGAAATAGTCGAAATCATGCCTGATGACATGAGAGCAATATATATTACCACATTGTGACGGCTTGTATTTCACTTTAATCGCAATATGTTAAGTCGTATGCCAAGTTAAATCGAAATGAAACTTAGTGTTCTGCCCAAATCCTTATTCCATATGTATATTTATTAGAGATGTATGAATTAAGAATTTTTATGTCGAATCGAATTGAATCTCGTTTTTTAAATCTGAATTCGAATCGAATCGAATCTGTGAACTTTCATTCGAATTCGAATCGAATTGAATAAAATCAAATCAAATCATTAAAAATTTTAACATAACTATTAAACATGCAAATAATGATGGAAGATTTTAATATGAAAGAGAATATTGATGTTGTAATATCATTTTAAAGTAAAATATATATTTAAATATTTAACGTAATTTATAATTAAATTATTAATTATAAGTTAAGTTAATTACAAGTTAAGGGTTCAAACAGGCCTAAATGGCCTGTTTTATAGCTAATGTGCGCAAATGCTAATGTATGGGTATGGGAATAAGTTTCCGTCCGTTTTAAATATAAATTAGTCATTTATTTAAACAAAAAAGTACAAAATGATTTTATTCAAAGTATGCCCCATTGGAAGCAACAACTTTCTTCCATCTTTCAGGTAGTAAACGGATTCTTTGAAGATAAAAATCAGGTTCTTTTGATTCGAACCATTCATTAAGCCATTTTTGATACCTTTATGAGAAGTGAACTGCTCTTCAGAAAGAACCGACTGCGTGGACCGAAATAAGTGGAAATCCGAAGGAGCAATATCTGATGGGGCAAGATTTCCCAATTCAATCCTTCCAAGTATTTTTGGACCGGTTTTGCAACGTGGGGCCTAGCGTTGTTGTGTAGCAGAATCAGCTTGTTGTACCTATTATGTTGTACCCATTCCGGTCGTTTCTCTTTTAAAGCTCGGTTCAAACGTATTAATTGCAGTCGATGACGATCCCCGGTGATGTTTCGGACGGTTTTAGAAACTCAATAAATAACGCCCTTTTGATCCCACCAGATGCATAACATAACTTTTGAACCGTGGATATTCCGTTTTGGAGTTGATGGACCTGGTTCACCTGGCATCACTCATGATTTCAGTTGTTTGGGGTTGTCGTAGTAGATCCATTTTTTATCGCCAGTGACAATTCGATGCAGAAAATCCTTCCTTTTTGTCTTTGAAGTAGTATCTCGCACGTTATCAGACGTATTTCAATGTCCCTCTCCTTCAATTGATGTGGCAGCCCAATTTCCTGATTTTTGGACCATTCCCAACATATGTAAACGTTTTCCGACGGTAGATCTATCAACATTTAACTGGTTTGAAAAATCTTTGAGCGTTCGACTCGGATCTTCTTAAATCTTGCAGCTGTGCATCTTCGAATCTTTTAGGTGTCCCTTCGCGTTCTCGGTCGCTCATGTCATAATCACCATTTCGAAAATGCCGAAACCACTCTTTACACGTGGTACTCGACGGAGCATGATCGCCGTAAATATCAACAGGCATTCGATGCGTTTCAACAGTACTTTTCTTCAGAATATAGTAATGGAGTAACACTTCCCGCAAATGCTGCTTCGTTGGGGTAAATGTTGCCATTTTCGACGCGAAAAAAAAATAATGTTTACGCTTCAAACGAATGTCTACTACTGTGATTCAAAGTTCGCAAATATACCTTCAAAATACAAGTATACCCATTCCATCAAATACGAAATTAGTACCACTAGCGATATCTTTCTAAAAAGGACGGAAATTTATTCCCATACCCAATATTTGATTCGTATTCGAATCTTCGCGATTCGAAATTTTCGAATTATTCGGATTCGAAGCATAGGGCTTCGGATTCGAATCGAATCGAATTATTATACATTAGATTTAATTCGATTCGATTCGAATTTGAATAGTTCGCACATCTCTAATATTTATTTAAATGTTTCGAAATTTTGTTGTCCCACTCACCCACATTCCGCTTTACTTGCAACTATTCATGCTGCTGAAAAATGCGTTTTTCTCACGCTGTTGCATAATGATTAAGTTTCACGATATTAGTCATCAGTCGTCGCACATACATACATTTTAAGATGGTATTTTTATCCGATATTGTAGCGATGTATGATAATTAATGCATCCCGAGGTGTGTACATTGGTGTATCTTAATGTAGTCAAACTGAGAAACGTATCGTATGACGCACCGAACAAGACTGAAGTACCGCTGATTGCTGAGTAACAGAAGTCACGAGAGCGCTTGCGCAACAATATTTTTCTATCTACGTGATAAAGGAAAGAACAGCCCCTCTCGATTACAAATTGAGGCAATTGAGCTCAATATTTTGCCGTTTATACCGCGAATATATGAGTCGCGGTCAGAAAATTATCGCCACTTTTGTACGATATTGTCGGCGAACGAGAGTACCGATTATCTATGATCGGCGAGAAAATTTTCAGACAAATGTTCACCGTCAATTATATGAGAGAATATCAAGCTCTGAGCTGCACAGTTGCGTCGCAGCTTGCAAGATGCATGCAATCGAGAAGCCTTATTACAAGATAAATCGAATCGTCCTCATGTCACTCGGTCTATGGCCGTATCAGCAATCGTATCTAGTGCGAGTACAGAATGTACTGTTTATTGTTATTCTCACATCATATATCATAGTGCAGGTATACGGGCACTGCTACAGGCAGATATACGGGAATTAAACAATTAACGCGTTAAATATGAGCGTTGATGATGCACATTATTTTTATCTTGTACTCTACTGCTTTTCTTGTCACTTTTTCTGGTACAGAGACATTTCCATAATCGGGATAATTTTTCATTAATACTGTTCAACTTTGCAAATTATTTAAATAATTTTGTTTCGTTACTTATGCTGTAATAAAACGTATATTTCGTCTTGCACGATACATTTTTTGCGGGGAGTATTTTACATGACATTTTAAATGACGTTATTTTCAGTTGTTGGTGTTGGTTACAACACAATACGACTCGAACTTACTCCTCAGAGTTCTCTCGCTCACTTTTCCCAATATCTTCGTCACGATCAAGTATTGTCTCTATGTCGTTCAGGCAAATAGTGTAAGTTTAATGAGACGAATTATTCGTTTGGATACTTTGTGGTAAAGCACATTAATCGTCGGTAAAATAAAAGATAAATGAAACAAGCAGGTGAAACAATTGCTGGATAAGATCCACGATGACTGGAACTCGTTGAGAAATAAAGTGGAAATTAAAATCATAAAAAAATATGCTCGTTACGGGAGGTTTTTCACGATGATAACGATGTGTAAGAGACTGGTAGTTGCAATATTCTATGTCAGTATACGTTTTCTCTGATCAGACAAATTTAGCAAAACAAATTATGACCGCACGTATTTGGATAATTTTCAAGAATGAACTACATGTAACTGAATTCAAACTTTATTTAACACGTTTTTCTCAGTGCTTTGCTATTTGGGCATAATTGTTTGCGCGGTATTTCAATTTTTACCGATAATTCTGGATATCGTGTCACCGCTTAACGAATCGAGACCACGTCAACTTGTCACAGACACGGAATACTTTGTCAACCAGGACAAATATTTCTACACTCTTGTAATGCACGAGGTTGTAACCGGCAGCATAGGGGCGATCGCGATGTGCATCACTGTTACGACGCTTATGATGTACATCCATCATGCGTGTGCGCTTTTCAAAATAACCAGGTAATGCAGTGTTAAATATGTTTTTCCGTGACTATTTGTGCCGACTGGTATATACGTGAACAGATTTGCAGCTACCGTATAGAAAACGCGATAGAGAAGAATATGTTGATGATTCCTGGTCCTACAAGAGATTATGTCTTCCATCAGAGGATCGTGCACGCGGTCATTATTCATCAGAGAGCCACAGAGTCGGTATTCCTATACTTTTGTGATTGAGAAAAGTGATAAAATTGATTAAATCAATGTTCATCTTCATTTAAGCAAATATTGTGTAAGAACTGAAGAAAATGCACTTTGATGCATTGATACGTTGCGCTAATATAGCTGCTAACGGACTCGCAATCATCGAATCAATTGATAAGTTATTGTTGTACAATTGATTCAATCGACCAAACGTTCACTCGAACAAGCCTTGCCCATTCAAGTAAAGTTTCGTCGATTCTGCTATTTTCTTCTCTTCAATTTACCAGTATTTTATTTCTCATATTAAAAATGACCGGCTTGTGATCCGACTGTAATGTTTAGAAATATCTTCATATTCACGCTACAAACGTCAATATAACGACGTAATGATATATGATTTCTCGTTAAAGGTTCATCAGGTATTTAACGTCCGACATTATGACGTCGTACGTAGTTTTGATCATAATCGGCGTTGGCTCACTGAGCCTCAACCTTTTTCAAGTGAGTAACGTCGCCGCTCTGATATCCCTGTTAATCGCATACCGCCCTTTAACCCCTCTGCGCAAGAGTTTTCTCTAACTTGAACGTTACCAAAATGCACGAGTTTTTTTTAGAAAGGGTTATAAAGTAAGCGCGGTCATTTCTAAGATTTTTGGTGTCGTAGATTACGAATCTGAAGTTAGAATTTTAAAATTCAAAATGGCGGATCTAATATGGCGATCTCGCATACAATATTTCAGTGAATTCTGGATTGTTTTGTTGTAATTGACTTGAAAACTCTTACTTAGGAGTTTCTGGGGTTGCTGATAATGATTCTGAAATCAGACTTTAAAAATTCAAAATGGCGAATACAATATGGCGGTCACGTATCCAAAATTCAATAAATTTTGAACTTTCTTGCTATGATTGGTCTGAAAACTATTACTCGGAGGTTTTTGAGATCACTAAAGACGGATATAAAGTCCGTCCAAGACTTGTGAAACCCCACAGTAACAGTTTCCAGACAAATCAGAATGAAATAGTCAAAATCGGACTAGGAAATTGTGTACTTGACCGCCATATTGGATTCACCATTTTGAATTTTAAAATTCAGATTTCAGATTCGTCATCAACGACCTCAAAAAATTCCGAGTAACCGTTTCTAAGCGAATTAGAGTAAAATTGTCAAAATTTTATATAAAAAATCATGTACTTGACCTCCATATTGAGTCCGCCATTTTGAATTTTGAGATTCTGACTTTGAGATTTGTAATCAGCGACCCCAAAACCCCCGAGTAAGAGTTTCCAGACCGATTTGAGTACTTTTTATTAGGATACTCTTACTTTGTAAAGAAAAATTGGAAAATTATTACATGAATTTTCTCTTTTTTTCAATTTCAATTCAATTTTTTATAATAATATGTGCAAAATTCAATAGCGCAACTCGATCTATCTTAAAATGCTAGTCTCAAGCTTTAATTTGCGAGGTCGCAGGCCTCTCTACGTGATTTCGTTCAGGAGTTTTAAAAGAAAATGTTTGGACGAGTATACTCGTCCACCGCGCACACGGGAACAACTCCGTTTGGACGAATATACGTACTCGGGATAATGCGCAGGGGGTTAAGAAGCCACGCTCCCTCTACCGTAGCTCCTTCAACTGGTAACATTAACGGATAACATCAGCGAGATGTTCATATTTGCCATATTGGTAATTGGGCACTTGGGCTACATGTTTATCGTTAATTACGGGGGCCAGAAAGTAATGGAACATGGGGCAGACCTATTCAAAAGCATGTGAGTATTCTCTTGGAATTAATTGCGACTTTTTCCGCGATATTCTTCGTCATCAACGGCGACTCTAGAAATATTTCGTTTGAGTTAACTACTACGGAATGAAATTTCTCGAGACTCTTAGTCATAATTAATTAATTTAATATTAATTATATCGCGCATTTGTTTTTAAGTTGTCTCTAATCTACGATCGACTTTGTGAGAAATACATTGAAGCAAAAAATATTGCAGCTACAGTGTACCATGGTACGCAGCACCGTTGCGAACGCAGAAATTACTCTTGTTCATAATGCAAAAAGGAACGAGAAACGTCAGTTTAACATGCGGCGGCATATTCATCACGTCCCTAGAATGTTTCGCTTCGGTAAAAAATTCAAAAGTTTTCACACAATGAAAGTTTCGAGCTCCAAGGTGAACCTAACGAACGGTGTAACGTATGTGCGTCTTTTCAGATGATAAGTACAGCTGTATCTTACTTCATGGTGATATATTCTACGCGATAATAACGACGAGGAAGGAAGGAATTATCATCAATCTCGATCTTTCTTTCGACTCGCTCTTCGACAACTCTCATTCGTTCCAAAACTGTTAAATATAGCGTATTAAATAAAAACATATATTTATTTCTGAGACATTCTGTGCACCATATCCATATGCAATCGTCGAAAGAAGCAGCGAACATCCTGATCAATTGGAGCAACGATTACATTACCAAGTGATGGTCGTTGCGCAAGACGTGCGTCTCAGAGGAATGAATATGAGAAGGACATGGCGAAATGTTAAAAACCCAACGAAGTTAAAACAACATTCATCGTTCATCGTTCCGTGGATATATGTTCGCATATCGCAGCGCTCGATGGCTGAGAAAAGATTAATGTGTCGTTCAACTCGATATATTGGATTGTTCAAAAAATCATTGTGTTTCTTCCGGTCATTTTCAAAACCGTTTATTTTATACAAAGAATGAATATTAATCAATGATATATTACCCATTTTCTTCGATGACCTTCTGCCATTTTTTGGTAAACTTCATAATCCCATTTTCGAAAAACTTCCTATCTGTATTAGCGAAAAACGGAACCAAGTGCCTTCCGACAGCGTCATCTGAAGCGAACGTTTTTCCAGTCAAGGAGTTTTGTAAAGACCAAAACAAATGGTAGTCTGATGGTGCAAGATCTGGCGAATACGGTGGATGAGGCGACACATCCCAACCAAGCTCCAACAATTTTTCGCGAGTCATCAAAATTGTGTGTGGTCGAGCGTTGTCGCGATAGAAGACCACTTCTTTGCGATGTATTAATTTTGGCCGCTTTTCTGCTATTGCTTCGTTCAATTGTCAAGCTGTTGACAATACACGTTTAAATTGATCGTAACATTCCTTGGTAAGAGCTCAAAAAACACCACACCCTTCCAATCCCACCAGATTGAGAGCATCACTTTTCTCCGATGGATGTCTGATTTTGATGTGTTTTGGGCCGGCCCATCGCGCTTATTCCACGATCGCTTCACATTGTTGTAGACAATCCACTTTTCATCGCCAGTAACCATGCGTTTCAGAAATGGGTTGGATTGTTCACGTTTCAGAAGTTGATCGCAGATGTCTATGCATTTTATGAAGTGAACTTCTTTTAGTTCATGCGGGACGCAAACAACGAGCTTACTGACGTAACCAAGTTGTTTCAAATGAAGGTAAATGCTTCCAATCGATATTAGTGCCTCAGTGAGCTCACAAATGGTAGAACGCCGATTAGCTTCAACTAATGCCTTTATTTTATCATCATCAACCTCCAATGTCCGACCTGAGCGAGGTGCATCTTTCACGCTGTGGTCACTAGAACGGAAACGAGCAAACCAATATTCACACTGGCGTTCTTTTAAGGCTTCGTCACCATAAATTACGCAACTTTTCACAAGTTTGCACAGCGTTCTTTCCCTTTCGGAATAAAGTAAAATTTGGCGAAAATGCTCGTGTTGATTCTCTATTTTCAAAAAGTTATAGAAAGAATAATTGTTGATTGATTCTTTTTTCCTCGACGGAAGCTGTAAATGTCAGCTATCAAACACGCATGGGCTCATAAATTTATAAATGCGTTTAATACATTAAATATACAACTAAAGCCATTTATCGGAAATAAACGCAATAACTTTTTGAACCTAATATATCGTAATGTTATTATTGCACACTTGCACGGAAAACGAGGAAAGTGAAAACACAGAGCGATATTGTCTTCCAATGAGTCAAAGAGGAAATACCACGACAATCGAGATGATTTACTTTTTCTCCTCTCTCGTCCATGATAGTAAAAATCAATCATTCAGCATGAATATGCTGTAATACGCTCAGAGATAATCTCTAAATAAAGAAGAATTGCGCTGATGAGAATATCCCGATAATCTGAGTGCTGGTTCGCTGATTAGTCGTATTTCACCTTCGATGCGACATGTATTTGGGCGCGCAGCATTACTATACAATCAATAGAGATGTGCGAATCAAGAATTTTTATGTCGAATCGAATCGAATCTCATTTTTTAAATTCGAATTCCAATGAAATCGAATCTATGAAATTTCATTCGAATTCGAATCGAATCGAATCATTAAAAAATTTAACATGACTATTAAACATGCAAATAGTGATGGAAGGTTTTAATATAAAAGAGAATATTGATATTATAATATCATCTTAAAGTAAAATATATATTTAAATATTTAAAGTAATTTATAATTAAGTTGTTAATTATAAGTTAATTACAAGTTAAGGGTTCAAACATACAGGCCCAGATGGCCAGTTTTGTAGCTGATGGGCGCAAACGCTAATGTATTTGATTCGTATTCCAATCTTCGCGATTCGAAATTTTCGAATTATTCGGATTCGAATCGAATCGAATTACATTAGATTCAATTCGATTTGATTCGAATTCAAATAATTCGCACATCTCTAACAATCAATAAGGCTTTTCTCGAAGCATTAATTATCTGGCATCATGACAGATCGCATTATTGCATTATTGCAGCGGATACTAATCATCATCGTATTCCTGACATATCTCGACATGCAGGTAACGGTGCATCCAACTGCGTTAACGTCAACCGCGGATTGATTCCACCCTGAGAGAGCACGTCAAGCGATAGATATTACTGAAAAATCATTTGCCTTGGACATCTTTTGTCGATTCCGACAATTTTTCGGAGAATATAGCGCGCAAAATGGAAAGAACGAAATGCGAAATCAATATTGACCAATATTGAATATTGAATATGCTTGTACTTTATTGCGTCAACATCACACACTTTTATCACAAACGATTGCTGTATTTTTTCGTTCTAGTTGATACTTTTCATTACAAGAAAATTCGATATGACTCTCTTCATTAGGATCATATCACTCGTTTTTTCTCATATGATAATTTTTCTTGTACGAAATATTATCCTCGATTTTTTCTTTATCGGAAATCTTTTTCTTTGTCGGAATCTATAAGATGTTTCTTAATTACTTTATTTACATATGTGAGGATAAAAAATAAAACAATATTTCAAACGTTTTATTTTTAAACACGTCATCATAACTATCGATTGCATCGATCAAACCAGGATATGTTTTAATGGCGGATAATGCAATTGTATCGTCGCATTCAGGAAAGTGATACATATTAAACTAGAGAGCGAGATTTTATGGGAGCATATTCGATAAGCAATATCACGTTTATGCTGTACTATTATTACACAAGCAAATGTCTATTTATCTAGCGCTTTCACTAAATTCATCTGTTCGTGTTTTGCAATGTCTGTTTGATTAATATTGAGAGAGAGAGGTCACTGCATTCATCCTTCAATTACTTCCTATTATTCTCGATATAACGCTATTCGATGAGCTTCGATTGCGCAGACGCCTCTTTCTGTTTGAATTTCGCACTACAGAATAAGTACTTCTACACTAAAGTACAGCATGAAACTGTGGTCTTGTCTATGAATGGATTGCTACTAATAGCTACTTCGATACAACTGCTAATATTTATCTATCATTGTTTTAGAACGCTTAAAATTGCCAAATGACTAAAATGCAACGGAGAAGCTGTTGCATGTCGATCGGCAGTTTATTCGACATTTCATATATTAGTAGTATATTCGAAGGACCTATGCCCGTCTAAACAATATACTAAAGTTATACTAAAAAGTTACAATGAAAATAATTACTCTACTGCATCGGACCACCCGTTTCGAGTATGGTGAAAATAAATGTAAGAACATCGTGGTGTGTTTCGCTACCGACAAATCCTTTTCCGTAGACGAAACAATCGAAACAATGCGCCCCCTCATCGGGAAAGCCTCGCATTGCGTGTGGAAAATGCAAGGGAGGTTACAAAGGGAGTTAATAACGTTAATTGATATGCTACACATACCATGCTTGTTCTCACGCTGCTATATAATCATGAGCTTCACCTTCATCAAATTAGTCATCATCCGTAACACATGTCGGGGGATATTTCTATCCGACACTTTGCGATTGCTGACTGGTACACCTCAATTTAACTGAACATGAAAATCGTTAGGATCCTTGACAACGGAAAAGAACGTTGCATATACAAATTTGATGTAAATTTATAATATTTCTGAAATTATATGCGGGATGGTCTACTTATATCAAGCATCTTAAATTTCTCACTTGTTTTTGATGATATGTAAGAAAAAAGTTGCACCGTTCAAGGGGACAATTTGGTGACAGAAAAAGTTTTTTTTTTCAAGATCATTTTTCGGAGATTTGAAGATTGAGATAATTTTTTCAATACAACTACTTTTTTTGTTTGCACGCTTTTATACCCAACATCGAAAAGAGTTTAACGACTTAATAATATGATCTTTAAATGATCTTGAACATGGGAAATTACATATGTTTAGAGGAAATACGAAAGTCAAATATTTAAGTTTTTTAATATAAAGATTTGCTTAAGGAGGTGTTGAAAATGATGCCCTCTTTAATACATTTTTAAATACGATACATAAATAATACTCTTGCTCTTTCTATCATTTTTAAATCTGTAATTGCACATGCGTCCATAATGTGCTGTATCGTGTTCCTGGTACATCGTTGTATACAATGTTTTTCAACATTCCCCACAAAATGTCTGGAGGGTTCTAAATCAGTAGAACGTGCAGACCAAGGGTGTATCCACCTCTTTCCCCTTCCCCTATTCCGTATTTCAAAAACATTTCGTGTAAAACTATATGTGGAATGTGTGTTTTAAAAGCCAGACAACCATCATATTAGAGACAGGTACCACATTTGTAAATAAATTTCTAACGTTTATATGTGTTTCTATGTTTACAAATACAATATAGATGGGATGTTCCACATTGAGTTCACGAAAAATGCATGACATCAAACATATATATCTATTATTGCGATGTAATAATTGTCCAGCTCATGTCTACAAGTATAATAATCCTTAACGTGTGTAGTCCAATAAAAATAGTTGAAATCAATGTTTGCGTGTGTGATAATATGAGAATAACATATATTACCACATTTTGACGGCTTGTATTTCGCTTTAATCACAATTGTGTGTCAAATCAGTACGTACTGTGTATGTCAACTCACCATGTAATGTACTTTCTGCTGGTCCAAAGCAGACTGACTCCTATAGATAGCAGAAAAATGCAAATTGCGCTTGAGCCTGCGTAAACTGGGGGACAAAGGCCATACACTCTCTAATATTTCTTTAATACGCGGCAATTTAGTTATTTCTCAAAAAATGCTTTTATTACGACACATATTACTGCCTAAGTGGATCGATAGAACTGTCCCATCCTTCGTTTTCCACCGTGAAATTGCAGAAAATTACTAAATGACATTGCGTATATTGTCGCTTGTCAACCGTAGCGTCGGCGTTCGTGAAAAAAGAATATGTTAGAAGAAAAGACCTTTGGAATGTTCTATATAAAGTCAGTCGTACACGAACAAATCTTATCGAGAAAGCCGTTTTATCCATCGCGCAAGATGGCCCTCACTGGTGAACGTTATTATAACATTTATCGAATTGTGTTAACGACAATCGGCTTGTGGCCGGATCAGAACGTTTCGCGAATACAAACGGGCTTTTTTTTCATCGTATATTTTTCTATTATATTTTTTCAGGTATCTCTTATTTCTTTGACAAATTGTGTTTGTATCGCAACTTCTAACGAAAAATAATATCTTTACTGTCAATGTTATTTAAAATTTTCCTAGTTAACGACATTCCTGACGACAACGACTTTAAACCTGATGTTTATCATTAAGTACCTCTCATATTTTTTACCTTTTCTTATTTACACCGTAAATTATAATTCTTTTTATTTCAACGTTAAAGCGGTGAGTATTGCTCTCGCAAACTGCTATATCTCATATGAAGTCTTTTCGGTTCATTGTTCTTAATTTTAGCCTAAAGTAATGTGGCTAACGTAACGATTCGATAATTTCTTGTACAAATAGATCGGGCAAGCTTTGGAACACATCAGAATGGTCTGGAGCACGCTTACAGACAACGATGAAATAGAAATACTGACTAAATACACGTACATAGCTTACATTGTGTCACTGATTGTGTACAGTAAGAAATTAAGTTTGGAATGAAATCATATCACATACGTGAGCTGTTTGATAAGTTTCAAGTCTAACAATGAAGCACTTATATTTTTGGGCAAAATGGAAAAATTTTATTTTTCGATATAGTCTTCTTTTGGCTGAGATTCCGTCAGCAAAGTAAATTGGGTCAAGTCCTGCAAAATACTCGCTTATGGCGGCAATTACTTCCTCATTGGTCGCGAATTATTTTCCTCCCAATTTTCTTTATGTTCGAGAATAGAAATAAGTCGCAAGAGGTTAAGTGAGGAGGGGGGGGGGCAATTTGTAACGTAATTCATGCAGTTTGACAATGACGATCGCAGATGTGTAAGTTGGTGCGTTGTCCTGGTGAAAACGCACCTTTTTCTTTTTCAAATGCGGTCGTCTTTTTGCGATTTCTTCCTTCAAACGTCTTAATAATAATACATAATATATACCAGTGATAGTTTTTCCTTCCTGAAGATAATCGTTGAGCAATATGCCATGGCTATTCCAAAAGACAGTTACCATAACTTTTCCGGCCGAATGAAACATCTTCCCCTTCTTCGGAGTAGGTTTACTTGGTGAAGTTCACTGTTTTGATTGTTCCTTGCTTTCGGGTATGTAGTGGTGAATCCATATTTCGTCAAAAGCCACAAATCGATGCAAGAAATCTTTTGTATCCCACTTGAACCGCTCCAAACATTCCTTTGAAATGTTGTGTCGAATGCATTTTTGATCCAACGTCAACAAACGCAGCACTCATCGCGCAAGTCAGTTCTCATACTCAAATCTTCATGTAATATCTTGAATACATGTTCAGAAATTATGCCTGCGGCATCTGCTATCTGTCTGATTTTCAGTCTCCGATTATCTGATTATTATAGTAGGATTTGATGAACTTTGTCGACCATTTCCTCAGCCGTTACAGTCTTTAGGCGACCTGGGCGCTCATCATCAATCACACTCGGCACGCTTCAACTCGGTAATCCGAACTTTCACCATTGAGAACGAAAGAACATATTCATCGTCCGACAGAATCCAACTCGGTTTTGGCTTCTACTGGGATTTTCCCTTTTATATTCAAGTTTTAATCAGAGAACGATATTCGATTTTTTCCATCGTTAAACAAATATACTGCGACTGATTGACAGAAGAAAATTGAGCGTTACATATGGCTAGATATTTGGGAGCAGGTATAAAGAGATGTATCTTTCACACCTTAAAATAGTTTCTGAGCAGTAATATCACCTTTATGTTCAGACTCGAAATTTGTCAAATAACTCATGTAATGTTCACTTTAAATTGCATATCAATTACGATATTGATCTCGTAATTTGATTTCATCGCGTTTGTTTTTTTCTAGTTATCCTCAGTGTCGCGGTATTTGGATTCATATTGTTCGAATGTTCACCCGTTATCTTCGACGTCCTAGCGCCGATGAATGTGTCTCGACCGCGTACGATCGAAATACCCTTCGAATTCTTCCTCGATGTGGATCAATATTTCTTTATCTACATAGCATACGAGATTCTAGTAACGGTGATTGGACTCACTGCAATGGTCGGCACCGGTACATTATTGCTTGCGATCGGGACGCACAGTTGTGCGGAATTTAAGATTGCCAGGTAAGCTTGTCGGTAGCACGATGTTGATCTTGCCGAAATAAAGTAATCTTCGTTTTACAAAGAGACTTACGGAAGTGTCATTCACTCGTTTTAATGAAATTTTGCACATTTGTAGTACATCGAAAAATAATCGATACGTATTTTTTTTTTACTTCTGCAATGGTGCGGGTTTAAGTGTGGTAGAAATTATCTCTTGAACGTTAGGGGTAATTTTCAAACATAGACAGAAAACAATCATATAATTTAGAAGAAAAAATGCTTTCAGGGGGTTTTTGATGCAGCTGATTCCGAATCTGACGTCAAAATTACAAAATTCAAAATGGCGGATCCAATATGACGATTAAAATTACAAAAATTCTCCTGGTTCGAAATACGCCTGCAGTTAGCATATAAAAATTATAGTTTTCAGAGTTTACCATGAGGAAGTTGCAGAGTGATTTTAAAACTCCTTTCTATACTTATCTTAACGAGGTGGTTGATTAAAATGAGTCCCATCGTCTCTCACTTTTCAGGGGGCGTATTTGTAGTGAGTCCCCTTGCCTCTCACTATCCAGGAAATTTATGTTTTCCTTAATTTTTAAAATTATTAATTTATTGAGAATAATTTTTACAGAAATGATATTCCGTAAAAAAGTGTGTCATACATAAAGATTTCTTGCACCACGCACACCTCATTACGGCAATAACTGTACACGAATTGCAAAATGCACAATCTTTGAAACTAAACTCTACGGGATTTTCAACCTCAGGTGGTTTTTTTGCAAATAACTGCTTTTGTGCCACGCATAACTAATAAGATTTGAAAATTATTAAACATTTAATTACCCACTAGTAATTTTCATTTTTGTTTCAATTTCGTTGTTATTTAAGAAGGAATTTTACTACAGCTATGAGAACTTTTAAAATTTTTTCTATTAATTCATACAATAGTTTCTGATTTATACTTCGAAAACCACCACTTTGTCATGAGATTTATTTAGTCGCCATATTAGATCCGCCATTTTTAATTTTGTAATTTTGACGTCAGATGATTATTTTCTGTTTGCGTTTGGAGACCACCCCTAACGTTCAAGGGATGGTGTCTACCCTTAAACCCACATCATTGCAGAAATAAAAAAATATGTGTCGATTATTTTTCAATGTTCTACAAATATGCAAAGTTTCATTAAAATCAGTGAGTGATGTTTCCGTAAGTCTCCTTGTTATTAGTGTCTGATCGATTGACACAATATGAATCGCTTGCAGTGATTTAATTCAAAATGTAGTGACCGACCGCACACTCCAGATTCCCGCTTCTAAGAGAATTTACTTTATGCACCGGAACATCTGTCGTGCCGTTCATATCCACAGAAGATCTATGCAGTTAGTTTTTTTATGGAGCTATAATGTGTATACATAATATCGCTGGTCGAACAAATAAATCATTTTTCGAGTACTTTTACTCGTCGTGCACTTGCATTTCCTACATACACAGTCTGTCCCAGATCCAATGAGACTGGTCTAAAAAAAATACAAAGCGTTTATTATTTTGATTTTTTATTCTTGTTTATTCAAAATAGTCTCCTTCTGAGTCAATATAGCGCTGGAAACGTTCAACAAATTTTTCGAAACATTTTTTATACTCATCGGCTGGAATGGCCTTTAGTATGGCGGTCGAAGTCTTTTGGATGACCGGCATGGTATCGAAACGATTTCCTTTCATCGCCAATTTCAGTTTGGGAAATAGCCAGAAGTCGCACGGAGCCAAATCAGGTGAATACGATGAATGATCGATAACAATGATGCCTTTTTTGGTCAAGAATTCACGTACCATGATGGCTTTGTGCGATGGTGCATTATCGTGCAACAAAAACCAACTGCCTGGCTCTCGATATTCCGGTCGAACTCGTCGAATTCTGACCCACAATCGTTGTAGAACTCTCAGATAATATTCTGCATTCACCGTCTGATCTTCTGGGACGAATTCACTGTGAACAATTCCCTTTGAATCGAAGAAAACGGTTAGCATTGTCTTGATTTTGCTCTTCTGAAAGCGTAATTTTTTCTCTTTTGGCTCTTCTGGTGACTTCCATGCCGCACTCTGACGTTTTGTTTTTGGCTCGTATTGAAAACACCACGTTTCATCACCAGTTACAATGGCTGACATGCTTACCGGATTCCTTCGGGAATCCCCATCATCCAAAAGACTTCGACCGCTATACTAAAGGCTATTCCAGCCGATGAGTACAAAAAATGTTTCGAAAAATTTGTTGAACGTTTCCAGCGCTGTATTGACTCAGAAGGAGACTATTTTGAATAAACAAGAATAAAAAATCAAAATAATAAATGCTTTGTATTTTTTTTAGACCAGTCTCATTGGATCTGGGACAGACTGTGTATTCCTGTATTCTCTTATTATCAAATATTAAGTGATTTTCTTAACAAAATTACTAAATTCTTTTTCTTATTTTTTAACAAAGGTTTCTTAACGATATGTTGAATGGTTTTAATGTATGGTATTTTTTTCTGATTATGATCGGCGTAACGTCTTTAAGTTGCAACCTCTTTCGAGTGAGTACTATGTATTTATACTGCACATAATATATACTTGTATAATATTATAAAATCAATGTGATTTGTGATTTGTCTTATATATGCATTTTTCTATATGGAATTTTTCGTAATCGCTGAATATACTTCACCATGCATTTTCGAGTACAAATTTAAACTGACAAAGCTCGGCTGTATATATCGAACATTATTCGTATCGATTGCGAGCGGTAGATCGTATGCACACAAATATGCATTTATATTTTCACGATGAAAGGAAGAATCTTTGATCGAGCATTCGTTCGAAATATATGATTCTCCGTTTGCAGTTACTTAATGCGGTAATACAATTCAACAATGTCCATGAATTATTTACATGCATCATGATGTTTCTTGGTCATATAATATATATGTTTATGGCGAATTTATGCGGACAAGCAATTATCGATCACAGCACGGAGATGTTGAATGCGACGTAAGCGACGCAAGTACTGTCCCGAATGAATGTGTCAAATTAGATGATGTCAGCCATTTCATTTTCCGTCATTTTCCAAAATCTTTCCAGATATAACACACTATGGTATGCAGCTCCGTTACCGATTCAGAAATTGTTATTGCTCTTACAAAAATCCGCGACGAACCAAAAGCTTATGATCGGTAGCATCTTTGTCGCATCGTTAGAAGGGTTCTCTACGGTAATCATGTTCTCTCACAACCTCTTAATAGCGAAAATATTATGTCAGTAAATATATTATCTATTTACTAATATGAAGGAGCATATTTATTCTTTAGCTCGTTACTTCATCGATCTCGTACTTTACCGTAATGTACACCATGATGACGAAGAATTAAAGAGAATAGTCAGTCATTCGCGAATGGCATAGAAGTGAACGCTTAATCACATGTAGAAACAGTCGTGCCGACTCAAGCAAGTAATTAAAGCTCATTAGGTATGTAACTGTCCACATAACACATTGGCGGTCGCGATCAATAAATACAGTCAGCATATGCCACGGACTTCTGTTATATCATTTCGCCACATTCAACTGTATAAAGTATTGATACACGACGTTTATAAAACACTTGTTAATTATGTTGCAGTAAATATCTACTATTATTACTGGTTTCTCTTGCACTCATCATTAAATATTCGTATCGACTGGCGTTGAGCGTGTCGAGATGGAAATGTCGTCGAAATGAAAAAAAAATCGGAATTCTATATTGAACGATATACTTCAAATATAATATGTTCAATGCGTCATAATCACAATCTACAATGTTCACGAGTATCAAAAATATCTGATTAATAACATCAGGAATATTCGAGAGAATAGAAAAAACAAGCGATCCAATCCAAAATATTAAATAACACTGTATGAGTATTGTACATAGAAATAAACAAGTAACGCATCAAAACGCATCAATTTCATCTTATATAATCAATTCACTGCTAATAACTCATATATGAGCGAGAAAAAGGCCACAACTGATAATGATTATTAGCACCATGAATAACTTTGCCAGTTTTCAGTAAGTTTACATCAAATTTGATACACTCATGTTTTTGTTGCTGATTATGAATTCGGAATTAAATTTAAGAAATTCGTAATGGCGGATCCAATATGGAGGCGTTTAAGGCAGTGTCCTAGTTTAGAAGGCGAAAAAATCGGTGATTTTTGGGAATTTTTTCGAAGAGAATGAAATAATCAATTTCTGTAAACGTTTAGTTATATATTAATATACATTTTAGCAATACAAAAAAATTTTTTAATGTCAAATTATTTAAAAATGGGGCAGAATTGTTACATGACAATCAAAGCGCCTCGTGCCGATTGGCGGGACAAATGGAGCTCGTAATTTTTGTCTAAAACAAAAAAACCAAAAATATTTTTAATTTACATGTATTTTTATAGTCGGTGAACTAAAAAAACTGAGAAAAAAGCATAAAATCATATAAATGTATGAATTTAAACGAAAAAGTGACAATTTTAAAAGAAAAATTTTGCGTTCTCTATGCAACAGAAATTGTTTAAATTAAGTTTTAACCGTTTTTTTTAGTTCATTTAGGATGATTAATACTCTAGAGAATAAACTTTGGTTTGGGTCGATAGGTTAAATAGTTTTTTTGCTATCTTGCTCGCCAATTTAGTAAAATCACAAAACTAATATTTCGAGAAAACGCAAGTTAAAGTTTTCGCTAGAAAACAATATCAATTACTCGTTATTTACAACAATCTAATCTTAATTAGCTATTCCAGGTACAAGAGTCATTCAGCTTGTTAAAAAAAATTTTGTACCTGCATTTCCTGCATTGTATATGCTGTACGAGCCTCCTTGCTGCTGCTTCGTTGGCGCTGACCTTCTCGTGTAATGACCGGCGCGCGTCGTATAGATCAACGAAAATCTTACACTGCTAGCCAATATTGAGTTCCAGCAAATTCATCATAGTTAAAATAGCTGTGTAACCTTCGTTAAAAATGCCTGCAGCAATGTAAGCAGCCAATTCTACGATTTTAGCGCCCGAATTAAAGTGTCTTGGAGCAATGCGCCACACAGTAGAGTTAAAACTCTCGTTAGAAGAGTTCTATATATGCCCGCCCAAACATCTTGACAACAGATCGTCCTTGCAAAGATCCTTATAGATAGGCGTGATATGTTTTCCAACATCCGGATGAATAACTGGTGGCGGGTGCTTAAAAGATTGTAATTGATCTGTGGCTTCGGCTTGACGCCACTCACACTAAGTGTCGGCTCCTTCAGGACAGTTTGCGTGCCTTGGTTTCGTATCCGTTGAGCAATAATGATCTAATGTTGCCATTATTGCTTTTTTCATACTAACAACGGAGTCCACATTCTTATAGCTTTCTTTCTTATAGCTAAGCCGTAATAGTTTATTAATCTTTTAATAAGTACGTCCGTCAGTTGTCCCTTTCAACCAAAATATTGTTATATAAACCATTTTGAATCTTTGCTAAACATTATAAAAAAAAGTTAAAAAATAGGGAGAGCGGCCCGCTTCGGCTAAGCGTTTTTCTAGCTGTGCGACGCTTATCTGCTCTCGGCTCTGTAACTTTCGTAATACGTCCCAACGGTCTTTAAAACTTTGGGAACATATTTTTCAATAATTAAACTATCGATTTAAGCAAAAAAAATCGATTTTTTTGACCTTCTAAACCAGGATATTGCCTTAAATACTTAAATATTCAATTTTGTCAATCTTTGAAAAATATTTATTAAGATTATTTATTAAGAATATTTATTAAGATAAGATGATTTATGATGACTTTATTTTATTTCTTATGAAATTTCCTTTATAGAAGGTTTTTGGGGTTACTAGGGTGATGAACTCGGACTCGAAATTTCAAAATTTGAAACAACAGATCTAATATGGTGGCTCCAAATGACTAATTTTGTTATTTTGGTTACTAGGGTGATGAACTCGGACTCGAAATTTCAAAATTTGAAACGACAGATCTAATATGGTGGCTCCAAATGACTAATTTTGTTATTTTATTATGGAAATTATTTTCGATATGTTAATATTTTTTAGGTTACTGTTGATTCTATCCAGTCGAAGTAGCAAAATTTAAAGTGGCGGATCCAATATAGAGGTTTCTAGAACAGCTCTTACCTTTTTTATTAGCGCGTGAAATATGTTGAAGAAAATTATTTGTTTGCCGAATGGCTCTGATAGAAACAGATTTATGACAGTCGTCATTTGCTACCAAAAAACATACGAGTTTGATATGTATCCATAATGCAATATCAAAATTAGTCACTTGAAGTCGCTATATTAGATGCGTCATTTTGAATTTTGAAATTTCAACTCTGGACCACTAGCGACTTAAAAAAAACATCTTATAGATAAGTTTCCATATAAAATACGAAATTATTCGTTTTCACCACCGTTTTTTGGTACAGAACATTAATTACAGGTTAACTAGTGAACTTGTTAAATTGGATAAGGACAATCAATGATTTTTTTTTTCCCACATAGTTTTCCATACCTTTCTCACTTTCTTTCGCGTTTAATCGACAAAGCATTCATATGTTGTTTTCTGTTAAAAAAAGATTAGTACATTGTAAAAATAACCGAATCAAATTGTTTAGCATTAATTGTCGATTATCTGTTGACAGAATGACAATATTTTTCATTGGATCAAATGCGGATTTGCATTTGACTGACGGTAAGACAACTGTCGTTTAAACTCGCGCAGACCGACGCGTAAGAAATGCTTTTACTAAAATTGTTGTTCACAGTGTGAATTAAAAAAAAAGACCAGGAAACACGCACTTCCTACTCGGTTTTGTATAACCATGAAAATCTGCTAAATTATAACCGTTGTTTAATCATTTCGCGATAATATCCCTTAACGAAGTTCCTCCGCGGCAAATATAATATCGCCGGGGTAATATTTAATGAGAGTCATAGATACTGATGATGGTGAGGCATCTTCTTAAGTTACACTCTCCCTTCATTCGCCCGTCAACTCTCATGAAGGATATTATCAATGGAAGACCGTTACAGGCTCAATCATGATATGCTAAAATCACTCAATCATGATATGCTAATAGGATCAATCTGTGATGCTATTGGGATTCGAAGTGGACGTACGTTCAGATTATATCGATGATGATCATATATCTGTCAGCGATATTCGTGTAGGTATTCACGTTCTTTTCGTTTGTTCTTTCTTTTTCGAAAAAACACATGTTTAATGTAATACGTCGCCAATGTAATATTTTATTTTTTTTTAGTTAGTGATTTTTTTTTTATTATTCGTGATTATAAATATGTTATGAACTTTCTAATCAATGTTGCTCTTCTTTATTTTCTCGTTGTGTTCTTCATACGTTTGCTACGTTTGTTATTTTTGCTCCGAGACGCAATAAATCGATTGCATATATTCCTACATTCTCTTCTCTTCTCAAATTATCTGAGCTAATCATTAATAATTCGTAATCATTATCATTAATGAATTAATAACGATAATTTCCAATGTATAACGCGAAGTTGTTCCAACTGTTGCAGGTAGTATAATGTGATAATGTTACAGTTAGGTAAACCGTTAATCGTGATAATCTTCAATAGTGTTGCATCCTGAATATCTGTATATGACGAATGAGTGGCGTTTTGTATATTGTATTATGTATTTCCAAAGAATCGACGAAGAAATGCGTGATCAATCACATAATAAAAGCGCATTACAGATGCTGCAGGCATTAATAACATACAGGGTGTCTTAAAAATACCGGAACCCCAGGATAACTTTGCAAGATCAAGTTCTCATGAAAAACTTTAAATACAAAAGTTGTGGAAAATCGAGTAACAGATTTACAGAATTACAATAATACCCTAATTTTTCTTAATTTGATGATTCTGAAATTTCCAAAAGTCAGTAAGTTAACAAAAGTCAGTGCGCTATTGTAACAATATATTCTTCAGACTAAATAAAGCAAGAAAATCTAGTATCATTTTTTCTTCCGACAAATAGTTAGCGAGATATCGTAAATTAAATATTGAAAAAATTATCAAGTTTTTCTCAAATATCTCAAAAAATATTAGGCAAGTAAAAAAATGTTTTAGACAAAAGTTGTTCAAATTAATTGGTAGAAAAAAACAGTGTAATAAAAAATAAGGATTTCCATTTAAAAAACGCGAGTTGATCTCCAAATGACCTTGAAGGTCATGGTCAATGTCAAATTCAAGGTCACCATTAAGTCCTTTGATCCTGCAAAGTTATTTGAAGGTTCCGGTATTTTTAAGATACCCTATATAATGATATAATAGATACAGGTGTATCCATATGTCTCGTTTTCGCTCACCTCTGTTGCGTATTCCTCGACAATCACACGAGCTAGCAGATCTCAAATAATAACGTTGAGATGTTGGTACAATGTAAGTAATTATCCTTCAAATATCTCGGTGAATTTCTTCCTTGCGTCATTTTTCTTACGCATAATTATCATTAGCAATAGTATTGATATTTAGCATTGTAAACAACATTTTTTATGAAATTTTATGATATAAAATATGGACAGGAGTGAGCAAATTTGATTTTGTCGATTCGTATGTCCGGTAGACATGTAAAGGCTTCAAAATTTCGATAAAATAGCTACACAACGTTCACTCGCTGTTTTAAATTTGCAAGTATATAATCTACTCTGGTACATATCTTCAAAGAATATACCAATATTTATATTATTTCTAATGGTAAAATGTAAAAAAGACATGCATTTAACTACCGGCGATATCTTCGTTTCTTCTTGCGAGTGTTTCGCAACGGTACTGAGAGTGTGTAATAATTACTTACTACTAATTAATTATAGTTACTAATTAATTACTAAATAATAGTTACTAATTAGGTTCGACGTGGTGTACGTAGAAATTTTTATATTTTAGTTTCCAACCTCGGCATATATTACTTCATGATGATCTATATTGTCCATTAAGAGCGTAAACCATGGCAGAAATGCTCGGTTTGTTTTCCGGGTTGGTGCGTTAGTCTTTCGTGATATCGTTTCCGACATTCCGTGAACATTTCAGTTCGCTTCTTCAGAGAGAAGAACAATCTTAAACTGGTATAGCGAAAA